GGGTGAGTGTTGGATGATGAGATTCGGCTGGGGGAGGGTTGATGATGTTGATAGAGAGAGTATCTGACTATGATTATATCGTGATATCATCAACTTGACATCTACTTGCTAACTTGTGATAGTATTCGTGTATACGTGACTTCATTATCTGATCAAGCCTTTAGCAAAGCTCTCAATAGCTGGCAAGAAATATATTTGATTAATAACAATCACTTCCTTTTATCTTCTAATACCAATGAATCGAAAACTCGGAGTCAGTGTCACTAGATTGATGAGAGGGATGCAGGAAGACTTGCTCAGTCTTCAGGTTTGGTCGAAGATGATACTGTAAGATTCGGGGTTGTCTCCGGATATTGGGGGGATATGAAGATATAGGGAGTGGAGATATGGAAGGGAGTCTTTTGGTATGGGTAGTGATAAATTCGACTTTTGGTGCGTATTGCAGAAGTTAATAGTATATCGTAAGTTTCGATTACGGATTGTGATATATCTTCATAGTATATGTGGAGTTATCAAAGCTAATCATTTTATAATTATAGAGTTAAATAAGTTTGTAGACCAGGTGATTTTATAATCCTGGAATTCAACAACTCTGCGGACCAACTAAATGATGGCGCTTAATAACGAGTGTATGATTGAGCGATTTGCAATGAAATGCTACGTTATGCGGCTGGAACCTACGACATGTACCGAAAAGCCGAATTTTGTCACTATTTGTCCAGGTGTTTCTCATGTTCATTTATTAGCCCCCCCTTCCAATTAATTTCTTACTGCTTCTCTTCCCGTTGTAACTTATGCACAAAACGGAACGATGGCCAACGCATTCGAAATTCTAAGTAATCTTCGAGATAGTCTTCCAGCAGATACCCCCGAAAATCAGAATGAGAGAGAAAAGTCACTCCGTGAAGTGAGAAATGTATCCCTGTCATTAGAGAGACAAGACAATGCCGTCGAAAAAGATTTGCTTCCAGGTAATACATGAACTGTCTTACGATTCGAGGTATACTAACTTGAATTCTGCTGACTTCTCGATAATCAAATGATGGAAACCGTTGCCTGTAGAGTTGCTGCTGATCTTGGCATATTTGAGCTATTGGAGAACACGTCGTCTAAAACTGCGGCTGATATTACCGAAAGAACACCCGGCGCCGATCTAACTCTCATTTGTCAGTATGATCTCTGAAATATTCACCGGGACATGGCTGAGACATTGACAGGCCGAGTTTTGCGATGTCTCGAGTCGTTTGGAGCTATCGGTGGAAATATTTCAGCTGGTTATACGTCAAGCACTGTTTCAAAGGCATGTTCCAACATACGAAATCAAGCCTGTCTTAAATCATGACAAGATCCTTCTTTTCCGTGGATGTTTAACTCCGGACAGCTAACGTGACTCCTTTGACACAGTTTCGATTTCTTAGCTCCCGGTTGGTTGCTCATACCTCAGTTCTTGAAAGACAAGCAGTATCCAAATCCTACAAGTAGTACAGATACGCCATTCGCGAAAGCTTATGGTTTCAAAGATGGTGCGACTATATGGCAAATCTTAGAAACTACTGATCATATGCCAGTTATAGGACTTTTGGTGGGTTTTGTCATCTTCCCATCACTTTGATTATCTCGGATTTTTTTGACTGACTGAGAGTATTTCCATCAGATGCAAAGTTTCAATGATGGTCACAAGAACTTTCTCGACATGTATCCAGCTATGGATCGACTTGCAGCCGGTGCATTAATCGATTCCGAAGCGGTTATGATGGTTGATGTCGGAGGAGGGCAGGGCCATCAAGCCATTGCTATGAAGAGAAAGTTTCCCGATCTCCCGGGAAGATATATTGTAACCGATCTTGCTCACGGACTACCTGTAAACAGAGATGACACTACAGGAGTGGAATTCTTGGTCCATGATTTCATGACCGAATTGCCTATTAAAGGTGAGTACTATCGCAACCCATGAGAACAGTGAAACTATCAAATCATGATAACTTCTCGACTACAGGTGCTCGACTCTACTATCTCAGACATATATCCCATGACTGGCCACAAGCCGTCCTGATCCAAATTCTGAATTACATCCGTAGACCCATGAAAACAGGTTATTCCAAGATGATCATCAACGACTGGATGGTTCCAGCAGAAGGGGCATCAAAATATATGATGGCTCAAGACTTTAACATGATGGCTGTTGGAGGAGGGATGGAACGTACACAAGCTTTGCATGAGGAATACATTGCTGCCGCGGGGTTGAAGATCAGTGGAATCTGGAAGGCAAATGATGATATCAGCGAGAATTTCATTGAGTGTGAGATTGCCTAAGTCAATCAATGCAGATAAATTAAGATACTCCGGTGAAACCTAAGGTTTTTTGTTTAAGAGATAAGAAGTTTCATTCGAAAGCTCTAGTTCTAGTCAGAAAAATGTTTATCAGGTTGAATAGTGCAAAGATCTAATAAAGGCTTTGAACATGTTTCATCAAGCTTTTTATGAAGCATGTTGGACTGATGCGGACTGTCATTAGATAGGGGTTTGATACTTGCAGTATTAAATTCTGATATAGCTTCGTAAGCTTCCATCGATTCACCGCAAATACTCTATTAGTATTCAATGTTAGAATGAAAAGCCGGGTCAGCACATGATTGGGTTACTGATGAGCGTCGGATGTTCATCTCCATGACTTTGATCTCTATGCTCTTCCCGCGGTCAATATCTCCTAATTAGCCCAGCATACTCTTCTATTCACCACCTTCTGGGCTTTTCATAGTGCCACGGAAGTGTTTGGATTATATGCAAGGGACTTCGATTCTAGTAGATCGCGTGAAACTTAGTTGAGAAAGGGGAAGTGTAGGTACTTCAAAAGAAAATCAGAGGGATGTATGGGTCGTGAAATGTCAATTACTGAGTCCCTGCATGTACAATGTCGACTGGCTTAGCAGTATAAGTTATCGACTAGTTGGCAAGGGTTTGAATATAAAAGACAGATGGCAATGTTTTTTTATCGAAAATAAAAACAATATGTTGATAGAGAGTATAAAGCAAGGATTCCAGCAGTAATAATGCAAAATGCAGTTAGACGTGTGAATAGACAGATTTGTTGGACCAACCAAACTCGTTGGTCACAGCGCGCCAATGCGGCACGGACCGAGAACCCTAGGCTACAGCCTAAGCCAGGAGAGCTTTAGCCTGAATGACTCCCGTGCGGACTAGAGACGAGATGAGTGCCGAAATGAATGTCCAGTGATTACCGGTCGAACGACTCGACTGCACTTGCTTTGAGAATCGCATAAATCTAAGATGGGTACATTTAGTTATTGTAAATTCGCTTTCAGAAGATAATCCTGAGCTTCACACTTATGAGTGGCAACATGATGTATCGTGGTACGAACTCAAGGATGGAGTGCCAAGTACTTTCTGCGCACGAGTATCACTTCTCAACTGGATAGCCACATCCATGGTACCAGCTGGACGACCATCTTACAAACTATGTATGTTGTCAAATATGCGGGAATTCAAGTAATCAAAAGTGAGAATGAGCAGGCAGAGCCTGTGAAATATAATTACAAAGAACCACATCAGGTACGACTAAATCGCACCGAGAACAAGGCTAATAAATCATTTCCGCACTTTCATCAATCTTTCTAAAGAGGGACGGATTTTCTCCTCTCTATCCTTACATCTATACCTGTTTGCCTGACAAACCAAGAGTTTTGTACTTGCCATTCTTTCTCAGGGTCTACAAGATAAATCTTTTTTGTGTAAGAATCTGGCTAGATAAAGGATAATTGATGAACTCACATTGTATGTCAAAAATAGACTAGCTATAAGCTTATATATTGAAAGCGTGCTGATGTTTTTTCCAAGACAAATACGATTGCCAGCCCCAAAGCTCAGATCTGTTTGTTTCATCATAGAAAGACGAGACTGATACTCTGTTTCTGTTTCTAGATCTTCATATCGAAGCCATCGCTCTGGAACAAAAGAGCTTGCATCTTCACCGTATACCTTTTTGTTTTGGTTAGTTACCCAGGGGTTTATGCCAACGATTGTTCCGGGAGGTAAGAAAGTTCCATCGGAGAGAGTAAGACCAGTGGCAGGAACAATACGCTCGAGCAAAAGACCAACGCCTGCATGAACACGACTAGCCTCTCTGATGACAGCTTCGAGATATGGAAGCTTGATGGCCTCCTTGTAGGCTACTGGAACAGACAAATTTGCGGAATCGAGCTCTCGAATGAGTTTCTGGTGCACTCGAGGATTCTTGATTGTGAAATAGATGATTGACCTCAACACAATTGCGCTTGTGTCGGCACCGGCTAACACGTTGAGGAGGAGAGAACCCACAATGGCATTATCATCCATCAACTCTGGGTTGGTCTTTTTAACATCGATAAAGCTGTCCAGCATATCTTTCCTATCGGTAGATTTTTCATCCATACCTTGTTGGCGTGCTATTGATTGCTGCGCACACCATATTGCGGCTTTATCAAAAGTGGGAGGCCCGATAGGTGTGATGGGATTTTTTCCCAACCAGTGATCCAAAGCGGGAATCTGACCAATAACTCCAAAGTAATCCAGGGCTTGTTCGGAGATGTGAATGAAACCCGTATGATCAGAAGCTGTTTCCATGAAGCGCATTGGTCTACTGAAAGTTATTTGAGAGATGAAATCCCATGAGTAATACATCATCCAATCCTCCATCTTGCAGACGGTTCCAGCATTGGAGCCATCCACAAAGAGTTCATTTAGTCGTTTGAAGAAGGCTATGATGGTGTCATCTACACTCTTCTCTAAGCTCAATACATTACCCATATTGTAGAATTTTTGGATGGGTCGAAGCATTTGGGCATGGGCTTCATTGCTTTGGGTGCTAAAAGCATTTTTGATAATTGCTTTTCCCACTTTGGTATCATTAACGGTGTAAAAGTCGCTCTTTTGATCCGTTATGTTAGAACCTACTACGATGAATGGGCGTTGCAATGACTTACCTTCAGAAAGTCTCCCTTTAGACTGTATATCTTAGAAATGAGCTTTGGATCAGAAAGACTGACAACATTTGGTCCAATTCGTACAGCTTGCCCATATCTTTGATGGAGAGTTTGGTGGGTGAGTTCCGGTCGGCCACCGTATACATCTATCAGGCGCCAGAGATTTGTGAATTTTGCTAGGAATGGGCCGGGGACGCTTTTTAAAGGAGACGTAAAGTAATACCAAGCTAAATAGAATCCGAAAATGCAGATACTTAACAGAATTACTTGTAAGATAGACATATCTGGCGCCATGATCTAGCGATGAAGAGAAGAGATATGGGAGAAAGACAAACGCGGGGCTATTATTTGTGGTGGCCAGGTTTTATAAAGTGATTAACAAGCAAAAAATTCTATAGTTAATGTCACAAACAATATGTGATGAACGGAAGCATAATCTGAAGTACCCCTGGCTGACTTGCAGCATTGCATAGATTATAGACATTCATCGGTCTCCACTAACGGTTTGTTACCCACATTAGCTAAATGATAAAATTTCAGATACCGAGATGCTTGAAAATTAATCTCCTCATACCGTTAGCCGACTTAGAAATTAGGCACTAACCTTGATGGCGGCAATTCAACAACAATTCTACGAAGCTCTCTTACTGCAACGGTCAAGTTTTACCGATGTAAGGATGTGGCGGGGGAAAATGATGCAACATGTTCCTTCGGATCAATCAAGGCGAATCCGGTCCCATGTTATGGATGAAATTATGGTGTCCAGAACAGCAGTTTTTAACCGTATTCTCTAAATACGTTTAGATTCTTAAGAGAATTTACCCAATATCAGCTCCAAACGGCATTAATTTATCAAACTTGATTTCTAGCCGAGGAGTTGAGGGTTGATGATCAGTACCTGGGACCAATGGTCAACAAGTCAAATTATTTGTTGTTCGATTATACCAGTGAAGTGGTCACGGAAATTACCAAATGGTTTTGAAATAGCCGACCTTCTCGATGGAAATCCATACCTCGAACTTATGCTGGACTCGAGTTTCAGGTATTTTCAACACAAACACACGCATTATGCTTCCCTATATATTACATAGAAGAACCCTACTTTGGAACCAACTCAGTTCAATTAATCTTCTCTTCCAGTCAAAATGGCGATAGCCGGTAAAGGGCCTACTATTGTCGCAGTCATGTGGACGGAGACTGTTATAGCTCTAATTGCAATCGGTCTTAGACTCTACACGAAAGAATTCATCACGCGAAACGTGGGATTCGATGATTATCTGATCATAGTCAGCTGGGTGAGTTGAGGTTGTCGAATCACTCCTTGTCTTCGGTACTGATAATGGGTATTTAGTTTATGTTGATGCCATACACAGCGGCTTGCACGGCAGCTACAACTCAAGGGTTCGGTCAACATTCTTCGGATCTCACCATTGAGGCTTTCGCAAATGCAACCCGATCGGAGATCATTGGTCAAACGTATGTCGTCAACTCTTTCCAATAGTACACGCAATAGATTTAAGATATACTCTAGGTTCTGTATAATCGGCATAGCCACCAGCAAAGCTTCAGCATCGGTGTTTTTGCTGAGACTTGCCGTTGTCGAATGGCACAAATGGATTCTCTACTTTACCATGTTTGCGGTCACTGGTATCGCCGTCATATGCGCTCTATTTGACTTCATTCGGTGTGATCCGATAGCTCACGTTTGGAACCCATACATTCCTGCCAAATGCTGGGTCTCCACAGAACAATTTACTGCCATCTCAATCACCGTCGGAGGTGAGCGGCACTTCCAGATTTTATTCCGCAATATTGGCTAATACCTTGCAGTCACCTCCGCAGCAGCAGATTTCATTCTCGCTGCGCTACCATGGATCATACTTTGGAAGTTAAATATGAAGAAGAAGGAGAAAGTTCTTATCACATCGTCCATGAGTTTGGGAATTTTGTAGGCCGCCTTGCTGGTACAATCGTGGACACAGGCTTATATTCAAATAGTGCTATGGTGTGTGGTGTGATTAGGACAGTGAACCTGAATGGCCTCTCATCAAGGTCTGATTATTCTTGTGAGTAGATCCCCGTAGCCAATAATACAATACCGAATTAATAACAGTCTGTTTCAGATGAAACCATAGGGTTGATATTATGGTCGTCTACTGAACTAATGATTACAATCCTGACTGCAACAATACCCACTTACCGACCACTGTACAAAGTCTTGAAAGGTTCATTATCAAGTACGGGTAGGCGTTCCAGTCGAGGATATCGACTGGATAATCTAGAAGAAGAAGGAAAAAAAGATTTACCACCTCCTGCCGTAAAAAGACGCCCCAAAAATGACACAACTATAATGGCGACCGCTATGAGTGATGATGAGCACAATGATTACCATAGTGAGCGAGCTATGCTGGGACCTGACTAAGGAAAATGATATTCAGACTCTAAATGTAGCAATGCACACTTGATACATGAAGGTAGAAAGAATATATACAAGAGGATCAGAACCAACCGAGGAAATATTGTCAAGTATTGGGTATAAGAAACAGCCACCATAGTGCGAGCCAGATTTTGTTTACATTGCATGAGCAACACTCAATTTCTTGACAGTGGAATCTCAAACCACTGACACGTGAGATTGTCACCGAGATTCATAGGATGGATCTGTGCATAAACAGAAGGTCAAAATACTGCTCAGTATAAGCAAGGCATCAAGGGCTTGGATATCATTTGGACTGAGTTTGAAGCCCCGGCCTACACGGTATCTCATTCTGAATAATGTACCATCTTACCGAAGATTACACAGTGGAACAGGATTTTCATCTCGGCCGACACGTATGAAAGGAGAATTAAAAATTAAAAGTGATATTTACCTGGCACTCATGGCTGATTCTGCCGAAATTTGTATGGTGGATATTTTATAAAGTTTATTTTTGAAATTGGACCCCCACACACACCTTGAACATTACTTGTGCGGCCAAAAAGTATGACACTCCGAAGCTAGATAGATGCACATACCACAGGATGGCAAACTACAAGAGGAGTAGTCTCATTTTCATAGCGGTAGACCTGCATGCTTTCTGGCAACAGGAGTGGATTGACCGCTTTTGGTACGGATAGGTTGTTAAATACTTGATATATATTAACCAGGACACTAATAGTAACCCACTTTCCGGTCTCCGAGGCTTGGCTCATGCTCATTATCCAATAGGTACGACGTATATTGTGATTACCATGACATGGAATTACGCGATGCCTGTTGACTTTCAATCATCCTAGGTATTTTACCCGGTCCACTGCCATTCGATATATGCGGGCACACTGATGAGGAAAGCACTAGATAGGTAGGTACCAAACTGCCGGGACGAACATGTAAAGTAGTTGTAACTAGAAGAGTTCACTTGCCGATTGCTATATCTGCCAACCAAACGAATTAATTTCGATTCCAGTGATAACCTTTTGTTTAGGGTATTTTGTACTTCATTAAACTCTATGGAACAAGTTTTAGCGTTAGAAATTAGAACCCTGTGTCATGAAACCGCAAGATCTGCTATTCAGTTGGCAAGTAAACTTTTATAATGGTTTCACTGATTATGTACAAAATATCCGGATAGTGCATTTATGGAGCTGTCGTGGAGTCTTAACGTGCATCCATTTACGGCAAGGAAAATCAAAGCAACAACGAGTGTAAGTAGATCAATATTTCCAACGGTTAGTGACCGGGTGTTGGCCAGCACTGCTGACCTGCGTACCCACTCTATTACCAGGATTCTTTCTGGGTTCTTATACAGGCATTCAAGCAAAAACAATGAGCCGGTGTAAACAGATCTATTTCCATGTTCTTTTCCGGTTGCGAATAAAATACAAGTCATATTTCAATCGGGTTCTCCGAGTTCTGTACCGTCAAAATTTCTATATGGTCTCAGAAACCTCCCCCACACCGAAAGGTTTGATATTAATCAGGTAACTTTACCGACTGTAATCTTGCTTCTTAAAGTATAAACTGAAAACACACTTTTACTGGTGAGAACCACTCGAGGCAATCCATTTAGTAGGTATGTATATAGCTTTCTCCAGAGTAAGAGACACGCTGAAGAGATGAGTGCGCAGTTGAGTACGGCGTTTGCGAAGGGTATCTGCTAAAAGCCCGATTCAGAAATGGTGAACCTCAAGAACTTGTTGACTGCTGAGATAGGTGCGTGTATGAAGACCGAGGATTTCATGGTTTGATTTGCATGTGTGCTCGGGTGCGTATAGCTAAATCCGAAAACCCATTGTGCAAAGAGGATTGAAGGAAACCGTAAGAAATATATGCCTTGAAATCTGGCCCTAAAAGAATGTAGTGGCTCTTATCATAGCTCTCGGAATATTGTCTGTTCCGAGGTCTCGTGACTTGGTGTTATCTGTCTTAGCAACAGACCCCGCGTCAACACGGTCAACGCGTCGTGTCATCGACTAATTATAGATCGCTTGAATATCTCACTTCCAACGTCCAACCTCGGCCTTGAACGACGTCAATCATCAAACAACTATTTTTGCAATTCGCAATATGTAACAAAACAAAATCAATTCAAGATGCCGAGCAAGCAACGTACTTTCGAACTGGTGGATGCGCCAAAAGTCCATCGACCAATGACCAGTAAGCAAGCAAAAAAAGCATATCAAAAAGCAAATCGAACGCCACGAATAACGAAAGCCGAACAAAAGCGACGAGACGCCGAAGAACTGGCGAAGCACAGGAAAGCATATGAAAAGGAACAAGCAGCTGCGAAAGCCAAAGCGGCGAGAGATAAAAAAGCTGCGAAAGCATTAGAACAGAAAGAAGAAAGGAAGAAACGGGGGATACCTGAACCCAGCAGACATGTTCGCCCAAGTCAATCGAGGATTTCTTTATTTTTGAAGCAGGGGACCAAGAGATTTTGGGAGGCATCGAATACAGGTGAAGAGTCTGAGGGTACTATGTGCGATGAAATGGATGACGAACCACCCTCGAAACGAGTTGCGCATAGGGATTCCGACGAGAACGAGGACGAGGATGAGGATGAAAATGAGGATGAGGTCTTTTCAAAACAAATTGCGCGTCACAATTCCGAGTACGAAGAGAAAACCCAAAAGGGAAAGCCTGCAAGCAAAAAGAACGATGAAAAAATGGTCATTTCGAGGTCGCCAATGCTACCAGAAGATTCCGAGGACGAGTTTGGAGATTTCCCGCCCTTGTCAGAAAACGATATCTCATTATTAGACACTAGTTCTATGCATTCCACCCCAGTAAATGCGAATCTAGGTAGAGCCAGATTTGCAGGTCTGACAAGACCCCCGTTTCACAACCCTACCACGTCATTCAGTGATGAGCAGGAGCTACCACGGATGAAGAATTTTGAAAGAGAGCAAATGTCGCCCGATGACGCATTTGAATTGGAAAATATGCTTGATTCTCAAATCCGTTCCGAAGCAGCAGATGCAGCTTGCAAGTCAGATATTAAACAAGCAGTATCAATTGACAAAGAGATCTGTAGAGAGGAACCAAAAGCGACAACTCCCACGTCAAACAGTCTTGTAAAGGATTTCGCGGAGGAAAGAGAACTTCTTTGGCATGCGCCTATTCATGGTAGACATATATCAATCTCTCAATCCATACATACCAAACCACCATTACATCTTTCCAGGGGTTCAGTTACAGAAGTGACGCACGACAAGCAAAACAATTCACATTCACGCACAGTACCTCATGATTATCTACAAGATCCTCCATCCAATATAAATTGCGATATAGTTTCAGCACCAGGAACAAATACACGCCTCAATTCCTGGCCGTTGAAAAGGAACACACTCCCCGCGAAGAAATCACTGAATGTTGCTCCAGCTATATTGAAGACTGCTACTGTCATTGCATCTGAGGGTTCAGTGTCTCGAACAACAGGTTTAGGTCAGCAGGGCTCGCGAGAGGGATCCGTTCACTCTCTTGTGCCCGAAGCTCATCGTGTTAAACGAGAACCGGCTCAAAAATCACCTGTTCAAGCCCCAACATCCAAATGTTATATACGCCCGGCACTCCAGGAAAAATCTATCAACATGGGTCCCCCAACTCTTCCCCAGAAAAGCAAACTTGGAACGTCCCCTGTTGCTCCGGTCAATAACAGGAAAACAACCGACGATTATAGTCTTCCACCTTCCACACAAGCATTTCTTGAATCTCATCTTGATGATTTTTTTCCAAGTGCAACTCAAGAAGCTAGAGAACTATGTGAAGAATCCACTGTACCTCAGCTTTTCACAGGCTTAGAAGGAAATTCTGCATATCAACGCCGCCAAGAAAAACAAGATGTGAAGGATAATGCTTCTACATCTGCTGATGATGAATTTGTAGGCATGCTATCTACGCAGGAACTTAAGATGTTTTCGCAGGATTGGGAAATTTCTGATTCAACGCCCCAAAAAGGAAATGAAAGCGAAATTACCATTGATTTTCACGAAGAGATATCAGCAGGAATAGAGGATCTACAAAACAGTCTTTGTAGCCAAGATTCCATTTTCTCCGCTCAAGAACTCGCTGGACTGGAGAATGTGTCAGAAGCCAAATCACCGGTGGCAGATCCCTCACAGCTACCACAAGATCCAATATCTTTTCTTAGCCACCATCAAAGCCGACCAGCAAGATTGCAAAGTCAGTCAGCTGAACCAAGTACTCCACAAGCTGATTCAAATATGGAACCCACGCCCAAACCAAAAAGATCACCTTGGTTCAAGGAAAAACCGGAAGACAAGTTTACTAAAAAGAGATTTTTCACCGAGAAACCGGAAGATTTGGAGGCTGCTGCTTTAGCAGAGAGTAAGAAAGCATGGGATGAAATCAAGGAGGCGACTTCATCTAATATACATAACTTTGATGATGACCTTGAGCCTGAAGTAGATGGACAGCTTAAAGCTGCGCTTGCTGAAAGTAAAGAGTGGGATGAGGTATACAAAGCGGTTCTTCCCACACCCACACCGAGAAAGACTAGTGATAAGGGCAGACGTGAGATAGATGTTGAGGAGGTAGAATTTCAAACACCATCACGAATCATAGCTAGGCAGAAGGAAGTGAGTGCTATCACGAACGGGACACAACAGAATAAAAGGGCAGCCAGTGTCACTAGTACCGATTATGGTGATGGGGAGGTTTCCGATTGGGATGAGGTGTTGGACGGGCTTTGATGAGCGTATCAGAAATCGTTGAAGATATTAGAAAAGAATCACGACTTATGGGTACTGGCAGCATTATGGTTTGGAATGTGTATGGGATTAGATATAGGTATACATATGCGCTGGTTTGTGTTTAAGCATTGGTATTGACATGGATATGTACATTGTCTTCGTGCGTCGCATATTATAGGATACTTACATACATAGGGGCGTTGGAATATCTGTCTAGCATGGTATCATGGAAGGTGTGGAGGCGCTTTTGTTTGCAATTTTCTGTGATGGGAAATTTGTGGAGGTAATTGTAGTACGGTCTACTAAATGCATTTCTATGCGGAGTTTATAATCATCTAGCGTCTATATTCTACTTTGGTCGTTGAGATACGGGCGGAATGATCATGGCATCGATCTTTTGAAAGACCCAGATGATTCAGTAGGGCAGTAAGGATCACATTATGATACCCTGGCGTCATTTTCTCAAAGAAGTGATTAAAGATAATCAATTATTTTCTCATCTCTCGTGTTTGATTGTATTAGTGTACAGCCCAGAATTACAGCGTGAAAAGAGTTCGATAAGTCCTTCGGGACGTCTGATGATACCCCTTTTTGATTTTGAGCCATCATGATGCGCTATACAGGCACAATGGAAGCAACTTTAAAATCATTATGTGGTTTGTTGTTAATTTGTTCAGTTTCCGTCATATATCTCACTGCCAAAATTCTGCAGACTCCATCTGAATCTGGGAATAAAATATTAGCTTGAATGCCTTGTATTGACTCCGATGACAGCACCACAGTGTCACAGGCAGATCACAGGCAACTTCAGATAACAGAAAAATTATAATCAATAATCAATTACAAGGCGGCAAAATGAGCACAAAAAATTGCAAAGAAAAAAAAAAAAGCGTGTCCACCCCTCTCCTCCCCCTAAGACATAACTCCGAATTGAAATTCTCACGAACAGCTATCCTACTGACCCAAAGTAAACCCCACCAAACTACTTCCACATCTTGCGCTCTTCCACCCCAAGCTCGATGTTAGTTTTGTGGGAAGACCTTGGTTCTGAATGAAAGGAATAGGAGTAATTGAGAAAGCTGAGGGTATCGTGCAGTCATCGTCGCTGATTGAGTCAGAAGAGATTAGTTTTTTTGCACATCAAGACGATGAAGAAAAGGGGGAAAGAATTACCTGTAGAAAGAACAGTGTGCATCACGACAAAAGAGGGCGGAATTGAGAGTATTTCCGAAGATTTCAAAGGGGAAACAAAGGGAATATGCGTAGGTTGCTGCTAGGTCGCCAGAGTAGCTTGCGAAGATGAACTTTGGGATGGTTAGCTTTTGGATAATGTTGGGGGTTTCATTTGAGATATGGTAGTTTGGTAGGAAGAGTGTTTGTATGATTGAAGAAGTGAGATGGTGGAGACTGTGAGGATGGGGAGGAGGTAGGAATAGGAATCTTATTACATTGTTGGCATTCTGGGCTTGACATGAATTGATTGTGTCAGCTGCCGTTTGAGAATTGATAGCCGTAAAGCTTGCGAAACTGAGAAATAGACTTGTGAGGGAAGTGGTAATCTTCATTTTTCCTTATGAATTATAACACAGAATTAATGAATAAGAAGTTTGATACTCAGGGTTGGATGAGAGGGATGAGATGTTGTGTGTATTTTATGATGGGATTGACATTTTATTGAGGGGGTGATAGCGAAGATTTATACCTGTTGAATTGACTTATTCAAGAAAACTTGGACATGTCGGTTTTGGAGGCGAAGCCATGTTGCCGAGTCTGTAAATATTTTCTCATGAGAACGTCGAATCATATACTAACAGAATGAAATATTGATCAAGCTGGCACTAAGGTGGCAGACTGGGAGATGATATATCCAAATGATATCTGATATTTATAAAGACAATCGTGAATAATAAAGTAAGTAAAGCCTAAAACATCTCAAATTGCCTCCATAAATCTCTTGTACATTCATTCTTTGGACACAGTCTCGCGTCTTGGAAGAATATCTCTGCGCCTGACAGTTCTCGAAACAAAACTTCGTAATGGTAATTTGACATGGTGCTACAAAGTGAAACCAGAAATAACGAGCTGAGAGGTAAGATCGTAACACAAATAGATATAGAGGAACGCGAAACGTGAATGAATGATTTGGATCGGTATATTTAGTGTTCGGCCATATCGGTTGGTGCCACAATCAATTGAATATGAATCTATAGGGACGATCTAGCGCAATGCTACAAGCGAGTACAAAGATTTCCAAGTCCTTTCATTTCGATGATGATGCAACGATGAGAAAAACTTTAGACATCATCAACTTCCTTTGATACAAGCGTTTTCATGGCATTGACATAAGTGAAGTATTTCGGTTTGCACATAACCGGTTCTTACTAAAACGTGGATTCGATCACAATTCCTAGACAGATGAATCAAACAAGGACTCTTGTGCGGAAATGAAAATCTCAGAATATCAAAAACAGTAGTGACTGAAGGTGTAAAGACTTGAACTAGGTTGGGATTTGGATCACGAGAGACTTTGATGGTAGCAATTTTCTTCAACAACGACCAACATTAATTTTCTGAAACTCTGAAGCCTTTTCCGACACTGACAAAGGTATGTGCCTCCCCTTAAACATATAGCAACCATCTTCCATATACCGCAATCAACTCAAAACCTCATCAATTGTTCCCAATGGAAAGCTCTGACTCATCTGAGGATTAAACTGGCAAGTCAAGCGAGAGTTTTTGACAAATTGCGCCTTTTCCTAAGACTGTTGTTACAACTCCCGCTGGATTGACCAAAACCAAACTCCTTGGAACCGTGAGAACAATGTTGGGGTCTGTGCAATTATCGCCGCTATTTTAAGAATGTTAGTATATCCTCTGATAAAGCTTGGAGAATGGAGGATAAAGAATGGGGAGTATAGAATGGTCGCTATCTTATTCGAGCTATCGAAATTACAGCACGTGAAATGGGGAGGGAGAAAATGAAAAATTTGATACATACGAGCAGTTCGTGCAGATTACACTTTTGCAGAAAACGGCTGCCAATGCGGTACTGCCATTTACAACGTAGGGATAGCATTGGCCATATTTGTAGGAGGTTATGACACCGTTATCGTATTGCACACCAACGTACTAAGAGAAAAGTTAGTAAGTGAAATTTGTATCCGAATATCAGGCGAAAAATGTAAAAAGATGGAAAAGAAAACTACAAGGCCACTGATGTTGAAGGCATTTGATGCCCAATTCTGAGACAAGACGCAAATGAGATATAAAGAAAGACCAATGGACTTACAGCATCAGGGCCTGCATTTTGACAGTAATCGTTGAGGACTGTGTAACTGGGGATAACAGATGATGATTGAGTAACGGAGTTGTCCCTCAATGAAAGAACTGGAAGAAGTGGATTAGAAGTGACTAATGCACCGAATGATGCGATGACGATTGTGGAGAAAAACTTCATTGTGTAAAGTGATATTTCAATTGAGGAAAATGTTTTTTTTTTTTTTGAGATCTCAAGGTATTTGGAGAGGATAAACTTCTGTGAAAGTCCTCGACGTTCATACTTATACCTAAGTAGCTTCTGAGATGTTGACTTGGAATTGATTACCACTAGGACAAGAAATCGAAATTTTTATCGCCCGATATGATTAGATGCTTAAGTGTGAGACATATGAACGAAAATCACGATTCAATTATGCAGTACTACTCAGTGGCTACTCGTGTGACGGAAAGAGGCGGGAAATAAGTTAAAATAACAGGTGAGTATCCTGAAATCTTTCAGTTCTAAGCAAAATAAAAAAGAAATAATTTTCGTGGAGGCTGGCGTGTGATCCCACACTTGACTCATGTATAACATATGGAGACTATGTGAAATGTCTTTTGATCGCTCTAGCATCGAAATTTTCAGCAATCTCTAGAATTAGATTTCAAGAGTCAGCAAATAATACATGAGATCTGAGCGGCATGTATCTAGATGCAAGTCTTTTTGTAAAAAGTTTAAATGAACTACATCTGTCATGACTCCATGAATCCATAATTGCCAATGATGAGGCTGAAAAGAAAACCTGGCATGTGACGTTGAAGAAGGTGTGAAGACAAGACCTAGTCCCAATTAAACATGACGAGGGCTGAATGGGATATGCTGCGACAATTCTAGGGTAAAAGATAAACTATTATCTTAGAACCTCCAGGTTGGCTAGTACCAATATGAGCGGAAAGCTATTGACTACAGCCATAGGGTGTGTTATTCAATGGATCAAAACGTTCGAATATACTTGTGAAGGATTCATTCAATGTATTGATCGATGCGCGGCTGATGAGTAGCCATCCCACCATTGGATATCCTGTTAAATCTCTGATGTTAATTTGTCGCTAGACATCAACCTCCGATCAGCAATGCTGCGTATGGTCCCTCAAAGGCTGTTGTCAATTGGCTTACTGATCGAATTAATGCTGGCTAAATGCCTTTGTTATGGCTCCTGGTTGGGTCGCAACTGAGCCAGGCTATGAAGGCGCAAAAGGTCTTGGACTTGATGATGATTTCATGGAACAAAGTTTGATTTCCACGGATGTGTCTTACGATAGTATGATGAAAGTTTATGCGGATAGTTCAAGGAAAAACATGCTGGAAAAATGGTAATATACGATGGCAGTATGGGGGAATGGCAGACAGGTTTTCGATGGGAGTCTCTGAGAGATATAAAAGAGAAGTGGGTAATAGAAGAGATTTAAAAATAGAAATTGAGATAATGAAGAACTACTCGAGTGTGAATCTTGCATAAATTCTTACTCCAGCACCTAGTTATTGCTGCGGACTGTGGGGTGCGGGGTATGTGTTGACCAATATTGTGGAGTATTAATCACGACACGTGACATCACAACGCCTTGATTGATACTCCTTCCATTCCTACCTCGACCGACATCCACAATCCAGAATTTTCACAAGTGTGAGAGACTGCTGGTGACCACAGATCCTTGAGAAAGATGAGCTTTCCTACAACTATCAACAATTAGATCCTTCCACAGAAGTCTTCCTTTAATTTCATCGCATCTGAATAGATGGCAACTGCGGATATGGTGTGCAAACTCTCCAGAGTAATTTTGTCCATTATTGCATGAAAATCAAAGTATCTATTAGAAAAGTCTCAAGTTTGGGTCGTATTCTGATCCCTAGCGAGTCCCAAGCTCTCTGAAATAAGGGTAACGCGATTCATAACCGATTTTCGTGTACTATCACAAGTTCCATCAGCACAACATGCCGGACTCTCTGGAGTACATCCATCATCCTCAGAATAGCTACAACTACTACTTCCCGATCCACTTTTGATCGCATATATCATGTATTCAATGCATCCAAGGGGACCATGCCAAATATAAGCGCCACCATAATTATGATCAATGCTCTCATCATCGTAAAAGAAGACGTTGTAATCGAAATGTGCTTCACAGATATCAAATTCAGATCCCAATGACCAGCCATCTTCGGGACTACCTCCGGTTTGATCAGAGGCCCAATTCACTTGTGCGATGACGTTAATACCTGTTGGATCCGTGTACACATATGTGTAGGCAGGACCACCAGGTAAAAGAGTATTGCCTTGATTACAAAGGAAAACAGAACTTCTTGCTCCCCTGTGATATTGAAAGGTACATAATTCCCATCATTATGCTGTCTTAAACAATATAATTGCTCATCATTGGGATCGCTAAGTGTTGGGGTTAGTAATAATGAAGTGGTAGTACTTTGCACTGGAGCAACCGTGCTTGTGGGTGTTAATGGATTGGTTCCATAGCCAGGGGCAGTGATGGACGCAGAAGATACAACAGCCAGAGGATATAGAGTAGCGGTAAGTCCTCCAAGTACCATAGCAGATGAATTCACAACTGCTGAAACACTGTATTCCACTCCATTTACAGTTATTGACCCCGAGGTAACAATATATAAGAATCCCGATATTGACACACGTTCTGAAATAGTAGTTTGTATCATAGTCCAAAATGGAGTTATTGATCGCTCTTCATCATCACATGTTTGTAGTGCGACAAGTGGACAATAATTTGTTGCCGTGAAAGTCATAACACTAGGCTCAACAGCGCATCCAGTAACCGTGTTAGAACTGGTAGTAACACAAGTACTATAAACACAAGAGACCAATAGTTTGTTGCTGTTTCTGTCGCACATTCAGTGGAGGTAGGAGTTCCGGTAGTGCGGCAATTTGCTGTGCAAAGGCTTCCACAATTTGAGGTGCAGGTAGGCTCCACTAATTTACCACTTCTAAATGTACTTGTCGATTTAGATTTATCAGGAGGAAAATCAATGGAGAAAATGTCAAGGAATTTAAAGTAAGGTGGGTTTGGAATTGGAGGAAATTCCGGGAGAGATGGAATCTTGATAGGCAATGGTGTGGGTATTGGAACGGGAGACCAACAAAATTCTCTAGCTTGAACACAAATTGGGATTAAAGTGGTGGTTGATGAGGTAGCTGATAAACCTGTTGATCTTTCAACTAGCGATTTGGTGGTGATGGTTGGTGCAGTAAACGTTCTGAGGTTGATAAATTGAGCCTCGGGGAACATTTCGGTAACACTTCCAGATAAACAAAGGGTAGTTTCTAGTGAGTAACAAATATCTGGTATAGCTGGTTTCAGCGCAGAACCAGCCACGGGTAGAGCTACCGAGGGCTTTTGTTGAATCAGGATTAGCCAGCGTTCTCCTTTGGCCTGGACACGGGTTTGAGATAAACATTTTCATACTTACCGACCCTAATACCAGCTTCATGGCAAAAAGTTTTATGGCTATGCTTGGTGGGAAAATGGAGCAGGTGTAGCATATCTCTTAATAACGCACAAGGCTGCCGTGAGATTCAAATGCATAAATGCCATTAGAGTTTGGGCGCAAAGGAATTGGCCAACAAACGGTGCTGCTACGGCCGGAAATCTCAGCCAGTTAGTGGTTTATATGTTATTGGAGATTGTGACTATATCTACAGGGCCATAAAATTAGGTATGATGTTGCCTCAAGCCGGTTTTGGTGAATTAATTTGCGTCTTTTGACTGCGAATCGACGCACCTCAAACTCAGTACGGAAATAAGATTTCAATAGTAAGATTTCCGTAAATTTTTGGGATCCTTTGAGAATAATCATTCAATATAATTAATCGAAAGTCCTCAAGTTCAACAATCGTAAGTCCCCACGTGTGACATTACTAAAACTCGAACCTGTGCTTTAAACAATCACGACTGGCATTGTTATTTAATGAACCCATCCGCTCTATTCTTCCCGAGGTAACATACTCAAGTATTTGAACGTCATTTCTCTGGCATTATAAAACATCTCATATTCTCTAGCTTTGTTTGCGAGCCCCAAAGCAAACATCCTCTTCCGGTCCCATATAGCAAAACCTAAGCGACGGAAATGTTCATATGGCACAATTCTAGTTGGAGGCCATAGTCTGGGATTCATAAATGATACAAAGGGAATGAAGATTCCTGGTATAGAGGAGGGTGAGTGGTCAATAGAGTGAGCGCTTTCTCCCCACCCATCCGATCTTGAATCCGGGAATTTCGGCTCGACAGGTAAGTAAATTGAAATAATCATATCTGGTTGGGAAGTCGAAGAGTTGGGAATTCGCTTTGGTTGGTGGATTCAGACGAAAGCCGCTGAGAATTTTCTCTCGGATAAAGCGCAGCGGTCAGTATCGCATTTTCAAGTGCCTTGCATCCTGGATTATTGTGAAAACTTTTAACATTCATGCTTTTAAGTCTATCAAGATCTGGATTTGCCCAGCGAAGATTTTGAGAGTTGTTCTTTAGATCATAAAACATTTGTATGTACCAAAATGTCTGAGTGATTCTCTTTTGCTCAATCCAAGAAGGTAGGGGGAAGGTTACATTTCGAACTGAGTACTTGCGATATTCCGATAGCTTGACTTCAAGGAAGCTTCCAGGTCTCGAGGATCTCAGGTGAATCGGCTCTGAAAATTCAAAGCTTTCACACCTATCGAGAAAATGCTTGTGACATATATATGTAAGTTGACTGATGTTGTAGGCTGTTCGTAGAACGGCACGTATGATCACTGACGACACTTCTTCGGGAAGCAATTCGTATTTAGATTTGAAGGCTCGGTTATTATTGTCCATGAACGTATGATTTGCAGGTGTTTGGGCAGTAAAGGGCCTGCCTATCTTATTCAGTGCACTAAATCTCTGCCTGTCTTTGAATTCATCCATCGATTTTGATGGGTGTTCTCCCAATCTCAGAAGCACGATGTGGCCGAAAATAATTTGAAGTTTTTCTGGCTCACTTGCTTCCAAGAATGTCTCGACAATTTCCTTACCGAAACCATCAATAAGGTAATAAACCGCCGAAGAAACTGAACTCAAGCTCCAGGCCGACGCTAAATCCGAGGTTAACTTGACAATTGGCAGCAACAATTCCCTCGGAAGTTTTTCGAATAGATTTTCGCTGAAATCGAGCTTCTCATAATCGTGAGACTGGGAAATCGATGCCATATTGATGTTGATGTCAAAATGAATGAATTAATGTTTGTTTCCAAGATTCTCTTCCGTGGTTGTTGTAAAGATAAGGAGAGTTGGCGGGAAAAGAAGACAAATGTAATGATTACAGATAATTGTCACGATTTTATCCGGGCCAGTAATAGCCTTGTGGGAGCTTACGTAAGGCTCTTCAACGTCATCTTTGGCTCTGAAATATTTACTGTACCTCACTATTGTATGAGAACAAAAGATATATCATCTTGAGTGCAATATATCATATAATGTCAAATATTCTCGTATGTTTGATTGATGTAGCTGCATATCTTCTTCCCGTTCATGCTTCATTCAACGTTTCGGGTTTCCGGCCACTTAACACCTGACAAATTTCGCGAATCCATGAATTCAGCACTGATATGATTGATATTTGACTTTTGATAGCTTTTCATTGGGAAAGCGGACGAACAACTTGATGTTCTCGAACAAAAAGCTCCAGTCCTCCCGTTAGACCACAAAATAACAGCAATCACTTCATCATTTCTGGAGGAACTCTCCCAGCTCGAACCATCGAACCAGCATTCTATGAATCTAAAAATCCTGGCTTCTGCCTCATTCTTGACTAGTATGCCTCCGCTTCCTCGCAGAATGAAATTCTCTATGTTGCCATCATCAGGAATGAATTTATGAACCTAGTCCTCTTGGAATTCCTTGTAATTCGCACTTGCTTGTATCCAACTTTGGAATTGTGTATTTTGGATGGAAACGGATGTTTGGACTATCGCTTCTTTTTACAGGCATTAATTATGACAGCAGTCTATGTGTCAGGAAACATTCAATCTACTTTACTAATTAGCGACATAAGCTATGATTACAAACTCATATCGAACTTCCCTTGTCCTTCATTACCCAAGACATAAAAATCATAGTATCATCATCATAACCCCAACGCCACAAAAACTACACACCCCAAAAGCCCCGCCATCCAAGTCAATCCTCCAAACCCTTCACCCCCAACCACCGGCACCGAGATCATCTTCTCCGCATTCGACTTCTTCGAACTTCCCGCTGTACCCGTACTCGTACTCAAGCTCGAGCTCGAGCTCCCAGTAGCCCCGGGAGTAACAAACTCCTTCTTCCCCCCATCAAAACTCATACAATGCGTCGGAAGCAACATACTCGTTCCAGCAAGCGTAGCCGTCGTCCCTACATTCTCCACAAAGTGTAGATCTGGAATTCTCAATTGAATCCCGGCTTGAAGTCCTATCGCTATATCTGCTTGTGGAACAATGTTCGTGAGAGATGAGAAATAGTCTAGATCTTTGACACTTGAGGAGGAGCTTTGAGCTGGATTGCAGTTCTCGTCTACCGAGGTGAGTTCGGAGATTGTTACGGAGAGAGCGGGGAGATCGAGAAAGGCGCCGGCGGCTATGGAACCTTTGCCTGATAGTATGTTGACACCGAGGAGGATTTCGGAATGAAGTGCTAGTGAGAGAGTCAGGGATATTGAGGGATCAGTCGCAATTAAGGGGAGAGCGGTGATGGCGGAGTCGCTAAAACCAGAAGAGGTTGATTCGGTAAGATTACCAATGTTGAGTCGCATGGAGGATTTATCTGGGACGGAAACGTCGAAACCGTAAGTGAAGTTGAGATTCCTAGAGACACTGATAGAACCTTGAATTGCTGGGATCCACATCGGACCTATCGCGGCGATATCTGGGATCTAGAAGATGTGTTAGAATGCCCGTAAGAGACATATCCCATGGTCAAAGAGATGCGTGGTAAATGGTGAAATACCTGGAAACCCGGTAGAGCCAATGTCGTAAGTTCCATAGTGAATGTTTCTGTAAATGTACCCGCAACTGCGGAATCAATTTCGATATGCGCACCTAGTCCATTGAATACCATGTCGAAATAACCATGCTCTACAAAATTCACTGCTTTCTCTGTATCTAGAGAGGAGTCGCTAACATTAAAGACACCCTGAATCAATTCGATTGAACCTTCGATAGAACAATTACCACAATTTATCGATAAAGATCCACCTGCACCATCATTTCTAATCAGATGTGTTAGTCACATTGCGTCAATGACTTAAAGGTAATGTATGAACGTACGAAGTAGCGAAACTTCCGAGATTAAATCCCGCAGGTACCGAATATCCAATATCTTGAACTGATGTATCCGAGGTTGGTGTTGCTGATGGCGCTGATGGAAAAGAGACAGTTTCAGAAGATGATACTGAAACTGATGAAGTAATTCTTTTGCGCAAATCACTGTGTATACGAAGGGCGCTACTATCGTATTTACCCATACCGAATTTTACTTCCATTGTATCATAAGCATCGCTCCATTCAATCCGTTGCACGGAGAGGATTGCGGTATTGGATTTGTGAGCATATTCCACGTTGGACACTCTATTTTACTTGTAAGTAATTTTCGAGACATTATTACCGATGTCACTTACAAATATGGAGCCCGCGCGTTCTGAACATTACACCCGGTATGTGACGAAATAACCAAAAACTTTGATAGATCTTTCCATTCGTTCTCTGCCTCGGCTAATAAATTCGCAGAAGGAAATTCAACGATGATGGTCGACTTTGAGCACAGAATATTTTTGACATTGAGCTCAATATCTTCCAGAGTGACTGCAGGTAATTTATATTTCAACGATGTAGATGCGAATCTCGAATGTGTTCCTCGAATAATTGAATCATCTACACGTCATTAGTATCTCATTAAATCGTGGCAACAAAGCATGAAATCTTGCTCTAGAATTTCGGTATCCGATGTATGATCGGACGGTTTCATCGGACGGACCATGAACCCAAGAAAGAAAGAACGCCAACTTACGATCGGCATAATGATGAGTACACTCCAAATTTGGTTTAAAATTTGCGACGCCTCGTTTTTGTTCCGCAGAACGCACGGTGATAGCCCCTAAACTAGTCATTTGCCTTGAAGAAAAATCTCTCTGAGAAATCTCAACATCACTGCTATACAAAGCCGCGACAGCTTGAACACAAGCCAATAACGAAGCTAAACTCTCGTAGCGAAACAACATTCTCGTTAAACAAATATCAAAGCTTCTTATTAGGCGAGATGAAAGCTCGAACCAATCGATCCAAGAAACTAATCACAAGAAGAAAAAAAATTGAACACTCGAACCTACTACCATTCCAATATATATTTAAGCCTCCATTTGGCCCCCAAATAATTTGTTACTCACGAAAAATTACGTGCCGCATCCTTCACGCGAGAGCCTGACAGCCTCATTATGCAGTTTATCCTAATGTGATACGTAGGATCAGACGGGGAGATAACATCAAGGGCTGTGCATTTCTTGCGTTGTATCGAAGTTCCCAAACTGGTAATCCAGGGTGTGCAGAACCTGGAAAGAGCCTCTCCTCGACCCCACCCCTCCCTTCACAGGTCTCCACTCAGGCTATAAATCCCTGCGAACAAGTGATTGAAAGTGCAGACTCTCAAGAGCCTCTGTCAGTAAAAAACTTCAAAAGGTCTGGTACATCTTCCCAAGAAAATAGAATAGAATGATTGCTGAGATTTACCAAATACTCAATCCTGATAAACAAGTTCACTTTGGCCCATGCTCTTTTCCAACATCACAATATAAAAAGCGAAACAATCCCGCCCCCAAACCTGATCTCCCCCGCAAAGACTTTATTAAGAAAACATAGCCCATGCACTTACCTGGCTAATCAACAACTCCACATTCGCAATCTGCAACACGAGTAAGTTGGTCTGATGTTTCGGTACCGACGGCGCAGCATCAGCGGCACACGCGGAGAAATTGAAACACTTAAGTATAATACTTCTGCCGCGATCGGACAAAAACACCGCCGAATGTTTTTATCCCCGCAGCACCGCATGCTATTTTTGTAGCGAACACTCTAATAAATATAGAGAGTGGGTGATATCTGATTAGATCAGATTCCGAATGACGGGAGGCTTTGTTCACCACCGAATGTAAGTAGCTAGCAGCCATCTTGACTGATCCATAATCTTTTTCAATTTAAACATCGCAGAAAACCTCAAAGAAAACCGTTACCCCTACAAAAGTTCGAGCGCAGCGAGGATTGGGGGTTTGGGGGCAAGTCCCCATAAAAGAGATAAATCAACGTACACGTGTCAGTCATAAAATTGAAGAAAATCCGAGCGAAAAATGTAATTATGCCCAAAAAATTTCTAAAACAAAACAAAAGTTTTCATTCTGTCTGCAAGTAATATAATTCTATCTATTCATCCTTCATCCTTCATTTCGTGCATTGGGGGTATGTTCATCACGTCATAACTTATAAAAACCTTTTATTTCCTTCCCATCAATCTATCCATTTCGATATTCTTTCAGACCAGGTATATAGTATCGTATTCAGTCCGATACCACTACAGTCATCAATCAGAAATCCATTCCACCAAATTATTCCTAAAGAAAAGTCCTTAAATATGCAATCACAAGTTTTGCAATGATGGGTGTCCGTTCAACAATTCTGGGTGGCTTCCACCAATGAACTTGACAACACCCTTAACCTTTTCTCTAGTCTCAATCTCCAATTGTTCAACTGGCTCACCAAGAACTGCAGCGAATACTGGAATCAACTTTGGAGTGAGTTGCAAAATTGTTTGGTTGCTTTGACTGTAAAGTCCAGCAATCATTTCAAAGATTGGCTCATTCTCTTCGTAATCTTCTTTGAGTGGCAACAATCCAGCCATAACTGGGAGAATATCGCTAAGTGGAACAGCATCTTGGTGGGCCATTATCATACGGGAAACACATCCACAGGCGTTGTCAATGGAGCGGGCATGGTTGGTTTGAAGTAAAGGCTCGAGTTTGCTGAGGATGTTGTTGTATGATGGAAGATAGGTAGCGCTATCTTGGGAATGGAATATTAAAAGACCGGTACCGTATGCGGCATTGGACTTTGCCTCAGGGTCGGTATCAGAGAGGCGTTTGAGGAGAACTGGCAAGAGGGAAGCAGTGAAAGGAGTAATGGCTGATCCCATGTGGCCGGTAATTTCGGCAATGACACCAATGGCGGTAGATCTCTCGAATGGAGTGTTGGAAGAGGCAAACTTCTTGAGTGGCTTCTCGAACTCCTTGAAAATCTCAGCGAATTGAGCTCCGAGAGCGAGAGCAAGGTTTGAGGTAAGGTCGAGAGCGGTATCAATGACGAGCCAGTCATATTCGGAAGATTCAGCATCTTCCTCATCAGGTGACTCAAGTTCATCACCAAGATCTTGTTGACATGGGTGAAGACGCATGATGACAGAGAAGATGACGTTCTTGATGGCTTCAGCAAAGTTTGGTTGAGCCAAAATAGCTGGTCCGCAAAGCTTCAATGTAGAAGCAACGTTGCGGTTAATATCAGTAACGACACCACTATTGTACAATGTTAGATATATTCTTTAAAGAAATTTGTACAAATAAATGACAATAATAATGATCAGGAGTAGATACGCGTTCGCAGCATGTGCAACTTGTGCATCTGAGTGAGCTGGGTATAACGTCATGTTGTTCATCATTTCATGTTAGGTAAAGATAAAAGGAAATTTGGCTTACCGGTCATATTCATCTTCCCAGAGAGACATTGTAGCAGTTGTAACAATCTCTCCCATTCTGACCAACTCAGGAGTTGGTTCAGCTGCCAAAGGTAAACCAGGGGTCCACTTTGTTCCGGTCTTGTCTTCCATCATGCTGTAAAGACAAGCGTATGCTCTCCACATTGTGCTGATGGCGGTCTTTCTAACACCTTCGTAAGAGTGTTCAACCAATGGAGAAATAGCCTCGATGGTTCTCTCAAAGTATGGCATGTAGTGTTGACGAGTATGTGTAAGAATATCACCAATGACTTCGACGGCGACTTCCTTCTCCATTGCAACGGCGGTGACGGCAGTGAGATCATCCCAGTCTTCATCATCGTCATCATCATCCATGTCATCAGCCTCCTCAACATCTGTGGCACCAGCAACCTTGACCTTCTTTCCAGCGACAATGACTTCTTGGCCAAGCAAGTCTTGAGCATGTTCACCAAGCTCAACCTCAAGGTTATCTTCTTCCTGGTCCAAACAAGCAGCCAAAGCAGTAACAACTCCCTCAAGGAAAGGTGTAAACTCCTCCTCGTAAACCTTTGCCAAGGTACTCCAGAGGATGTAACTGGTTTCCTTAAGACGTGGGTGGTCAAGATGTAAAGCTTCTTCACTGGCCTGCATCAATGGCTTGACATAAGGTTGGAAGACTTGAGCACCAACAGCTGCTGCCATACTTCCAATGGAATCACAGACAGTAGCACGGAGATCGAGCTCATCATTGCTTGACTTCAATTCAACAAATTGTGCCAACTTCTCAATGGTGTCCTTGAAGAAAGGAAGGAATTCCTTTTCAGCGGAGCTAGCAAGAGAACCAATAGCACTTGCAGCAGCAGACTTAACACCAACATCTGGGTGATCCAACAATTGAGTAAGACGTGGGACAAGAGTTGGGAGGTAGTTCTTGACAATTTCTTGGTCCATACCCTCAGTCAAGGAGTCCAAAGCACCACATGATGCCTTCATGGTATCAAGAGTTTGCTTGTCATTGTTTCCACCGGCTGCATATTGCATAGCAGCATCAAGGTTCTTGAGAAGAGCAGGAATGAGGTGCTCGTGAGTGCTTTGAAGATCTTCGGCAAGATCATCTGCCAATCTTGCAACACCGTTAAGAGCTGCATGTCTGACACCACTTTCTGGGTCCTCGAGAAGTTTGAAGACAATGGGTAAGAAACTATCCATTTGAGTACCGACGAAATCCGGTGCACCTTCAACACACATACCGAGTGCAAGGATACCAGCTTGACGATATCTTGGATCTTGATGATTAGAGAATTGTGGAAGAGCGTTTAGAAGAGGAACGATAACTTGACGAGGTGGCAAGCTTTCTGCGAGTAAGCTAAGAAGACCCAATGCAGAGCGAGCTGGAGAAGTCTCATCGTCCTCATCATCATCATCCTCGAGCTCGGTAGCGATCTGCATGCTGGTCATGGTGATCTTCTCACCCAAATCCTTTGTGCCTTGAATCTTCATCTTTCTATATCTGGTGCATTGCATGATGAAAGACAAAGCTTGAGTTCTTGCGTCGTTCTCGTTGTTGGTGTTTGAGGCAACCTCAAGCATGAAGTTGCAGAGTTCTCTGAAATGAGGTGCAATCAAAGCTGATTCACAACCCAACAAAGTTTGGAAAACCTCGAAAGCTTGTACGGTGCGGTCCTCCTCCTTGGAATCAATGAAGTTCTTCAAGACAATGACCATTTGTGGGAAAATTTCAAGGAAGAGTTTCAAACTTTCTGGATCCTCATCTGGCTCGATCATAGTAGCAACAGCACCAAGGCAGATCAAAGTGTTAATTCTGACATCAGTGCTCTCTTGATCGTGAATGGTTTTGCTGAGAATGGAGAACAAAACAGCGGTCTGCTCGGCGAAGTATGGTGAAGCAGTCTCAAGTAAGGTAAAGAGAATGAAAACTCCGACCTCACGATGTGAGACTTGAGGAGAGCTTGCGGCTTGTGCGAGAGTATCTGGAAGGTTGGCCCACTGTCCGTTTTCGATATCTTGACCTGCAATAGCGGCAATAACACGAGCACCAGAGTGTCTAACCAATTTGACCTCCTCATTTAATGTCTTTTGTAGAAGTTGTTCTCGGATTTGTTGTTTTTGGGCATCTGAAATGCTTTTCCAGTGCTTCTTGACCAAGCGTTGAGCCTCGACGGCGGCTTGTTGTCTAATTGCTTGATCTCCATGAGCGATGAAGATCTCGATAAGCCAGAGAAGAGATTCTGGGTTTGGGTAATAGTTCTTTCTCAATTCCGTAGTTGCGGCCTTGACACGCTCCGTATCAGCTGTAATGATGGAAAGATTAGCAAAAATGGAGGGGTATTCTGCGATTTGGTAGAAACTTACGAATCTGAACGCCCTGTAAGAGCTCTAAGAATTGTTGTTGATCCATTTTCAAAGTATATTTACACGTATCGCATGCAAATATTGAAAATGATTGAAAAGGAATGACAAGAGAAAAATGTTGAAGTTTGGGGTTCAAAATATTATCTTAACTTTTTTTTTTACCATGGCCGATGTGGGGGAGCAGGTCCAGGGTCTTTTTAGTTTTCTTTTTGCCTCAGGCTACAACAGATCCACCCGCATTACAGCTAGTATCCATGGGTTGTGGATAAAATTTTATTCTTCTCATTTGATTCTATTCACAATATTCAATGCTTCAAGATTAGAAGTCATTTAACACGGCAAAGCGCGGAAAAGATGTTGAATGTTATTACACATCGTGGCAAGGAAATCCCACTAGTTAAGACAAGCATAATGCTATTGGTTCTACAGGGAAATCACCACCTTTAATGAATTAGATCTCCCTCTCGCAGGTCGAAGAAATTGAAGAATAAAAAATTCACTCCTTTCAAAATTCAATATCAAATTATATAATCAATATGTTGGACCAAAAAAGACCATGATGAATTCTCCAATATCGGAATTCAGCCTGGCGCTATCTATGTTCACTCGAAGATGTTTCTAGCATATACACGATTCCATTGGAGTGATATTCGTGCCCCGGCCATTCCGTTCTATTGGATCATCTCTCGAACCTCCTGGACGAACAGCATTTCACGCAAGCGAAAGAAGTTTCATAGAAAAGCCTCTGATTGGCGATTCAGATTGACTACTAGGTCGTCGGTCTTTCATCTCTGGTTTGAAAATATTCACATTCAGGCATTGAGGTTCTTAAGCAATTTTCGAAAGATTGTATTCTCACAGCCCTCTTGGGTAAGAAGGTCCTGTCGTCATGTACTTTGTTCATTATGAATAGTCACAAGATAGCAACTGTAAAACAACGAGTTGTTTCCTCGGTTTGATATTGGCAATTATCAAGTGCTAGTGCACGGATGATCACTGCCGCAGACCTGCATACCCACCCAGGCATATGCAGTCAGAAACCCCCCCGCGCAAGCAGACGCAGTAAACAATGTTCCTCGATTGGATACTTCATGTTGAATTATCGGTCAATCGGTCAGGAAACACTTCCGTTGTCACACAAACTGTTGGGCCACAAGTGCTATCATGAACTTGTTCATTTTGATATATATTTCAAGCCTTCCCGTCCTAGATAATCTTACAAGACAAAATCAATGACCATTCGAACCTCAATATGATACAAGATCCTATTTCTGCAAGCGACCGTGGAAGAAGACTACTTCCTCACGTGATCGATGGCCTAGCTTTAAGTGATCCCACTCGTGTTTTTGTATCCATTCCATTATCAAATAACCTCCAAGATGGATTTCAAGATATCACGTACAAAGACTTTGCCCGTTCTATCGATAAATGCTCTTGGTGGATGGAAGAAAATCTAGGTCGCAGTGAAACATTTGAAACACTCAACTATGTCGGACCTCAAGACTTGCGATACATTATATTACTGCTTGCTGCTATCAAGACTGGCTATCAGGTTCCATACACTTCCTTCGGTTAATCACTCCGAACTTCTAACATAATTCATAGATGTTTTTTAATTCACCTCAAAATAGTCTAGAGGGTCATATTGCACTACTCGAGTCTTTGGAATGCAAAATCCTTTTAGTCCCAGAGACATTACCAGCTATTACCCAAAGTCTTCTATCGAAAAGACAAATGCGTGCATTAAAAATACAGAATCTCCAGGACTTAATTTTGGACTATTTTGTACCATCATACCCATACACCAAAACCTTCGGTCAAGCAAGATATGAACCTTTCGTTGTCCTCCATACCTCCGGTTCAACTGGTACCCAAAAACCCATTATCTTAACTCACGGCACCATATCCCAACATGATACCTTCCTCCTCCCACCACTATCCGGCCATCAACCCATCACTCTCTCACTATACCAGAATGCTCGAGTATTCATCGGTCTAGGTCTCTTCCACAGCGCAGCCATCTGTTTCACATCATTTTGCATCTACTACACCACCACAATTGTTCTCCCTCCACCCATCCCAATGACACCTGAAGTAGCCAATCTTGCCCATCTCCACGGAAATCTCGATGCCAGTTTCCTCAGTCCTCCATTCTCACCCTCATCGCAAAAACCCCCGAATACCTAATCAACATCAAAAACCTTCGCTACCTAAACTACGGCGGTGGACCTCTCCCAGCCGAAATCGGAAACATCTTAAAACTCCACACTCACCTCTTCGCCCATTTTGGCGCTACCGAAACCGGTTTCTACGCGCTCCAAATTACCGGTCCTGAAGATTGGGAATACATGAAATTTAGTCCTACGATGGGTATTGAACTTCGTCTTTTCACCAAAGATCTCTATGAATTATGCTTCATCCGCCAACCCGAACTCGCGTTATCTCAAGGCGTCTTTTCTACATTTCCTTATTTGGATGAATATTCGAGTAAAGATTTATTTTCGAAACATCCGAATAAAGAAGGATTGTGGCATTTTGAGGGTAGAACAGATGATATGATTATTTGTTCTACGGGGGCGAAAATAAATCCGATGGGAATGGAGGGGTTTTTAAATGCACATCCTGCGGTTGAGGTAGCGATTGTTGGTGGTTCGGGAAGAATGCGGGGTTATCTGTTGGTGGAAGCGAGGGATCCACCTCAGGATGAAAAGGAGAGAGATGCTTTGATTGAGAAGCTTTGGGATACGATTGAAAAGGCGAATCAAAATGAACAAATTCATGGGAAGATAACCAAGGAATTAATTTTATTTACGAAAGCTGAGAAGCCGATGGTGAGGGCGGGGAAGGGAACTGTTTTGAGAAAGTTGACTGAGGAACTGTATAGAGAAGAGTTGAATGATTTGTATGGTGCTTTTGAAGAACAATTTCCTTACTCATGTCGCTCCAAAAATCCAAGTCTGTCTTTTCTTCTCTGATGCTTATGGCTCTTCTCCTTCTTGTTTCTGCTTACCAGCTCTAATTGCAAAAGTATGCTTCGATCTACTGTCTTTTTCGTCATGATGTATCCTCCAAAAATTATTTCCCGCTTGAGTAAGTGAGTTAAGGTTCAATTGAATTCTTTATGGGAGAAGGGAAAGTTTGGGCAGCCACAAGGAAACGAGATTATGAAATTACTATTATATATAAAAATCGTTATTCATTGTAATGCCGTGAATCTCAAAACTCCCCAAAACTGAGAGAAGCATTGCTGTGCTGATTCCAACTCGAGATTAAGAAACTCCCCCCTAACTTTATTTCCAGATAAAACTACCAGATTAAGTGGTCTAAAACAAATTTAATTTGAAATCTCGAATAGCCAAGATAGAAATTGCGAAGAACAAAAAGGCCGCATGTTCAATGACCCGAAGGCGACATATTCAAAGCTTTGAAAGCAGCGACGGCTTGTGCAGCACTAACAGCTAGTGATACTATTTCAGGAATAAAGTCGACGCTCCAAATATAATAATGCCCCAGAAAGTATCATAGTTCAATGCATCTCTCCTGTCTCTCCAAAGTTGTCGAAATCCTCGAGGTTTTTGCGAATCCATATAAAATTTCAACTCACGTATTCTTTTTTCGAAGATTCCGAAATCCGAATAGCGAAAAGCGGTCCCCTGTTGGGCTTCAAGCGCAATGTTGGCCATCCACAGCTTTTCCAACCTCTCAGCGTGATAATTGCTTATAATCTCAATTTCAGCCATACTCAGATGCGCTGGATCAAGATAATCTGATCGTCATGGGTACATTGTAGCAGTAGAATGACGATATAAATGTCTAATCGGGTCGAAAGATATACTTTCGTATGCGTGTTTGAGCCAGACCATAGGATCATTTGCTAGATGGAAAAATCTTAGCGTCAAATCAAGATACGATTTCTGGTACTTAGGCATTGTGTATCCATAGGAAAATATCACTGCCCACGAAGCTCCAATACTACCTCCATCCAGTCAATTATTCTGTCTTCAAATTCATCTTTATTCTTGCGTGAGCAAATTTCACAAGAATTGATGCTTTTCAATTATTTAGTATCTTGTCATGATTCAGCAGCTCATAGATGGGGGCTTACAGAGCTTTTTGCAACCTCTCGAATCTTGAAACAACGTGTAATCTTGGATATGCAAGATACAGTGTTCTGTCAGTGACAAGTAACAGAAAACGTTCTTCCAGATAGTCTGTCCAATATATTTTGAAATTCCCGATCGTCTTCAACGCCTTTATGTCCAGATTATCAATCTGTCCAGTGTTTCCAGTGGCAATTTCAGACTCCGCTAGATTGCATCTAGACATGCGAAAAGATATTCTTAGTTCTGCAAGACTTAGAGCTAAAAGTTCGTTGACTGGGTGAATTTCTATCAATCTAGGAGCAACAGTCTCCAAAAGTACCAGGTCAAAACATTCGTTCAGAATTGACATTGCCACGATAACCGTTTTGACCTGAGCTCGATATTTGGTATTCTCAGTGATGCCAGGAGTTGATTCTAGAAGCCGAAGTTGCTTGAGTACTTTGTTTTTGTAACCAAACTCGAGTATGGACCCTATCGTCTGAGCTGATGTTTCCCTCCATGTTAAATGCGAGATTCAATAAGTTATGTAAGAGATCAGGATTGCGGTAAAACTTCCTGTGCCCAAATGTACACTGGATCCAGAGTAGAGATAGGTGAAAAGGCGTCTTCGCAACCACACTTTTCGTATTGCTAGAGGGTACTGAAAATCAATGCCTTGATTAAAAAAGTCTGCAAGATATTTCGACCAAGCTACTTCGAAAGTTTCGTGGAAGGGTTCGAACTTCGACAAGCTGTCTAGTAGGGCCATGTCAATGGTATATGTCGGGTCTATTTCAATTTTCTTAATTGGCCAAGGATGATCATGAATACGAATTTCGACCTTCTCCAAGGCGGAATTTGCCCGATACCTGGTTGTTGTCATGGTTCCAGTTTCTTCTGGGCTATTTTCGACGGAATTCGAGGCTAGTGAAACAATGGGTTTCAGTTCAACGGCCACATCTAGAAGTTGAAGTTCAATCATGTGCTGCTTCCGTAATATTCTTCTCTGGGCCTATTTCAACGCTTTTCATGATTTTTCGGCTTTCCTTTAAGACTTTTATGCCGTATTCCACCAGTTGCTGCAACTTCGTAATAGGTACTGTGACTAAGATTTCATCTTGACCTTGAGATGCCGCTTCGAGTGTGTCTGTAGCCAGACCGTGAGATTGTGCCGTCGTGTTAGTTTGAGGCAGTAGACCGGACTCAAATCGTTGATCTGTGAGGTCAAAATATTAAAATTTGTAACAAAGAATTCCCAAAGAAAGACTCGAGAAATTTCCTATTCAGAAGGGGTTTTCGCATATACCAGACTGGTCACAATCCGCGTAAGGTCTTTCTTTGCCATTTCCTGTCGAATTCATTTCAAAACGTCCATCTTCATCCGTGATTGTTCGGATCTGCTGGGGCCATGTCAACTTCCCCTTATTTGATGCTGAAGAGTTGCTTTTCCCCTGATCGGAATCACCGCAATTCCCTATCTCAACGCGCGACTCCATTTTATTCAATTCGATATCCGTCATAGTATACTGATTGAAACAAATAAATCACTTGATGAAAAAGAAGTCGAAGTAATAAAGGAAATAATTTCTCAACAGCCTCGACGTACATGCCTCGACATGCAGTGCGACTATACCTCGCATATACGGTCGGGTATGTACATGACGTGAAAGGATCACCTACGATATTGAAGGTCAAATATCATAGGAATACAGATAATTTTGCTATTTATGAGTTGGCAAGTTTCAATTTACCATCGAGAAAACTGGCGGGGGGGTTCCACACTAGTGGCAATCTGCTCATGATGCTGTAACATGGATGGCTTTCAAGTATAATGAAAGACACGCAAAAGGAGAGAACAAAAAAAATGTCCCACACTTATAATTCAATAAAAATCGACTCGTTGACGCATCTTTGTGTTGCGAAGAAGGACTTGTTGAAAGATTTTTAAGTGATCCCACCAAATCTACTTGTTCACGCCTTCCTCGCTGGCCTTGTACCTCCTTCCTCTGCTTCCAGTATCTTCCATAAGAAAATTGGTTTTTGTTCTAAATATACGTGCTCTCGGTGATTGAAGATTCAATTTGGATTGAAATAAATCAATACAGTTCTTCCAAGGGACAAAGTTTGGGGTTATTATATTTACCACCTTCCACAATCTGCTACACTTAACCCACAACTCACTTTCTATGTCTTTTTCAACTGGGGGATATTCGCACTGAAGCAACCACATGACCGCTGGCATAATTTCATCACAAGGAAGAACAAAAACGATGGTAATTTAAAGTAGCTCGGATTTGGATAGAGAAACAATCCCGGGAGAAGCTGATTATTTTGCCTCGGTCATTCCAAAGCAAATTCTTGCTTGTTGGCCATTTTTCATAGAGGCTTGAAGTCCACCCCTTCAAATGATATTTTGGACGAAGTCACCGGGGAAAACGGTACGATAAACCTCCATACCGCCATCTTCGTGACGATGATGTCTATTCGCCATTGTAGAAGATTGAGAGAATTGACGGCACATAGGAAGCGTCCACTAACAGGCTCTCGCACATGATCCAAGATCCTCAAAGCAGTAACTCATAGTTTGAGCGTGCTTTTAGAGAAGACTTAAGCCGACATATAGTTATATTGTAACCCTCACTGGATTGAACATGTACCGTAGAGTTTGAGAGAAGTTAGACCATCTTTTGAGGAAGGTGGGCGCCGGTTCTTCGTATTCCTATCCTACCCGCTAACTGCCTGTCCTTTGAGTTTCTGTTTCATGTTAATCGTTAGTAAGCTTTTGTGACCCTCTGAAGCGATTCTCGTAATAATCTCAAGTCAAAAAAAGAAAAAGAAGGTAACAAGATATAAAGAGACAACAAGGTAGCATACCGGCATCATCGATTCTCTCTCTTACAACAACCATTGCCTTGTCACTAGCATATCCTCCACTTGCTTGTATTTTTCCTTCCACTTCATCGATCTTGGATGTATTGGTCCGGAGTAGAAGTTCCGCTTCGGCGATCACAGGGATTGAAAGTTCCAGAACGAATCCTGGCCAGATTCTCTGAATCCACTCGAATGACTGTCAGTAATCTGGTCTCGGGTGATTCGATATGAGTGTAGCAAAAACACAGCGGTATCTTGACTATTGGTGAAGATTGGTGGCTCCCTCTCCATTTGATAATTTTCCTCCAGACTTCCTCGTCCATTTTTGTCCCTTCAGGGCGAACCATGGTTAGTGAAGTAAAGCCTTCTGGACCCAGGTAGGCAGAGTCGCAAAAGGACCGGTAGTACCAGTCGTAGCCATAGCTCATACCTATGTGTTGAATATAGGTTAGCTTGTGTATCTTTCCGTCCCTACGGATAAGGCCGTTAAGCAAAGTCGTGTAGCTCAAACCTTGTATCAAAGCTCAAACTTTTTGATAAGAATAAACCCGAGGATTCTCGCTGTCACTCTTTTCAATGGTGGATGTTGCAGTGCACCTTGCAAGGACATACAATTGTCGGCGGTGATCCCACTCTGTGGACTTTTCTCTGAATCAGATTGTATCTATGATGCGAGCAATGACCTCTTACCCAATGAAAAGGCAGTTCTCTTGTGTGACTCTGTTGAAGATGTATTAGCAAGATACAAAATCAATCTGCAGAATTTTTCTCACATTTTTTGAATGAAGGAAATTGTTGGCTTAGGTTTCATGTTGATCGGAGAGAAGTGGAACAAAGGGCGAGGACTAAAAGGAAGTTGACTGTTGCCAGCAGTATTGAACTGAGTATTCATATCCTTCAGTCCTGATTCTTGGCCTAAAATCCCATGAGAATATGTTAGCATAGCCCGATATTCAGGTGATATAAATGAAATGACAATCGATCTTACCTCTTTTGCCCTTACCAAGAGCGTGTATCGGATTTTCAAGAATCATATGGAAATCTTCGACTTAGGCATCCTTCAATTCGAGAAGATCTACCCAAGGAACTGAAAGGAAGAGGGGCCCCTATTAGTTTGTGGATAGTTTTCTTCGCTTTGAACAGCCTTTTGAGCTTGGCTTCCGGGGATCCCTCTCCCTGATTTTCCCACTCAGTCACTTGGGTAGTAAGTGAAGCTTGAGTAAGCGTTGGCATTTTCTTTATCCGCGACGTCGACTTCACTGCTCTTTTCCGAGCTGCTTTTTTTTCTCGTGTTTTGTTCTGAAGCGGCGCCGATGAAAGCGTTCCAATCCTATTAAGAGTATAAGTAAAATATATAAACATAAATCGAACAGTTGTAACAATGAATTAAACGTGATAAATATGATCAATATGGTGAGTACTCACTTCATAACCAACACGAGGGCGAAATTTTCACTATTTCGATGAATTCTGCTTTCTTGAAGCATGCTCTGAGAGAGCTGTAAGCTGTAAAATATTAATCGTAAGAATGAGGAGGAGGAATCAAAGATTTGAATGTATAACTTCTGGGTGGAAAATCGAAGGTATGTAAGCATAGGGCAATATTGGATAAAGGAAGATTGAATAATAAGTGCGACCAGGCTGAGCTTGAAGGTCATGATATTTCGCTCGTTCTAAAAATTGCCATCTTCCAAGGGCTTTGGCCGGAAAAACAAGGTAGTCAATATGGTACTTATCCGGATCATGCTCAACTTATTTCCATTTCGAATTCTTCTTTTGGCTTTTCCCACAAAAGTTGAGTTTGTTGAACTTAAGACTCTTCTTGTTTTTTTTCAACCTTTTACAACAACTCGATTGATGAATGGAAACAAAGACAGGTAAGTCCTCTCTACTTTTACCCAGCACCTACTATATGAGCAACAAACTGATTACTTTGGAAGAATCTCACGGCTTTGTTCTACCAGTTCCAGGCTTTGAAATCTAATAAGGCATCATATATGATGTGGCAAGGTCGAATTGGTTCACGACAACCGTGAAGTAATTTACCTCTTCTGTTCATACCAGTGTCGAAAATTTCCGGCAGTTCATGAATTCAACTCATGTCCTTTCAATTTACGATACTTGATTCGGAACAAAAGCTAATTCCCTTGCATAGATCGTTGCTGGAAGTCCGATCCAGTCAATGGTTCTGCCCGTTGTGAAACCAACCTTTCCGCCAAGACTCTCAGCGTCCTCATGGCCAAGAACGTACGCAATACCCTGAACTTTAGCACGATTCCAATGTTCTGATCTGATGAATTCTGTAGCAAGGCTTGAAATGGCACTAAAAGATAATTCTGAGTATCTTCACTATGGAGCGAATGCACTGTGCAGAGTTGAGAACTTTACAACCGCCGTCGGTATAAGAAGAGACTTGTGAATATCTTCAGTATGGAGCGAATGCAGAGTTGAGAACTTCACAACTGCTGTTCCAGGTTTTAAACCTTCGCTCCGGGCATGAAGCTTGTCGGAATTGTGAGCCAATTGGTCGATGATCACATGGTTTTCTTCAAAGACAAGTTGAAGATCGATACTCCACTCTTTCCGGAGGTGAATGCATATTCCTTGATTGCAATGACCTACCAATTCCTTATTCGGTGGGTTCACCATTGTTCCCAAGATTTAGTAACAATGATGGAACTGACTATTCCGGCTTCACAGATCAAGCATCCGGAATTCACAAATCAAAGAGAAAAGGCCCGCTCCTTCCCTTGAGGTAATGCAAGAAGCCGGTGCCGCATCACCCTCTCCCACGACAACCTTATTCGACATCGCTTCCACAGCAATCATTTCTCAAGATCCGATTGATTCTTAACATGGCCGTAAGTAAAAAAGAAAATCCTGATGCACGATCTATCGATACTAAATACTAATTACTATGGTTTACATACAGTCCTGGCAGAGACGATGCGAGCCCATGAGAGAAGGCAGAGCACCACAACCATTCATGCAAGAAGGGGTAATTACAATCCTAGCAATTTTGGAGATCTTGTTCAGACCTGACGGTATTGGTACTCAAGCCGGTAGTTCAGGTGCAAGAGAGGGAAAATCATGAGAAACTGCTGCTGCTGCACATCATGGTGATGTAGTCCTCCCAGCAGAGTCTACCAGCTACTGCTCGGTACTATTACCTCCCCCGTGTGTAGAATATTTCACTTACACTAATGAAACAACAGCAAGTCTCGCAGATCAAAATTTGGATTACGGAGTCCGGAAATTCCCCCACCCTTGTCGACCAAGATACTATCTGGCAACGTGAGGAACAGAGACAGAGCGGTGGAGCGCGCAGCTGGACGGAACTTTAGAATTTCTAATGTTTGTCAGTATATTTATCTACAACTTCTAGAATTAAAACATTCTCCCTCATCGTTGCTTTGGCTTGAAACTCACAATCTGCGAATAAATAGCTGTGAAGAACAAAACTTGGTACTAGTGCCAGTGGTCATGACCTCAGCAGAATTATCTAGAGCATTAGTCGGTCTGCGAGGGTACCAGCATACAGAGGAAGTGAATTGTCATCGACACTCAGCATGCGTAAGAAAAAATTGCTGAAATCTCTCAAAGGGTAATACGTTCCCACGAAGTATAGCTCCGGTAAGTTATCTGCACTGTATTCGAATATAGGAGTGCCGCTAACATGGGCCAGTATCACTTGACTCTTATACTTCGCAGAATTATACTGAGACGCTACGACTGCGTAAATACTATTCATCTGCACCATTCTCCTTCGTTTCTTCTACGCAGCTCCGACAAGATTTCTGATAAGGCCTGCCCCTATTCCATCCCATCATCATCTCCGCAGATACTGCGGCACATCACATCCCACAAACCACACTCAGCAAGCACACTCTCCCATTCAGAAAATTCCAAAACAATTTTTATCACTAGTTTAGTTTCCTTCCTTTCAATCTCAATCTCAATTTTATCCCATTCTATTCTATCTATTACCCCCACCCCTCAAAATTTACCGCGCATTGGAATCTAGTTATAGGAAATGACACTAAAACTATCAGTCTACTAATATAGACGTTAATTTTCTAATTTACAAGGAGAAAGAAATGAAGAAAATAAGAAACCCTTTTGTCATTCTTTTTTGTTCTGTGTAATAACAGTGTTGAGGACGATTTTCGTGTATCGTATTCTTTTTGTCGCATGAAGCTTGTTGTCGTATCAAGTCTCCCGTCGTGCCAAGCCTTCCATCGTATCATTCAACCCTTTGAAACATCACCAAACCACCATTCCTTAACGCGCACGTAATTGACCCAGAAAAATTGCCTTTAACCACCACATCCAAAGCCCCATTTTATTCCCCTCACCCAATTCACAGTTGATTCATCCCTCCACCAGATACCCATCTTCATTCCCCCAACACTCAACTCCATCCTCGCACCCCACCCCACCTCCACCTCTCCCCTCATCTCTACCTCCATCCCATACCACCCCTACAACTTAAACCCCGGCGGTCTAACCACTCCCTTCAATCCCCCCTCCTTCCTCCCACAGACCGCAAACTGAATCCTTGGCAAAACCGGTACTCTCTCCTCCCACACCTCCTCCATTCTCTCATTCCAAATTCTCCTCGGATTCGCCATCTTATATTCCATTCTCGACCTATACTTTTCCTGCAAACCCGGATTATCTCTCGTCATCGTCAACAAGAGATAACTCATCGTTCCAATTCGTTTCTTGAACTCTGGTGTGTCGAGATCCTCTACCAATTCAGCTGTGGTATGAGGATCCATGTGGCCGGTGTAATGTACCCAAGTGCGATAACGTTGTAATTCCCAGTATTGGTAAGCAATTTTAACGGCGCGTTTCATGTTGACCATTGCCTGATAGCCTTCGTAATCGTGGAGATGGTTTTCGGAGATGCTGGTCCATTTGAATTCTGTGTGTAATTAGTCATGTGCGACTGAAAATCGAATGAGGGAGGGAACTTACCTTTTACTCCCATGAGACTCTCGGTGCGATAGTAGATTGTAACCTCCTTGACGTGGAATGGATGGAAGTGACCAAGTGTTCTACCAGGAGGTGGTATAGCGGTTGATGGTATAACTGCTGCCCAAGCTTTTGCCACTTCGATGTCATAAAGTTCACGTCTTTCCCGAGCGGTTGAAGAACTCTTCATCAACATCAGCATAGTGTCACTTGAAAGAACTGGTTGATTTGGATCCAAATCATAGAGAAAAGCATTGAGAGCAATGCGTCCTTCAAGTTAATGTTCATGTTCGATCCAAAAAGTTTCGTGTCCATTGGAAAAATCATACATTGGCATGATACGATCCAATCCATTGATGTGACGATAGATAGTTGCTGGGCCAGTTTCCGAACCAAGTTCCCAATTCATCTTGGAGCAAAAGGCACCATTCAAACTCTCTTGTGTGTAGATATTCAAACCAACTTTCCGCGCTTCAGAATTGATGTAAAGAATATCTGGTTGTGGACAAACCCACTTGAAATCATAATGACGTACTGATCCACTACTGAGAGGAATCAATTGAAGACGTTTGCTGATATGATCATAGATATTGATGTAACAACTGGTGGATGAATGAACAAATGGATTCCTAAGACGCCAAACAGGTATGTCTCTTGGTGTTAAGTTATTGGCATATTCTTCCCAAATTTTGAGACGGATTTCTTTTGGAAAGTCTGCGAATTTCGGAAAAGAAGGGTTGGTGTCATTTCTCATGACAATCTCACGGTAAGAATTGATTTCTGCTCTTGCAAGGCTAGCAAGATTGTCGCTCTTTTTCATTCGACGTAAGCCCAATTTTTGAGGATGGCGTGAGATGAGAGAAACGTCAAACGGAGAAGAAAGATGAAGTTGAGGAGGTTGGAAATGATGAGCCGATGGGTTAATGCGATTTTGAGCTTTCAATCCATGGTGAGTATGGTGAAGAGCAGGACGGTAAGTTAAGTCGAAAGGGAAGCAAGGCTGAGTAACATAATTTTGTTCGATTGGAGTTGATTCGTCAATCATCTTGACGAAATTTGAAGTTTTCCGATCTTGAACAAGAAAGTTAGAGGCAAGATTCGTCGGATGTAGCTTGACAACAAGATTGTAGGCGCAAATTTGGTAGAGCATAGAAGTATGTAGAAGGATTAAAATGAGCGCCAAGATTGGTAGATGAAATCCAAGATCTTGATAAAAGAGCGTGAAACTGATGATTTGAACTGAGGAAAGAAAAGAGAAGTATCTCTGAATTTAATCCAAAGAGATGTGGTTGCTGGTAAAAGTTAATGGTTGAAGGTTGAAAATTACAATCTCGAAGATATTTGGGGTTTGTGGGGGATAAACATTGACAATCTTTGATCCCCGATCCTCGCAAGGAGGATGTTTTTATCAAAGCTGCTGCCATCGATGATTGAGGAATCCTTCCTTGGTCTTGCAGAGATCGGGTAACCATCTTTCACCCTAACCTGAGATCTCAATACTTTTTTCGGGAACCTTGACAGTCCAAAGATCTCTGCCGAACTTTTCCCCTGAACAAAGCCTTTTCTCTATTTAAGAACTACATCATATATTGGGGATGGTTTGTGGAGCAAGACTTTACTCACATATTTGACCACTCATAGATAACTAGTATACCTTTACAAAGAATTCTCCAAAAAGTGTTATGGCTTTTATTGTATAATGATTGATGATCCATGAATCCAAATTCAAGGGAAGTAATTCAAGGAAAGTAATCCAATGCGGTTCAAAACAGAACAGAGCAGAGGAGAGCAAACAAGAAGGTTGAGAGAAATATCATGTGAGGACACAACACAAACTTAAGATTTAAGATGAAAGGTCAAAGGCAAGTTTCCGCAAAGTTTATGTAGTATAAAATGTGAATGTAAGTTATAGTTTCAGGGGAATTTGTGAATTAAAGATTGCTGTAACTAACTTGATACTTGATATAGAGAGAAAGATATAAAAACATTCACTGTACCTAGGTAAGGTTCAAACAAACAATGCTTGGTTGGGTACCTGCGGCTCAACTCTCAGCTGTCCTCCAAATCAGGTCTCTCTCTAAAGAACTTGGATCTTGTGAGAAATGCGTCTACTAGATAAATGAAAGACGTTGTGAGTAGGGTACTTCTCATAACAGGTTATTGAACATAAGCAGTAGAAACGTAACGTTGAAGAACTTACTGTAGTAGAGATGTGAATAAGGTGATATGTGAGTACGGTCGAGGTGCTCTTCAGATGACTCTGCTGTATTCTGGTATTCTGTCTGGTGAATAAATCCACACCGGGTGCTCGGACCACAATTATTGATCATACCTAAACAATTACAAACAAAGTCTTCGACTCGAGTTCCCTTGTCAAGATCAGGAGCTTTGGAAGCAGCACCACAGCCTTGACATTATCATATCACAACACCATCCACCGTCAATATCTCATACTGAGAACAAAAAAGGTATCCCACTCACAACATCCCAAGAAAATCAACCTCTGTCAACTACACTTCAATCTATCATGGCGCCTTCTTTCGACTCATGTCTTCCGAAAGGTTATAAAGCTGCGAAACCAACCAAAGCTTTGGATTGTGCAGAAAAGCCGATACTTATCATTGACGATGACTCAAATCAACCCAATACTGATCAGACCAAGGGCCTCATCGTTTCATCACCGGATTGGAAAGAAAAAGGAAAAGGAAAAGGAAAAGAAAAAGAAAAAGAAAAAGAAAAAGGAAAAGCCACGGAAGCATACCACACTTACCAAGAGCAAGAGATCGATGCGGTAAGAACCTTGGTAACTTTGTCAAAAACAATACACAAAATGTCGACTGCACCTTCCGACAACAAGAAAGAAACCGGTCAACTTGCAACAGATAAGATGGCACATGAGACATCTGAACATCGGAAAAAGTTGCCAACAGAAATTTGGATTAAAATCTGGGAACTCGTCGCAAATGACAATCCAAGAAACCTTGACATCTGGACTTGGAGTGAAGGACCTGAAAAACTATGGGAGAATGAGAAACAGCGAATAATCAATGGCCCTCTGGATTATGCCTCTCGAATCCGATGGAATCCATTCAAATTCATAACAACGCAAGTTGTTCCTCCGATGTTACATGTCAGCTGCCTCTCACGGTACATTGGTCTAGAATATTATAAACTCGGCTTTGGCTGTCACCTCGGAATGCCCAAAATCCCCTCAGAAGATTACTCGATACTTGAGCCTCGAATTTACTATCATAAAAATGATCTTGTATGTCCAATGGGTCGGTTCAGCTCTAAAGAATCCGAGTGTTTTTGGGAACAGCTCCCCGAAGAAATATCCGCAATCGCCTTAAATTTAGGCAAGCTCAAGAACATTCCTCCAAAGCTGCACGAAAATAGTGAAGATTATAACAACCAAATTGCTCACGAACATTTTAGTTATGAGTATTCGAGAGGCCTCATTCAAGATCCTGATAGACTTGATGAATTGGAACTTCCCTTCTTTGGAAGCAATCGGGGTAAGGAATTTTCAAAGCGTGCGTCAAAGATTTACCTGTATTGTTTTGTCGATTACATCTCCAAACAAGGCCCCAGAGATTTTCGATTCACACCACTCGTCGGTGGCTCGAATGCTTTAAGCGTGCATGGGGATGTAGATTCAGATTTCAGCTTCGGTGAATTGGTGCGAAATGCTCACTTTAGCGGACGTGTAGATGATCATGGTCTAGACGATATGTATTTACGATGGGAACAATGGCTTCGATATGGGGGTTTAACATGGTTAAAAGATGGGGGGACGAAACCTGGTTGGATCCAAATTGACAACCCTACGGCATATGATCGGGACAGAAATGAGTTCTTTAGGTTTTTAGAACCTTGGGAGGAAGCGGAATTTATAAAACGTGGTGTTCCTAATATTGGAATGTAAGTACAACCTTCTTAATCCAGAAAACAGACAAATACTAATATCCGCACAGGAATTCTAAGTTTTGGGTTCCTGGAGTTCCTGAGGTTCATTCCATGAAACTCGAAATTCATGGTTAGGTTTTTGATGGTCTGCATGATTTGGTTTGGGAGTGGTATGGGTAGTAGGGCGATGATGGATTGACGGTTTCAATTGAGGAAGTGATGATTGATAGTATTGCGAATGAGTTATGTACCCGATGATCAGCGGTTAAGATTTTGATCTATTGATGGGGTCTGAAAGTTATTGGGTTGGATTGATCAAGCCTGAGGAAGGACAGAACAAGGACAAATAGAGACAGGATGAGCCAAAGTGAGCCAAAATGAAGCACCAAAAATCCAGAATACAGGAATCCAAAAACAAATAGAACTGAGCCGATCTAGTAAGCTTTTCATTATACAATCTCATATACACAATCGTGTACAAATCATTGTGGCATCCCACCTGATAATTTTCATGATTTGTGACGAATGGAGTGAAGTTGGAAAAAAGTACGGTTGATGTGGGCTATTCCTAATATAGACTAGACCAGCGGTAGATGCACGGATCATGTCTTGTCAATTTGGCGTGCATATACCTGCACGCCTGCCACGCCTGCCACGCCGGTAGCACAAAGTATCGACTACCGTCGTTGGCTTGATTTGAGGACTTCAAATATAATTTACATCCTGGGCTTTCAATTGAAGAGAAGATGCGGTTTTTATTCTCAAACGTATAAATGATGCTTGACACACGATTTACAAAATTTATCGCATGTATGTACTGGATACGAACATGTCAAGGATAGAGGATGAAGAGGGAAGAGAGAAGGCTACTTTCTTGATTGTGGGGTATGTTGCTAACGGTAGTGTTGACGGGAGTGCTAACGGCAGTTTGAAGATCCATATACCTAGGTCAGTATTAATTATGAACTAATAATAGGTACAAGAACAACAGATTCAAACATATACCAGCAGTCAATCATCAAACTACAAATTGATGATTATACACTACCTACCTAGTAGGTACTCTTCAAGACATTTATCTCGAGTTCGATCATATCGGCTTTCATATTTAATCTCTGCTTCAAAAAGGGGTATATCTAATAAGTAGTTCATCGTATATATCTGTCTCATGTCAAGGTTCAGTCACATATCGGCAGCTCATATTTTTCGGGTTTGTAATTTCTACTTTTCTCTTCTCACTTTGTATCATAATTATTACTTCGTCTACAGAGTGTAGCCATTGTTAAATTAACTAAACATGCGGAGAAAAATCCTATTTACTCCACATCACCCTTTCCAAGCCGTCCCGAGTAGCCAAGACATGAGATCTGGGTGTTGGTAGCACATACTTCACGGAATTTGGATCTCTGGACTTGAGAAGGAATTCGAGACTGGGACGAAGTATTGTATCATGAGAGACATCTTGATACACAATCTCTTCGATTCTTTTGCGGTACAAGGATCCCGAAAGATTGGACTGTGAGTACTCAGGACGTGAATTCGGAAATGATGTTTAGATGAATCGGATGACGGATTATTTGTGGTTGATGGATAAGTTTCATTATTATTTTCTTGATTATTTACGGCATAAAAACACTCCTTATGTACTTGAGGGTATGGTATTAAATAGAATTTCAGGTCTGATACGTCAAAATTCTGAGCATTATCGGGAAGGGGTAAGGAGGTCAATCTTTACTTTTGTAATCACGAAAATTTAATCGATAATGTGCGAGCATATATCTATCACATTTAGCCCTTTCACAAATTTGATTGAAGAAGTGTTTCAATCTTCATGAGATAAAAGATTTCCGCACTATATTTCCGATATGCAGCGTCCATTCTGACATCGAGATAATACAGTATCATTACACCGACCAAAACCGAACATTTAAACTTCGGAATAACGTCAATATTGCCCAACAACACTCAATTCATTCAAGCACTTCATTCGCATGCCCCAAACTTAAAATGCGGAAGAAGACTTTCATAGCTAACAATTCCATGGAGGAATATTAATTTCCGTATCGTATCAACATGTACCGGCAAGGTATCAATCAGGTTCAAACTGACTGACTCAAGACAACGTTAATTCAGTGTGGAGTTTAGTTACACCGGTAAGTCACCAAGTACCGTTGGATCTACATACATCTGACCTTCATAAAATTCTGTATTGCTATATACGGATAGCAAAACTCGGATTTGAAAGTTTAATACTCCATTCGCCTTAAATACCCCGGTGGATTCATACGCGGCAAAACTTCTTTTCGTTGATCACCACCCTTTCTAAAAGAAAAAATACGGGCTTAAGAATTCCCACCTACAGACAGCGCGAATTCAGCTCGCTTACACTCTCCTCAATTATACCCGGGTACTTTGGAACCACAGAAGCACAATTGATGCAAGTTGATGGATACAAGATTATTGCAAGGTTTTCTTTTTATTTGAAGATCTTCTTCTTTTCCGCTTTGGTCATGTGGTGATGTGGTCATTAAGAGAAGAAATACACTTCATACGCGACCAACATTACGTGAACCATTCCTTTCATCAATCGGTCCCCTCGGATCCTTCGGATCGCTCCCGAGATATATGAGACAAGTGTATACGAAGTATTGTATTGAATCTAAAAGCCTTCCAGATCGAATCTCCAAGTATATTATAAAAGTGATTAATTCATTAAGATCGGATATTGCGAATACAGTTTCAATAATCCTCCATGGTTCTCCTATTTTTAGTTACTCGTTCGTCGGTACCCCAAGTCCAGACTAGGTACATGAATCTTCAAACGACATGACATGTATATTTTCTGGAAGAATCGTTTCGCGCCAAGGAGAATTTCCCACGCTGTGATGCTTGTCAAATGCATATCCGCTGTTGCCCAGTTTGTCAATAAACGAAACGGTCCACGAGGACATCCATGTGCCTTGTTTTATCCTTCACGACTTTCATCCCATCAACCATGATCATCGTTCGAATAAAGTTTATCATTGGATCGGTAAAATATTTAGACTCATGTACCCCACAAATCACCCCTGAATCTTTCCTCAACACGGAGCATCTAACTATCTTTGTCAAAATGAAACACCATATTCATTCACTATATTTACATGTCGCTTATCGAAAGATCCATCTCTACCCCTCAACTCATCTTACTTCATCTATTTTTCATCTATTTCGAAAGAGTGGCGCTACGTCCATTCCTCCTTCTGGACGCACAATAACCACATGCTTACATCATTCCATTCTCATATATAACTCCTCCTCTTCTCGTGCCAATATTCCCTTTCTCTTGGCCATCAAAAGTTGATTCATTCTTTCTTGTACAAATCATTCCACACATCATTTTTTAACCCTCACATTCCTTTCTCGAAAAATCATCCATCAAAATGAAGTTCACGCAGGTCGCACTTCCTCTTCTTTTCTCTGGTGCTGCTTTTGCCGCACCAGCTGCCGATAAAACTTTGAAAGCGAGATCTACTCAAATCTGTGGTCAATATGACAGTGTTGCCACTGGTGCTTACACCGTCTACCAAGATCTTTGGGGTGAAGATTCAGCCACATCCGGATCTCAATGTTCGACCGTCACTTCCTTGAGTGGTTCTACCATTGTTTGGTCCACATCTTGGAGTTGGGCTGGTGCTTCAAGCAGCGTTAAGTCGTACGCAAATGTTGCTTTGAACTCAGTTGTTACCGCTGGTGTCAAGGTCTCTTCTATTTCTGCCATTCCTGCCGTTTGGAAATGGGGGTAAGATTTCTTCACTTTTATTTTCTATAGAAATATTTCTAATCATGTCATAGATACACCGGATCATCCATCGTCGCTGATGTCTCCTGGGATATCTTCACTGCCTCTACCGCTGGAGGAACCAACGAATATGAAATCATGATTTGGTTAGCTGCCATCGGAGGAGCTGGACCAATTTCTTCCACCGGTTCCCCTGTCGCTACCGCCACCATTGCTGGTTATGAATTCAAATTATACTCTGGACCAAACGGAGACACCACTGTTTACTCTTTCGTTGCTTCCACCGAAGCTACCAATTTCGATGGTGATCTTATGGATTTCTTGAACTACTTGGCTACCAATGAAGGATGGTCTACTAGCCAATACATTAACGTTTTGGAAGCTGGCACTGAGCCTTTCACCGGTAAGAAATCCCTTCTCCAACCTCCCATCAAACATACTAATTCCCATCTCCAGGTACCAGCGCCGTCTTCGACGTTACCGCCTACAGTGTCTCAATCACCCAGGGAAGTTCCGTCAAAGTCGTAGCCACGTCATCTACCCCCACCACATCTACCAAAGCCAGCTCTACCACCACCTCCACCATCAAAGCCACCAGCACAGTCAAAACCACCGTAGCAGCAGTCCCCACCACCAAAGCCACCTCTACCAAAACCAGTGTTGCCGCTGTTGCCACCAGCACCACTGCTTCTTCTTCAACTGGTTCGGTTCCTTTGTATGGTAACTGCACGGGAGGACTCACCTGTGCTACTGGTACTTGCGTGGAGCAAAATGCTTATTACTCCCAATGTGTTGCTGCATAAATCAGTAGAGTGAGACTAGGTCTTCACGAATAGTTTATCAGTTTTTGACATCTTTATTTACATCACATCACATCACATCACATCACATCACATTCAACACAGCAGCAAAAAAACCACCAGGCGTTAAAAAAGAAGTTTAAAGCTAATATTTAAGCCTTACAGTAATCGCGACGATTATATCCGAATCCTAAATTGAATATCACGAAATGGTCTGGGTGACTTGATGATTGAGAGATATTTCAGATGAAGATGAAGGAATGTCTAGTTGATGTACTACAGGCAGATTTTGTATATATTTATTTTCTTGGATGATGATGATGATGAGGGTTTTCTTTTTTGAATACATATTTGCATGTTTTCAAACTTTGATGTCTTTGATTTTGTATTGTGATGATGTGATGATGTGAATATGTGAATATGTGAATATGTAGATATGTGGATACATTTGAGGTTGGGTTATTTACCCCACGCGTGAGTGCAGTCTGTTGTCCGGTATTTCGTTCTTCTGATTTCTCCTCAAATCTCATCTTCTATTTGATACATGAATCAAGGTAAAAGCTACCGACAACCGCCTAGGATCTTACTAGCAATCGTTTCACAAGAAAACAATCCGATCATACCATACCATCGTCACCCAGCCAAACCCCTCCAATCCTCCAATCATGTCCTCTCACATTATCAACATCACAAAACCATCCACACCAAAACCCCACACCAAGCATACACGCCTCATCCTCATCCTCATTCCCGTTCCACCATCCATTCCCATCACCACCATCCCTTCCCACCACCACCATCCATCCTCAACATCCAACATCCAACATCCAAACCTCATTATTCATTCCCCTTTCACCCTCCCATTCTCCGTCTCCCAATCTCCCAATCTATCTACCCCTACCACTACCTAGGTATATCACACCCATCCATCCATCCATCCATCTAGACAAAGCAACATTTCTCTTCACCTCTTCACCTCTTCACCTCTTCACCTCTTCACCTCTTCACCTCTTCATCTCTTCATCTCCTCGACCAAGACAAATTCCAATTCCAATTCCAATTTCCCATCCATCCATCCACCCACCCATCCATCCATCCATCCATCCATCCATCCATTCATCTCCTCACATGACAATACACATCTCTCTGATACTCATAGACGCGATCCAATCTCCCACTCACAAACGCACTACTCTCGCTACCCTCCCAACATATCCAAATTTGTACCTAAAAGATGAGTTCCCATGTTCCCATATTTCCTTCCGCAAAATAGTGATATACATTCTTCCATCACTTTATCGGACAAGCGTTCCATACTCTTGCCGCGCTTCTCGTGTCGACAAATTGAGTTGCTCCGGGATTCCCTCCTCTCATCCATCACATCACCAGCCCATCCTCCCCTCCCCTTCCCCTTCCCCTTCCCCTTCCCTATACTCCCTTGGTTTTTCTTATACAAAATGTAACATTACATCGTGTATACTATCGAAATCACTTACCGTTCTCTTTGAGTTATTCATACTCTCATCTTGACTTCTTCTCCCGTCTCCCACACCCTACCTACTACCCCACCAACCATTTAATCGTATCAATCTACGAGTATTCGTGTCAGACTTTCTAATCCATAATACATAATCATTCTATGACATCACAACTTCACCGCGAAAGAGATAGTACACTTGAGAAAGGTATCACATTTATTCATTAATTTTCCTTGATTCACACAATCACCACCCCAAAAACATCAAGCCCATATATAGGCACATCCTCCTCAAAATACAACTTCCTCCAAAATCCCAATATCTCCCTCCAAAATTGCTCTCCCAAATCTCTCCATCAAAAATTCCAGTATCGTTCTTCGAATAATACCATCAAATCCACCAATCCATATCACCCTAACGAAATCCCCCAAGAAGATAATCCCCATTACATATCTCATGACTTATAGTATTCGGTGGAATCCAGCCACATCATGTACAAAAGCAAATGTACAACGAAAATGCGTATGCATGCATGCGATAATGATAAAAAATAAAATATGTGCAAGAATCGAAATGTTGTAAGAAAAATGTATGAAAAGTGAATTTAGATCAAGACCAATCCAACACCAAGAACAGCTACCAAAGCAATCATGCTACCTTCAATTTTTCTAGCCGAACTTTTCTTGGTAGTTGTAGAACTAGCAGCGGATGAAGTACCAGTAGCAGTTGATGAAGATGAAGTTGTAGAGCTGGATGTAGCATTTGAGCCAGTACTTTCACCGGATGGTGTGTTACTTGCATCATTTGCTAATGGTGTGATGGCAAGATCGGAAATGGTATTTCCTCCAACATCAGTAACTTTTTGGGTGACCTTGGTACTTGAAACCGAGATAATCTTTCCGTTGTTGGCATTCTTGATACCGTTGTTGATGAGATCTTCAGCTCCGGGTGGAACAGCTGGAATAGTCCAGTTATTGGCAAAAGTCGTGCTAGTGATGAGGGATGAATCACAGGATGGTGCGGTTGTAGTGGTGTTTTGTGCCTTGACTCCTTGGATGCTAGTAATGTTAAGGGTGTTGAATTGATCCTGGAGTGTGTTGTAATCAGAAAGGAGTTGAGCAGATCCATCATCATTGATGGTAACCAATCCATAGTTTGAGGTTTCTTGAGAGAATTCATAAACCATTCCACCGGAAAGAACTGGAGTCATCAATGGACCGTAAAGGACTGGAACTTCTGTGAAAACACGAGGAGCTGGAACGTTGCAACCATATTCGGAGAAGAAAACGGGAACACTAGTATTGCTGAAATCCGAAACAAGAACATCATAACCGGAAGTAGTGTATGAAGAATCTCCACACCATGAGTAACTGTTGAGAGCAAAGACGTCGACTCTTGATGGATCGGAATCATCTCCGGTAGTAGTACATTGAAGGTAATTCCATGTATCGAGGAGAATATCGCGAACATCTGCAGCACTGTAACCAACTGGAATGGAGCGGGAAGCATGCTTTGAGATATAGTTCTTCAGATCACGAGTAACGGCCTATATGTGTTAGTTTATTTGGGGCGAGATGGAGAGTCTGTTTTGGAAACTTACTCTCATGTATGGGGGAACAGTTCCTCCAGTGTCATCATCGTTAACAACTTCATTTCCAGCAAAGAAAAGTAAAGTATTTGGGTAATCCTTGAAAGCCTCAACAACTGCGAAAGTTCTGTTCAAATATGAAACATCGTATGTGGTCGATGGAGAGCTTCTATCGATACTCTCACCGGACAGAGGAGAATTAACATCAATCAACATATAAATGCCGACCTAAAAAGATGTTAGTTGTCTGTAGTCAAAAATGAACTTCGAAGCCACAAATCACTCACCTCATTGAAGATGCTCGCACACTCATCATGATTGAGATTTCCATCCACATTATACACACGAATAGCATTAACACCCAATTGTTGCATCAAAGCGGCATCTCTCAAACAAACGGCCCCATCACTCAAAGGATCAACGCCACTTGCAGGATTATAACCTGAAGATCCACCTGGTTGATATGCGACACCCAAAAGTTGAAATCGATCACCGGTAACAGAGTTGACGAAATCGGAACCTTGAATTTCTATCGTTTGTACAGCGAGTGTAACTGTTGCGCAAAGTGCGAGGACGGTTGTGGGAATCTACATGATCGAGTACAAATTAGTATTGAATATGCTTGCACGACAATCGATAGGAGGGTTATGCATGTGTTTAACGGATCGAGTGCGATGAAGCCATTGAAGCCATTGAAGCCATCAAATTGTAAGAGATCGAAGATTTCCAAACATACCATAGAAGACAACATGATTTCTGGCTTCCTCCAAAATTTGATCAAGTAATTAATTGGTAGGTAGGTTAGGTAGTACTGTAAACAAACCAAAACGAGAGCGATTGGGAGAGCAAAGATGGGATGGACCAAATCTTTAACAGTGCAAATATAGAGAGAAGTATTATTACTCGAATTCGAAACCCTTTCAAACGAGCGAAGTTAGGATTTCCAAAACAAAATGAAATTAAATCAATCGTTCTTGCAAGTGAGAAGTAAGAGAGAGAGAGGTGAAGAGTAAAAGAAAGATCAAGGAAGCTTCACTTCAAAAAATAAAAGGTGGAGCATGTGAAGCTTATTTTGGACTGAAGGAAGGATGACACGGTCAAATACTTGAATAATTGAGGGGCCCGATTGGGGCTAATCCATGATAAGATTAATTTTGATAAGAGATTAAACTCAATACGAGACACAAAACTAATCTACAATAGGAAAGGCTTATGATGTGATGAGGATTATTAAGATGAAATTAATAACCGCTTCCTCTCAAGGATCTGTCTAAGTATGAAGGTTTGGATCGTTTCATCTCGATTGTGTGATTGTTTGATGAAGATAGAGATTGATGATTCCCTAGGACTAGGATGAAGATTGATGTACCACAACCACGAGACACGCAACGGTGATTTTCTCTCAATTACATCACAATTTGTCCGACCGGCTATTCAACTATGGTAATCCGTAAAAAAAGAAAAGGGGATACAGAATTAAACCAATGAGGTGAATGGAGATCCGAGATCCGATATAATCCCGATGTCATCCATCTGCATTTCTCAATTGCCGTTAGCCGTTGGTTGATCTTTTGGGTGTTCCAAGAAATCAAGGAGCTTGTTAATATGTTGGGACGTGGAAATAAATATATATTTCAACGGGTCCTGTTGTGTTGCGGTGAGATTGAGATTGAGATGGACTTAATATTGGCTCAACAGGCTGCGCAAAATTGTAGTAACACGGGCACGCAGTATCTACTAGGTCCTGAGGTAGTTCCATTCAACACGGGTAATTGGTTTTATCGGTATGTCAAGAATACCGACATCTTTAAATAGGATACATCTTGAAAGCCAATTGAAAATCAACGTGGCTCGTATCGCCACATTCTACATACAAACTGGGAACCTTTCACGCGAATTTTACATTTATCGCGATACGAAGAATATTCACGATATATCCACCACGCTTGTCCGACTCCATCGTATAAGAATGTCTGGTGTAAGAAAGTTCTCGCACACGGACGAATATCGTATTTCCATTGCTGATCACCGCAACATATCCCGTATGTCTCTTGATTGGTATCTCATCTCATTTCTTCTTGAAAATTACATTTCCCATCATTCAATTCATCCCGAGTACCGGGTAACCAATTAGATCACTTCTTCAGCAGTTTTGTTGCATGTCTAAACCTATGAATCTGCTGCCCGTAAACAGTAAGCATGCTCGAGCGTCTGATTGGTGCCACCGATGGGACAAAAGTTTATTGGTAATACCTTAGTACGATTGTTCACTCGCCACCTACCGGCATTGGCTGTAGTGATATTTTAATACCAATGTAGGATCTCATCCTCGTAGGAATCTCAAGCTTTAAATCAAGCTTATCTTCGGCTTGAGTAGTGAGGATTAAGAGAAATCCCTCTCGGTCGTTGAACATATTCCAGCCGGAATTCGAAAATTGAAGGAGCGAGTGATCGGATATCTGAAACTCGTAGCTATACTTCACTGCTAGTAGATGACGTTGGGTTGTGTCAGTACTATCGATGCTTACTTGTACGCCTCCTGTACATTTTTGGAGACCGAGAGCAGAATTCTAGACATTCATCGTAACGAGGTAATTTTCTTTCATTCCTGGAGATATTTAGGGAAGACACGACGAACTTCTTTACTCTGCTGGAGGTGAGATTTGAGAATATCTCATATGCGTTCCAGGCTATTCCGCAATATGGGATTGTGAGCATCAACCTGGTTAGTTTCTGTGTAAAGTCGGGGGCATTGGCGAATGTGTTCCGACTAGTTGTGCACAACCAACATATACAAATCCCTTCTACTCTTCTCTCTCCTTTCATCCACAAGTTCTAGGAAAATCTCATTGATCCTGTCTATTTTCAATACATTCTTTCCTTCGAAAGTTGGCTCAAACTCTCTCCCAAAAGAGGGAAGAAGTGGGAGCTGGGCACTGACACAAGGTGAGGAGACTCCGTTTTTGGTGGTATAATTAGATATACGCCTGGAAAACTACCGCTGTTTACCAATCGGTGTTTCAGTCTCCTCGAACGTCGGTCGAACGAACACCACTATTTAGGGCTTCATCGCCTCCGTGTTGTACACAACGTACTCCGTATGCACAGCATACTCGGTCTGTTGATAATACAATCGCAAGATGAAGAGAATGGGTCACTCCTTGCGTTACATGCTCCTCGAGCTTTGGCCTAGAGAGATACTACTTTATCCCTCAAATTCATGATTTTTTTCAAAGATACACTAAGCCTGATTTGGGTGTCGAAAATATCAGTGGGTGGTACTGATAGACAAGTGCAAAGGCTCTGTTTTCGACAGGATCATCAAATGTGAGTTCGAGGAATTTCGCAGGGCTTCAGTCCCCTCAACTTGGCTGCTTTCAGCGTGAGCACAACAGCTCATTTGACGATGAGCTGAATGAAGGTAGGGATCTCTAATCTTTTTGGCTTTGTTAACTTGTACAGATGTGCCACTAAATTAGGTACCGGCAGCATTATTGAGTGGTATTTCACCCGCTGTAGTATTAGCAGCTGAACTTTGGGCCGCTGAAAAGGTATGACTAGTCTTCTACTCCATTATCAATCCGAAAGCAAAATGCGGCATGCAACCATGATTCCCTGCCGACGAAGTGCAGAGCAAAAACAACCATATATATATACATATTCAATCTCTGCCAGCCAATCATATTAATCCTCGATTCCTTTTGTTACACATCTGATTTTGAAAGAAACTAAAACCGTAATCGACGTTGTCGATTGTGATCCCGATTTTAGATATGCAACAAAAAACTCGTCAACCGCTAACCATCACGTGAGCAATCAATTTTGGGAATGAAGGCTGCTTCGAAAGATGAGATGAATCGACGATATATCAAGTTATTATCTAGCTATGTAAATATCGTTGGAGACAAATTTGACGTAAGAACAGATGAATGTACTGATTCCTCACATATTTCCCTCTTCTATCTCCGGCTCAGGCTACCATCTTGTTACGACAATATTCACTATCAAAGAGAAAGCGCCAGTAAAGGGGATAAATACATCAAGATGGACTTGGAAATATTTAAAATCATTATATGCTGACGGTCCAAAGGTCTAGGAAGACGATATAGAATCAATTATCCGAAGCTTTATCTTGGTTGTGAGCAAGCAGTTTTAGTTGTAAGATAATGAGAATTTGATTAGTTACGAGGAAGGTGATGTTACTGTTGAGAGAATCATTACAGATGAATGAACACATAGAAAGGTTCGAATAGGCGTAGTAATGACTAATATTGTGCGCGGAAAACACATGCTGGTCACTCGTCTCATCTTGTAGCTAGTATTCATAGATCTTTCTGGTATAGTTTAAAAAGCAGTCTGTTCCTACCTTTTTTTGTCCCCCTACGTGTTGTGTGAATGCTATCTGGAGCCTCCTATTCCTCTCCCCTATCAGAGGCACTACGTTTATAGTGGCTTTTCTTTAGTATATACGAAGGCTTACTTTATGACCCTATCACCTTCTACTCTTTTACAATATGGAAAGTGATGTTTAGTGTTTATTTTTTAAGAATTAAAAGTTGGAGTGGAGGGAAATCTTATGGTGAGAAATTAAAAGTCAATATCAATGATATATAAGAGTAATATGATTGAGAAGATTGTTACTTGTATAGAGAGTAGTCTAGTCGTTACGGCCAAAGCTCGGGAAATATTATAAGCGAGTCTAATTAATAACTATTGATAACTATATGCATATGGATACTCAATAGAAAGTTATAAAGTTATTAGTCTATTAACATCGTCTAATAAGGTTTTGGGGGAGTGAAATACATTTATCTATCCTTAGATGTCTTTTTGTTGGGTTGAGTAGGATACAGATGACGTAGTACCTATGATGGTAGATACTAGATGTTAATCTTATATTTTGTCTAAAGAACTTGTTACAACGCTAACTACATGCTCTATAGTTGCCTTCGTATCTCAAGCATTGATTATTAGTATGCCCTACTTCTTATAAATAGGGCCTCTCTCTTCCATAGCTCTTCTACCCTTATGGTACAATATAAGTCTTTACCCGTACCCTGACAGAACTAGTTATCAACAGGAAGAAGCAACCCTTATATGATTTGAGGCTAGGCCTCTCGCTTATTGTACTACAGTGGCCTAATGCCATAAGGTCATTCACCTACGTTTATACACCTTTACTTTATTATATCCTAGAATAGTATATTAAATACTATATGTTTAATGTTAAAGTAAAAAAGTTAGTCTCCTATATTAAAAAGAGAAGAAATGTTAGTTACCTGTCATTTCAGACTAAACAATCGATGAATATTCATTAGTAGAACTTAAAAAATTAGAATATCGATTCGATAAAAATGAGTGATTCATGAGATGTCTATTTTTCATTCTCACCTTTCTCTCTTCTTCTTCTTCTTCTTCTTCTTCTTCTTTATTGAAATAAAAAAATGAACCGCTTCTTCTTTTTCTGGATGAGTTTCTTCTAGTATTAAACCTTCTCAGATGATAAGACTATACAAGATAGTACATCATGTGTTACTATATAGCTTAGTGAAATCATCTGATTTTCAAAATACATGATTTCTTACACCAAGTATATGAATCATCATCCAAAGTTATAAGTGAAAGTTTGTGTTGGTTTGAGAAGGATACGAAAGACGTAGCACCTACGAACTGTAGGTCCTAATTGTCTATATTGTATTCTGTCTAAAGAGCTAGCTATGTACAGAAAGTAGTAGGCCTTATATAGGCACTACTGAAAGAGCTAGTCTCTTTCGCATTCGCCTAGAGCTCAATACAGTAGCCATTGAATTGAAGTCATTCACCCACGTTCATACAGTTTGAACAATCAAGAAAAAACAAAAAGGAATAATGATAAGGAGACAGATACGAAATGGCTCTAAGATACACAAGAATGACTTGCTGAAAACGAATTATAGTTCAATGGCATTTGTGAAAATCACTACATAAGAGTGAGTGGTTTTGTGTGAGAGAAAGACAATAATTCTGAGTCTAATTTACGTGTCTAATGCTGTTGATATCCGCATCATTGAGAGGAGTGAATAGTCTAAATTGAATCACAATATTCTTGATTGAGATCAGTAACAACACAATAGATTGTAATAACCATGGCTGTACACCCGACTGACACTAAGACTATTAGCTTCAGATCTATGTCTGTGCACAAACAGGATGTAGATAAAAGACCCTCTTCTGTTCCTTTTCAAAGCAGAATTGAACCTAAAACTTTCAACCATAATCAAAAGAAGATACTCCACACAGATATACAACAAACACCGATAAATACATCGACAACTCAGAACATGTCTCCTTGGCTTGTCAACGAAGAAGACCGTCATAAGTACGGTCTTAGAGGACAGGAAGTCATTGCTACCAGCCAAAAAGCCGAAGATGTTCTTGTTACAGGTTTTGTCCCAAACCCATTCTGGCATTCTTTCCAGAAAAGTGTTGCCGCTGTTCACACTGCCGACGATGAGCAATATATTCAATGTTTTGAGAATGAGCTTCGTCTTCCGCTCAAGGCTTTCCTTATCTCGTCGCTTCCTAACTGTTCATGGATCTTGAACGTTCTCCATCTAGGTTTCGGAGCAGACAAATATGCTAACCCTATCGTCATTCATGTTTGTGTTCAAACCCCTCACTACTTCACAAGTCACAAGGTTGCTGCTCTCGAAGTCGTACAGGGTATGGAGAAGATCATCAAGGAGAAGCTGGATAATCAAAAGTATCAAAGAGATATGCATGAAAAGTACGTTTTACCTTTGATTATTTCATTTGGGCTCTTAACTGATCCATCATTTAGGTTCCATATCGATATCTGTCAAATCTACCATCCAAAGCCGAAAAGCTCGGAACTAAAGTCGAAAGATGAGATAAACAAGAACAGCGGTACCGAACTCCGCTCAAGCGATTCCACCCACGTCCCGGGCGTCATTCTTACTGAGAATTTTCCTGACGTCTACTTGATTGACACTCCATGCCCTGGTCTCTCTGTCGGACGAAGAGAAACCAAAGACAGAACCTATCCGGCTGGTTCGTTGACTGGTTTTCTGCAACAGGAAAACACACTTTACAGCCTTACGTGTAGCCATGTTGCTTTTCCTGACCCAGAACGTTCATCTGAAATATACAAATACAACGACGGAATGGAACAGTTTAAGATTTCGATACCCGCATTCAAAGATCATAAAGCAACTCTACAAGTCATGGAATACAAGCTTAAACATGCTAGGATTGCAATTGAAAAGGCAGAGAAACGCCAAGTAATGTGTCCTGAGATGGATTTCTCCAGTCGTATACAATGTCATAAAGAAGAAGAGATTCGTTGTGCCAGACACTTGAAAGAAGCTCAGAAATACAGTATTCAAGCTGGCTATGTCTATGCTGCTTCAGAGGGATGGCGCACAGTTGCTACGTTCAATGGAATCCTCGACTGGGCTTTAATCCGCAATGCTTGTCTTGATCCTAGTAATCAGGTATGGTTGACTTTTGGATTGGTTTTTGGATGAAGAAAATAACTAATGATTTTAACAGTTACCTCCGTTTTATTTCCTAGAAGAACCTCAGGTTTTGAGATTTATCGAAAAGTTCGGAGACAAGTATTGGTCATCAGATGAACGTAAGGCTTTTATCACAAAGTGTCAAGCCTTGCAAGATTCCATAGAGTCCAATGTCAGTCATCCAAGATCGTTCTCACTTTTGAATGAGAAGAGTATCTACTTCAAAGCTTCAAGTCGAACAACGGGTTGGAAAGCATGCGAAATGAATGTTGTTCAAGCTATTGTTCACAATCAGAATTCAACATCAGATGAACACGTATTCGTTAGTGATGATACACAAAAGTCAAAAGAAAAGACATCTGAAGGAGGTGATTCTGGTGGTCTCATTTATAGTATTGGTGTTGATATTGAGGGTAATACTGTTCTTGTACCCATGGCAATGATTTGGGCAGGAAACACAGACGGCTTTGAAGGCTTCCAAGGTGATGTCACATATGCAACTCCCATCGAAGAGGTCTTGAAGGACATTGAGTGTGAGATGGGATGGGAAAGCGGTAGCCTCAAATTCTGTTGAGTCAGTGTTGGGTTTAGGCGTTCATGTATTCAACTTGAATTCTTTGAGCGATCACAAGAGGAGACATATAATGTCCACTCTGAGCTAGTAGTATCAATCAATACCTATTAACATATTTGTATATTCCTATTTTCAACATTGAGCGAAGTAAAATTAGAGCTGTGTACAATGTCCGCGGACCCTGTGCTAATGTAAGGTCTTGTGGTTTATAATTTATCTGGAAATTACTAATAGATTTCCCAGAGTATCATTTCCAGGTCTCTGAACAACAGTTCTCTGCAGAGCTGCAATCTCAAACATGTAACTGACTGGGATATTTCTGTAGAGCCACCACAACAAGAATGTCAGTCAGAGTATGCGTAAGAACATATGTTGGACTGCACTGTTTCTCAATCTCGGTCATCGCTCTACCCTCTCCTGCTTGCATCTAAATCTTCTGTTATTCCAATATTTCATAGAATACTCCAAACATCAAGATAAAAAGATTCATATCCTCGAATTATTCAATCTTCAAAAGCTTCTAAAAAGTCTGCTAAAGGTTGACGATCTCTCATGAATTGTACAGCCTGATCCGAAATTCTAAGATTCATCTGCTCAAGATCATCTTTCTTTTAATCCCAATTCTCCTTCAAATCAATTAACCTTTGTTTAGTATCAGCCATATCCTTCGCAGTTGACATAAACTTATCATAAACTTCCTTTCTCTCCTTCCAATTCCACCTCCAGTAAATATTTCCTTTCTTACTTTTGACCAATATTCATCACCTAATCTTCTTTTAGTGTGTACACTAATTCCAGCTGCACAATGAGAAGATCCTCCATCATTTACAATATAACCTTGTGCAAATCTCGTACATAATATCTCGTCACACATTCCATCCGAAGCTTCCATCAAATTGAATATAATGTATTGCCTATTCTTATACTCTTGTATAAAATGAACTCTGCACACAGCCTCCACCAAATCCATAATGTAATCATATGATCTATGTTTTCGACGTTGCTCAAGTCGATCCAAACTTTGTGCATATCCAACTTCGGTAAGAGGACGAGACAATGGTTTACTACCACAACTATGAATGATTTCGAATTCCAACCGTAACCCAAGTGCCTTGATCCATTTCAATATATTTTCTTTCCAAGATTCTTTCTCCACATATCTTCTTTGTCCTGGACGAAACATTGATCCCCTAGATTCAATGGCATTATCAACTTCATTCGCGAAATTTTGAGATTGTTCATCATTTTCTTCACTGTATCCTCGAATATAAATCTGCAAACTCGATATGATCTGTTTTAATTCATCCGTAGTGCGAGAATCACCTTCGAAATTAACCAAACAATGAATATAGATGTAAGGTCTAGCTTCCTTCTCATCACCTCCCATTGATTTCTTCATCTTATGTCGTAATACCAAATCTTCTGGTGCTTGTAGAGCTTTTGGTAAATTGTCTCATATAACACGTTCAAGGATTTTTTTAACTAATTCCGGCAGTCGTAACCATATATAAAACGGATAATTCACTCCATAAACCAGATTCTTTTCTCTTTCGTACCCATTTATCATCAGGTAAACCAGAAAATTCCATCGCAGCTTGAACCAATTCATGTAAACCTTTCTCATGCCCCTGAAGTAATTTTACTGAGTTTTTATCATAAATAGAGGTTTGATTAACACCAACTAGGTATGGGTCTATCTTCAATATCTTCCATCTCGATACCCTGAGGTTCATCATCAACCGAAGGATGTGGATCTATTTGAGATTCTTGAGCAATATCATTTAATCTATCAACCGAAAGAATTCTTGCATCACTAAGGGTGACTAACTCTGGTATTTCGTCCTCAATATCGGATTCAATGCCTAATTCATCAAAAAAACTTGCCGGTATATCGGAATCACTAATCCCAATATCCATCATATCTTCATCATCAGAATCATGAATTTGTGGTCTTTTACCCATGGCAACAGCAGAAAGAATTGGAGAATTTGCATCCGGCATTGAAATATCAGCACCATGTCCAGATATTCTCACTGGAGACTCTGGGAAAGAATTGACAGATGATGACCTCGAACAAATAATAGGGGCAGGAACATTGATTGGTGGAGGTGGTGGTAAACTTGATCGTGATGCACTCGAAGGAGAAGAAGAGAATTGAGTAATTCTTGAAGGGCCAGAGAATAATGGAACTGGTGGTCTTGATGGTCTTGATGGTCCTGTCATGGATGAACCACTGATAGAAGATCTTCCCCTTGTAATTGTACTAGATGGACCAGGATTTTTTGGCACTTGTCGACCGAGTATCCTTGATGAACCAGAAATTTTTTGTACTTCTTCCCTAGAAGAACCGGAAGGTTGTGGTACTTATTTTTTTGTAGGTGAACCTCGTGCTACTAAAACTTCATTATCATCTTCATCTTCTTCATGATCAATTACTCTTGACTTCTTCTCTTCTTTTTGACGAGATTTACTAGGAGTGTTCTCAAATGTTCGCTTTGGTGTAATATCCGAAAGATTAGCCACATTTGAAGGAATCCAAACGATACCTGATGGTTCCTTATTCAAAAAAATTCTCCAAGCTACATCACACTCCTCTAACCAAGCATGAGACTGTTCGGAATAAGAACTGTGTAACTCTTCAGGAACATAATAAAAATGATTATTTCTAGTTCCTATATCATATTCCCAATATTTTATACAATAATAAATGGACCATCTTCAGTTTCCTTGGTAAATCTATTTTGAATAACAGAAAGTTGCCAAAGATCATCGTTAGATATCTTATCGCCAGAGCATTCAAAAGTTAATTTGAAAGCCATGACGATTGACATTCGAAGATTTTCAAAGAGAATGGAGCAGAAGGCTTTCCTCATTAAGAATTTCCCCCGAGTTCTACATCCACGCCTTTCGTTCCATCAGTGTTTCGAGATCAGCAGATGCGCCGTCTTCTCACAGTCTCTTAATTCTGGCAGGAGGTGGAAAATAATGGCATTAGTCTTGTGAAAAAGTCTGCATCGGCTCAGCAGTCTGAGTTGGACTGGATCCTGAAGACGAGATTCGAACGAGGTGGAAGTGCTCTACATCTCGCCTCTGAAAAAGCAGTTGAATTGTTGGTTGATAGATTCCACATGCCAGTGGATCATCCAGACGATAACGGCTGCACCGCATTATACTGGGCAAGCGCCCCTGACGAAACTGGGCTTGCTAAAGCTCTTGTAAAAGCAGGCGCGAAAGTAAATCTAGCCAATTTTTTCGAAATCAAGCCCATTGCACAATGCAGTCGAAAGCGATCGCTCTACAATGGTAAGGTTCCTGCCAAGATGCGCAAATGTCAACAAAAATGCCGTGGATGGTCATACACGTACACCATTGAATCGCGCAGTCCAGCTGCAATTAGTGACCATAACAAAGGTTCTTCTCGCTTAAGAGAACCTGGCTATTGATGTTAAGGATGACAAGGGCAAGACAGCATTGGACTATGCTCGATCTCGAAAGAATAGAAGGATCGAGGATTTTATCCTGGCTGCCTTGGCTAGGAAAAAAGCTTAGCAGGTTGGTGAGATGTTCATCGACGCGTTGGCTCAGGTATCATTCATTGACCGGCGCATCATGGACGAGATAAACAAGAGTTCAGAACTTGCAACCTTCGAGACCGGGACGCAGCTTGAGATAGGCTTAGTTCTCTGGTCTCTGTGTGCATTTCCTTGAAGGTTAGAACAATATACGACTAACAAGAGAAGGATGGTGTTTGTTCCAGAATGGTAGTGGAAAAGATCGGAGTAGATCTTTTTTTGGCGCATTTATTTCATACCGAAGTAGAAGGCAGGAAGAGGGCGGGGAGCTGGTGAGTTTTCTTTCCTAATGGATGTAAAACCATCTTGAACAATATCAAATGGGAGGCCCTTTCAGCGCATCTCTTCTTCTTCTATTGTCAGCAAACCATGCCATAGTTAATACAGAGCTATTTTATTTTCTATCTGATCTATCTTGAATTTTTTGGCAGTGCTACAATTAATGAGTCCTGCCCAATATTCTCTGCTGTGTAATAGTATTTTTTTACCGCCTTTGAGATTGGTTTGTTATGGTCGCATGGTCAAAATCCTTCGCTTCCTCAGCTTTAACACACTTTTGAATTTCACAACTTTCGAAATCCTCCCCACAACAACAACAATTAATTTTCTAGCACTTGTCGATCTGAGTTTTTACACCCGCAATCTTGAGTTGGTTTACAACAACTTGCGCTCACGCTGGTATTCCCAGTATGAATTTCTGTCCGGCCTGCGGCTTTACTAAAGGTCGTGATCCTACCCACTTGCGCCCTTTCTCTACCAATCGCCTTCGGTCGAAAGGCATTCTTTTGATTCATTTAGAATTGCGGAGACGTGATTCTATCTTACAAGATCTCTGAATCGACGCTTCGGCCTCAGTTTATAGATTTATCTAACACTTATTTGCCTTCTTCCAATCTCTTAGTTGAGATTTTAAAGGCTCTTCGGCAAAACCCTTCACCTGCTTAATTGCTCGTGAAGTTAAAGTCTACTTAATTGTTAGGCTTGTGTGCTGCAAGGCCACGAGGACTTGTTCCAACAAAATGGGTTCACAACCACCACCCTTCGGTGCGGCTTTGGCTCCTTCAAAGCAGCAAGAGGTTTTCGTAGAACTCACAAAGGCCATGACTCAGAAGATATTTAGAGGTTCTGCCATTCGCATCATCGTTTGTACATCCGGTACTCTGGCTCTTCTGGATGAATACGAGTGGACTCCATCAGCAGTATTGATTGATCAATCTTCGGCTAGATGCGACCCGGATAGTCATACCTCTCTGCCCTTCTAATCTAGCCATGGTTTGTTGGCTGAAGATTTTGAGAAAGTGAAGCTTGCTGCAAGATCATCCGGTCACAATGAGCTCGCAGACCAACTCGGGGTAGGTATGTTATCATCTTTGGGTATTTAGGTTTATGCTCACTTCGGGCTTTCCTTCTTCTCCTCTCCCTCTCTCTGCTTGTTTACTTCGAATATGTTGTTTAATACTTGACAATCTGTCACATACGACCATAGACTGAAGAGAATTGGGCATCCCGTCCGCTCTGCCATACACAAGCTTCAGATCGGTGGATTAGTAGTTGGGTGGGTGACCACCAGCGAATCCCCACTGTTGTATGTTTTTCTTTTTTTGCGTTTTTTGTCTTGGGCCAACACGAAGAGATGTATGGATAACACCTGAAAGATGCTCCGCCCAATGAATTTATGAAGTACTGACGGCTTGCCAATGTCACTGATTCATAAAGAATAGACTTTTAGTAGGTATTGGTGATCTGTAGTATGATAAGTGTGAGTGTCTGATGGACAGCCTCCTTTTCTGAGCGGACGAGTTAATTTTGTACATCGTGTCTATGTATCTCGAAGGCGGGGCGGCAATGGATCATGGATGACAGAGGACAAGCCTAGAATAGGAATGAAAAAAGGCACCAGTCATGGAATCTTGCTCCTCCATTGTACGATGGCCTTCAACCATACCACACTCCAGAGCCTAGAACCTAAAGCATTCAGAATGCGGTCTCACGCTTCTGATCTGTCTGCCAAACGAAAAAAAGGGGATCGCTGCCTCGCGAATTTCATCGACCCCGCAATCTGAATAAAGGAGAACAAGAGGCATGGATGAAATAAAGGGATTTCCCAAGCAAATTTTGAATCTATCCTTGAGCTTTTGCTTTTCTCAAGATATGCGCATGTACTTCACACCGAAGCTCATTTGACCCACTAGTTAATCTGCATATTGATGAACGGTACCTGACTGCTTCTGGCCGTTTTAGGGTTAAGTGGAGCATATCATCGCGCCAGCAAACTTCTGTGGTCGTTCATGAAGGGTTTCTTTGTTATGATCCCAACTCATCATAGGAACCTTAGATTTTGTCTCTTATCTTGGTGGTTCAAAGACTACTTGGCAGGTACACGGTGTAAATTCATACAGAAAAACTTTGGTGGAATCGAGACACTCAAAGCCATTTAGATCTACTCAAAAGGTTCTCTCTTCATTAACTCGTTGTGGAAACAATGTAAATTCAGAACAAATAGGATATCTTAATATATGGATGAGATCCAAGCTTGGCAATGGAACAATGTAAGTTAATGTTTTTTGTTTATTTGAAAATAAAGTGATAAGATCAAGTCTCGAGTTTCGAGTCCTTCCTCGAGGTTGCTTGATCCAACTAGTCGACGACGTCTGATCTGTTACACCGCTTTGATCTAATCTGGCAGAAAAGTTGAAATATCATTTCATCTATCCAGGACAATAACTCAAAAGAAACCCACCATCGTTACGGTTAAACCCTATTCAATTTATATATAGGTTATTTTGAACCGGAGTATTCTACTATCTGTAGGTTTACGATAATACTTGTAGCGGTACCGGCAATACCTCCCTCTCTCCATTAACAACGAATTCAATAAACCCCGCACTACCGAGAACTTAGAGTTCACCTAGATCCAAAAAAACAGAACTGGCGCATTTCACATAACGCCTCATCACAATGGCTACCGGTACCCTAGCCTGGGATCCCTTTGTTGGAGAGCATGCAGATGCTGATGCTAACTCTGACACGGCAGACGATGAAAACCTCACAACCTTTTACATTGGACATCATGAGTCAAAACGACCTCTACCTGTCACAGAATTTGTTCTGCGACAAGCTGGTGATGTTGGAGTATGTCAACCATCGAGTTATTTGAGGCTTTTGCTAACTATTCTTTCTATTAGTATGATATGCTCACAAGTCCTATTACAAGTCCCCATTTCCATTCTAGAGTACTTTCATTGATTTCGAATCATATCGCCGAAATATCAGCTATCGACTCAAGTGATGCGCCAAACAAAGCTACCCCTCCAGCTCCCATTATTCCACCTCTAGATCCTGTCGATACACCATTCACCCCTTCTGATACAGTTTCGCAACTTATCGCATATTCTAGTCCTTGGATAGATCTATGTTCCCCAGATCCACTCATCGCAAATATCTCTCGTCAAGTTTTGAATATCGAAATCGCGTATGCTTCCTTCTGTGGAGTGGGTAATGTTATTATTCCAGGCCCAAGAACTTACAATGGTGGATCAGGAAACAATGGACTTGCTCAATATGCTCGTGCTATTCAAGAGGCTCTTGCAATTGCCAATTATATCAACATTTCAATTCATATGCCTATGTATGGTGTCGAAGATCATACGGAAATGACGGGTGATCTTCTACCATTTTCCAGGTACCAATCAACAACAGACACATCAAAGGGTGAAAACGAAATTGATTTGTATGAGAATTGGGATGCTTGGAATTTGATTCGGGATGTATGTAAATACAATTCCAGACTTTCAGTAGGTAGGTTAATGAAAAAATATCTTATTTCTCCAATGTTTTCATACTTTTCGACCTGGGACTCGTTAAACCTGTGAAATCTCAAAGACCTTGGCCCGCAAACTCAAATCATTCATAACGTCGATATCGATATTATTGTTCCTGGGGATACTGCTTCCACTCCCCGACCGAATGTCTTTAAGAACAGACACAAGCTAACTAACATTTTATAGCATTGGCACTTCCCCGTCAACTTCCTATTGAATCACTTCAATCTCGTTGGTTTGCTGAGCCCCTAAAATTATTGACCTTTACTCAATCAACATTCTTGAAGAATAAAGGTGGACATCCAGTCTTAGGCAAGGCTCATCAAAATCTCCTCACCCGCTATATGAAGCTTAAGAACCCACCATGGTTACTATTATGTGATGTGGGACCAATCCCTGGTTTGGATGATCCAAATCAACAAATTTCAGTGGCAGATGGTTATGCATCACCAAGTGTTGTTCAAGATGCACCATCTCCAACCCCAGCCGAAGCGGAGCAAGCTAGAAGAAATAGCACCAAATCACAAACAAAATCAAAGGATGTTGCAGCTCATTTGATTTATTTAAGATATCTTCAAAGAAATCAACCAGAGCGAACTCCTCTTGAGAAATTCGGATCAGGTTATCAAGATTACTTACAAGCTCCTCTTCAACCATTAACAGATAATCTCGAATCTGTTACCTATGAGGTTTTTGAAAAAGATCCTGTCAAATATGATTGGTATGAGCGAGCTATTGAACGAGCATTATCAGATTGGGTCTTACACAAAAAGCCCACATCAAGTCTTAGTGGTGCTGTTGTTCTTGCAGTAGCTGGTTCCGGACGTGGACCTTTGGTTTCTCGAGCTTTAAAAGCAAGTCAAACAACTGGTGTGCCAATTGAAGTATGGGCAGTGGAGAAGAATCCAAATGCATATGTCCTCCTTCAACGACATAACGAGAACGTCTGGAATGGAGTAGTCAATGTTGTAAAGACTGATATGCGTGCTTGGAAAGGTCCATTAAAGAATGCAGCTGGACCTATTGGTCAAGCCGTCACAACATCTTCAACCACTGCAGCAACTACCCACGGTAAAGTCGATATACTTGTGTCTGAACTTCTTGGTTCTTTTGCAGACAATGAATTATCACCTGAGTGTATAGATGGAGTTCAACATGTGTTGGCACCAGAACACGGTATTTCAATCCCCGCATCATATACCGCTCATCTTACCCCAATTCTTGCCCCTCGTCTTCACGCCGATATCTCCAACAGATTCTCGGCAGATGAACACGCTACAGACACTCCTTATGTAGTCATGTTTCACGCTATTGATTTCCTTGCCACTTCCGTTCCGGAACATCCTCAAATTCAACAAGCATGGGAATTTTCACATCCACTTCCTGTAAACACATTACACATTGCTGAAGCCAGAAGAGGCGGTGGTGTTAGTGGAGGTGGTGGTGGAAGTATGTCTGGAGGTGATGGTGCTAATGAACACAATACACGTTATGCACGTCTTAAGTTTGTTTGTAAAGATCGTGGTGTGGTTAATGGACTTGCCGGATATTTCGAAGCTGTCTTGTATGAAGGTGGAGAAAAGGCTGAGAATAAGGTCGAATTGAGTACGCGTCCTGATACGATTGATGCGAAGAGTAAAGACATGATTTCATGGTTTCCAATTTTCTTTCCTTTGAAGGTATGTATTTTCTTTCCTAAACTTTATGATTATGGCTCGTTAACATATGAATAGTCACCTCTATATATTCCTGATGATTCCGAGGTAGAAGTCAGTATTTGGAGACAAACTGATGATAGAAAAGTATGGTATGAATGGTTAGTTGAAGCGTTTGTTATGGTGGGACCTAATAAGCGCTTGAGAGTGGGTTTGAGTGATGTAGGTAGTAGTCGATCAATTGGTTGTCTTATGTAAACAGGGTTTATATGGAAATGCATATTCATCAATCAATTTATCACTGAAGTACGAGGACAATGAATATACTGTACGATGGTTTGTCACTGTGCACATGTGAAATCAAAATGCAGTAGAAGTGTAGCGTGACTTGTTTAAAATCTTGTAACCATAAGCTTGCTTTGATTTGCTTGAACAACGCCGTCCGTGAATATATCATTGTAGGTATAGGTAATTTTCTCCTCTCCTACTACTCCTGCTCAATGGAAGTGAGATGTTCCTACATTCTGCCATATCTGCTATGTCATGCTCACTGCATTGCATTCATATTGTCCTCCATACTAGGTATCTATCAAATTTCCCATTGGACCTCTCTTGCTTTCCTTTCCTTTCAGTCCATTATGGTTTCCACATCCATCTATCCATTTGTCAAGTCGCAAGTTCACAGAATCATCCCTCCATCTTCGTATCATCTTCTTCCTTCTTGATTTGTGCGGCTGATATGTAAAGGACATTATTGCATCTATTTTGATGTTAGATTTTGCGCATTCGATTTTCATTTCGATCCCAATTTAATGAGCTTTCCCAATTCGCAGCGCAGCGCAGCCTAGCCCAGTACCACTGAGTGCATTGCAGCCCATAATTCCAAACGCCCCTCATCAACTACCCAAGCTCTTCGAAAGCCCCAAATATAACAGAAGGGATTAAACAAACCTAATCAAGACCTGACCCAAAGTACTCGTCATTTCCGAATCAATCCATTCCTCGGCGCCGGATAATTGAATATTCATGTAACTGTCGATACTGACAAGCTTGCCTTTATATTCGGTTTGACCGCCCCATTTTAGACGAATGATTACTTCTTCGTTGACGCTACGTAGCGGATTAGTATGTATATAACTTCACGTATGCGCGGAAGGAGGTTGATGAGGATTCAATGTTGGAAGCTCGATTGAGGAAGGATAGCTAGTACGTACAGGTTTTGAAGGAACGGACGGGGGTTAATTGGTACGAACTAAATGAGAATTAGGAATTTGATGTTAAATAGGGGAGAGATGACTTACACTCATGATGTGAGCTGGAGATTGAAATGAATGGGTGGTGGAGGGACGCGGATTTGAGATGGTCGCGTCGGAAGTGAGGTTGCTGTTGGTTGCTACTCGTTGGCTAGGCTGGCGTCGCTGGGGAAATTTTCTAAGCGAAGCGCAAGGCTGAGATTGTGATGAGGCTGGTGATCATCAGGTGAATGATCTGAGCATCAATGACAATAGAAATTTGTTTATGAAATGGACCAAGAAGCTACCTATATAATGGTTGGAGAACTCGGAAGTTATTGGTCGATATTTAAATGCAAGTTGATATCAAATGCTAATTCAAATCGTTCATATATGTATCGAATATTCTCATTGCTTCAGCATCATATTCCCAACTGAAATCAGACCAGGTGACTTAATAACCAAACTATTCATAACATTCATACTTGATGCTTTTGGCATCTACTCATATTCTCATCTCATCTTAGTTTCTTCTAATCTCCCATTTCAAATCCTTGATACTAACTTCCTCTCCTGCTTTATCATCATAATCATACCATTCTCCGTCATTCAAATCGATAGCAGTAAATTTGGTATTACTATCAGTTCCAACAGCCAGCCAGTCTCCCTAAAAGAAAAAATACATAAGATTCAGATATCATAGCAACATTTAAAAGGAATGCTTACCTCTGGTTTGAATTCTACCAACTCAAGACCTCGACAATCAAATTCTAGAATCTTTTGACGAGTTGGTGGAGAAGCTGCTTGATATGGAACTGGTGTTGATATAACTGATGCAGATGATTCTTTCTACATATGAAATCAGTACTTCTGTTCCATAATATGATGAGTAAAACTACACACCTTACAGAACTTGCATTTCCATACAAAGTTTGCCTCTCCTCTGCTACCACTCATCTCATTTGCTTCCTAATAGGCGTGTTAGTATCTGAAGAATAGAAGAACTCAGACCCTCTCTATCCTTGACTCGACTTACAAATCGATTGATGTTTATGAAGTTGGGATGGATTTCTCTGCATGATACACATTGTACTTTGAAAGTATACCAGAAGTTCTTCTCTGCGCTGTCATCGGGGACAAGTTCATTCACACTATATACATTCAAGTATTAGCTCTTGTACATCTCGAGATTCGTGTACATACTGACCCAGAAAGATCTGCAGTAAGTGTCAAGGTAAGCATCGTGAGTTTTGTGATCTTGGTAATGTATTTATTTATTTGATCTTATTGTTACAATGCAAGTATGAAAATCATGGAGGGGCATAATGAGGAGGGGTTGGTTTGTACTACAAATTCAATCGGTTAAAGCGGCCGCCCAATTGTGAAAGTCATCCGATAAGTTTTGATAGACATCAATTTATTTTACAATAGCGCAAAAAGTTGAAACTTCCCCAACCTTCAATGGCACGACTGACGAGTCCAGTAAGCTGAAAATCCATAAATCGACAAGTATGCAAATATAATGCAAAGTTTATGGTTCCGCGCTGCGCAGACCAGATCATCATGTCGTTGTAACGCTTGTGTGAAAATCGGCACAATCATAACTCGTCAAACTACAAATGCAATTGGAAAACGTCGAAGGGTTAGCATAGGAGATATATTCACGGCATGTTATTCAACAATACTCGCAACTGCTGCAGTGGCAGATTCAAATCGAAAAGTTCGACGAAGGGAACAATGGGATCGAGTCATTGCAGAAGCGAAGGCGGGAGTTCCTACCGACAAAGTGGAGGAATCGCAGGGTCGTCAAGTAGAAGGAAATGCAGGTGAAGTCAAGAATCAAATGCCAGGAATGCCAGGAGAGTCAGGAACATCAGGAATTTCAGGAATGTCAAGGATACCAGGATATTTGGGGAATCAATTTTCTTTCCCAAGAACTGGAATTATTGGTACAAAGGCTGGATCTACAGGACCTATGACGTGGGATGGAGTCAAATCGAGTGCGAACTCTTCCATGAGTCGATTGGAAATTCAACTCAATAACATACCCTCGAATGTGTCGAGGTCCGCCGAGACCACGGCACCAGAAAGTTTACAGGATCTCGTCCCCCAATCCACCACTTCCCCGGTTCAGTCAGCCACGCCAGACCGTATTGCAAACCTAGAACAGTTTGGCGAATATATACCTTCAAATGCTATGCTTCAACCACGCAAAGTCAAAACTCGGAAACACTTGGACCGATTAGAAAACTCGATTTCAAAGCTAGTTCATCGACTCATGTGGACTACTAAGCTCTCTCCTATGGCAGCGGATTTACACTCAGCATCGTCTGGCATCTTTCTCCAGACTGATAAAATGATAGGACGAGTTGAAGAATTGCAACGGGGTGATATTAGCATGCCAGCATACCAATTGGAAGCCGAAGTTGGTCAAGAAAGATTCCAATTACATGATGCGCTGGAAAATCTCCTCAAAAGTACATCTCCGGGTCAGGATAATCTCAATCTAATTCTAGCCAAGATATGTTACAATCTGCTCATAAGTTCAGCGTCGCCAAATATTTTTACCTATAACTTTTTAATCGAGAAATTGACAGAATTGATGCTTCATGACCACGCTCAAGTAATTGTTGATTCATTTCTCTACGATACAATGTTCAAACCTACTTCAAGGACTATTCAGGTCATTTTGAATCATTACGCAGCCAAGAATGATCTAGAAGGTTATCGAAGCATTATCAGGCGTATGAGAGCGGTGGATGGGAGTATGAGAATTGCACGGAGACATGAGAATCAACTATTGGACAACCCACGTGTTTTGAGTTGGGCAGAGAAACATGCTCAAAGATTGACCCTGAGAGGAGGTTGGCTCGAACGAAAAGTACCCCGAGATGAATCCATATTTGATGCTCTTATTGGGACGAGTCTTCAAATGACCACTGCTCGACAATCTGTCATGTATATTCGAGCAGCTTTACGTCAAGACAAGAAAATTAAGATTCGACCAGAGTTACTTTGTGAGGCAGTGAGAAGTTGTGTAGCTCAACTAGATCATGCTGCTGGAGCGTCACTTTTATATTCTATATTAGAGACCTGGGCCGAAAATATAGAAGTGCCTGATCGCATTCCGCTCACCAAAACTACACGGTGGGCCATAAGAGAGCTTATGTATCTTTGTGGAATTGACCCGACAAAAGATCTACCCAGCATTTTACCAATTGATATCCCTAGATGGAATTTGGGAAGGCTTTTATTCTGGTTGAACCTTGGTTCGATACGTGATTCCGTTGAACGGTTTGTTGCACGCATTAATTCCCTGCAAGATATTCTTCAGATATCTTCAAAAAGATTACATTACAAGGTCGAAAAGGAATCTCACCTTGACTTCCCCGAATTTGGGAATACACAAGCTTGGGATTATCTTCCAACAAACAAAACTCGGAATCGACCATCATTTCAGCCTAGTATTGACCGCTCCCTCGAGATTTTCGAAAAGTTTACATATACAGAGAACACACGAGCAGATAAGTCGAAACAAGGAACCCGTCAAGGTAGAAGAGTGATGCTTCAAAGCTTGGAATCTAAGGTTGCATTGTCAAACGCAAACATCCTTTCGACTGAGATGTCTTTGGTTTCCTTCTACTACAATCAATTCCCTAGAGATTGGAGATATACATACCATCTCAGATTACAGGAATCACCACACATGTCGTTAGGACACAGAATTGTTGTTCTCAAGGGATTAAAACGGCTTCAAAAACTTCATGTATTCGAATACCAGATAAATTTGAGCTTACGACAAATCAATCTCTTGAAGAAGGAATTTTACTACATAGTGAAAGAAAGAGAGCAGCGCATAATGGATCTTATTGCCAAGGTTAATCAAAGTGCAAAACAAGTCAAACACATTGCATGGCATCTACATGTTATGAAACAGAGCATCAAGTCGAAAGCGGAATTCCTTCGCTTGAAAGAATTGCGAGGAATTAATCAACGAATCAATCTTCTCGAACTCGCGATTAATACGAATAAACGACATATCGAACTCCTAGAACGTGATCTCGTCTTGGATTTTCCACAAGTAAATCCTGAGTGGAAGTTACGAGAATTGAACCTGGTCTTGTTCAAGGTCAATAAGGGGAAACAACAAGTTAAACATTTGGCCGAGGAGATTTACCTCACCTATCCTCCTCAAGTGGCCAGAAAGACTTACGCCCGCTCGAATCGTGACTGGAAGGTGCTTCGAAAATTCCGCACAAAACTCTCTTTCCATTATGAACTTCCAGTTGACAAACTTTTACCAAGCGAAGAACGAGAGTATGAGGTGGTATGAGAGCTGTCGATAGCTTTCGATGGAAGTTATGATTCATCTCATGCAACCGGCACAGTATTTTCGGATGCGACAAAAATCACCACTCGAACCATTTGGATTGCATGAACTTGAGTTTCGATTGAAAGAAGTTCTGGGACATTTGATATATCATGGTAGAAGTATACATAGTTGGGCAAAAATTTCACGTGTATTTATGAGATACTTGCATGGAGCGGCGTTTACGTTAGATATAAAATGGTTATTGGTATATGTGCATAACAAGGCGTTTTGGAGTTTACACATGTGGCCGATGGTCAAAGGGAATGGCATATTGGTGCATGATTGGACCTGGGAATGGTCAATTTGCATATGTATAACAGATAGACGAATACAAAATCTGTACAAATGATATCTCCGCCATATTTAACAATTCAATTATTCTGCAAGACTTATTTATTGTTATCTGAACTGATGATTTTGGAACTTTTTTACAACGATGTTGAATAACACTCAGTCTCATCTCTGTTGCTCAATACCATATACTTCTAGTTCTATGATGGGGTATCTCGTCTTTTCCTTCCAATTCCCGTTCCTTCATTGTGTCGTAAAGAAAGAAATCAATCAAAATAGCATTTACTTTTGCCTCTGGATGATTCTTCAATATCTCTCTGCGAATCAATTCTACACACCATATACTACAACCTATGATTCATCATGTTAGGCTAATACTTGGAATTCCCACCACATCAAACAAAGGAATGGGAAGAAGGAAAAGAAAAAGAAAATCATGAAACCTTACCTCTCAACTGCACCTCCCAAGTATGTCCACTCTCAATAACTTCCCCCCTCCTAATATTACTCTCCAAAGCCGGTGCATACCATAAACATCCCAAAGTATTCAACAGCTGTGGAATACGATAATCGGCAAACATGGTAAGTTTATCAATATCATGGAATTCACCCCAGCTTTCTCCATCAAACGCTGCCCATAAATCCGCTACACAAATTTGTGCACGTTTGAGCAATCTGACTTCCTTCCGCTTCTCAAATGAAACAACGTCATTGAAACAAGGAAAAGAACCCGCGAGAAGATTCACAAGCGCGGCTGCAGAGTGATTAGATTCCTTTATGCAATTTGTGAAAGAACAGTCGTATTTCTCGTAGAGAATGGTTCCCGCTTCACGAAGAAGTGAGAGACGTGTTGTAAGAAGTGGCATGGGTTCCGCCGTACATGAACGAAAAATGTGCGCGAATACTTCTTCTGTGAGTTCATTCTCATCTTGCCAGTAACAGGAACTGGTAATGGGATATCCCTCTTCTAAACCTCTTTGTAATGCAGCTACTAAACTCCAATATCCGGTCCACTTCTTTCCTTTGTATTCTACTGCAAATCTTTCTTCTTCACTTTGAAGACTCCAGAAAGAAAAATTAAGTAAATCCATGGTGAAGATAAAGTTCACAGTACTCTCGTCTTTGGCTTTGGGATGTAAGTCATGTGATGACCATGTTTTGGTAGAGTAGGATTTCGTTTGCATTTGGGAATAGATGGATGCAGCAGCGGCTTTGGTGGAAGCCATATCCAGAGCTACATCGATGGAATTGTTGTAAATGTATTCTGCACTTTCGAGAACGCGGGTTTCGGGGATATCTGGGGTGGTAGGTTTGCGGAAATGTTGACGGAGGAGCTCGAGGAGCTCGGGATCGGCTTCGTCGTCGGACATGATGGATAGGGGGTTGAATGTGGAATTTGGAATTTGGTGGAAGTTTGGGGGTTCAATGGTTGAAGTTTGAGTGTTCAATGATGTGGTTGTGACTTTCTTATATTGCAGTATTGTGTTTTTTGTAATGAGTTAGAGCTTGGAGGGGTACGAGAGATGCAATGGAGGTGGGCTCGGCGGGGTATGTATGGACTGTAAAATTCGTCGGTTATAGATGAAGTGTGGGTACAAAAAGTAAAGGTAGGAACGATTGGGAGGGAATACTGGGTAGAATTTTAAATCTCTTTTTATATTGAGATTATACCATGAAGCTATCATCTACCTAGTACAATGCATAATTGAGTTATAATTTCAGCTCATGCCTACCTACTTCCTACCTAGTAATAAACACTCAGACCTCAAAATGAGAGCATCATGTACATCCTACCTCGTACACACTCTCGCACTCTATGAAAAAACCAAACAAACCTCACTCCGCTCCTACCACCCAAAGGATAAGAAGTGTGCTTACATAATCAAGCGCGTTTTCCACCTTTGTCAACGCGATGGCGGATTTATCCCCATAGGTAAAATCGATAGCTTAGCAAAATAATAAGCAGAGCCTCAGGAACCATCTCCATCGGTGATGATCAACTTTGGATTTCCATTCACATAAACTCAACCTTGATTTTGGTCGTCAATCTACATCTTGCGCTGTCGCAAAATATCAACGCATGAATTACTCAACATGATGCGCGATCAATTCAACATGCAGTCACTGGGGAAACCTTTAAATATCATGGTCAAGGAGGTAAGCGTACAAAGTTCACAATATCTCCTTCTCTCGAAGGCGAGAAGTTCTTCGCATTTATTCCATTTTCTCTTCTTTTTATGATTCTTTCTGTTGAATTTGGATATACTACTGTCGAAGATCCAATTTGCAGAAATACAAATCCCATGTCGTTGGAGTTCCGTTTGTTCCAACCAACTGTTTCTGCGAATTTCCCACTTTTGCGGAAACCCATTGAAAATGAATGTACTTACTAAACTATTCAAATAGGCCCGGATATTGATGGTAGGAGCTGGTGGAATTGGATGTGAATTACTTAAGAACTTGGTTTTGGCTGGTTTTGGAGAAATTCACATTGTAGACCTGGATACCATCGATCTCAGCAACTTAAATCGACAATTCCTATTCCGTCATGAACATATTAAGAAATCAAAGGCTTTGGTAGGTTGTCTAGTTATGGCAGAGTTTGGATATGTGCTGATGAGAAATTTCCAGGTTGCGAAAGATGCGGCGCATAAGTTCAACCCGAAAGTCAAACTAGAAGCACATCATGCGAACATCAAGGATTCACAATTCAATGTGGATTGGTTCAAGGGTTTTACCATGGTTTTTAATGCTTTGGATAATCTTGAAGCTAGGAGACATGTAAACAAGATGTGTTTGGCAGCGGATATACCTTTAATCGAATCGGGTACAACTGGTTTCAATGGACAAGTTCAGGTTATTAAAAAGGGAAAGACGGCATGTTATGATTGCACAATAAAAGAGACACCAAAGAGTTTTCCAGTTTGTACTATTCGCAGTACACCAAGTCAACCAATTCATTGTATAGTTTGGGGAAAGAGCTATTTATTGAGGTATGTCGGGCTAGGTAGGGACTGAGCGGAAAGGAAGTTTTGCTAATTCATCAAAGTGAGGTATTTGGTGCTAGTGAGGATGAATCGACGGAAATGGATCATTCAGAAGATTCAGAGAATGGTATGTTCATCCAAGCTATGGAGTTCCAAACTACATTGCTCCATAATATATTGAAGTCTTTTGCTAATTTTAGATAGCCAAGGAGATTGAAAAGTTGCGGTTAGAGTCTCAAGCTTTAAAGAAGATTAAAGAATCAATGGGTACCGATGCATTTCCCCAACTACTTTTTGATAAGGTCTTTAAGGATGATATCATTCGTTTAAGATCTATGGAGGATATGTGGAAATCTAGACGACCACCTGAGGCATTGGATTACACCACCTTAAATACAGAAGCTGGAAATGATGAAATCGCCAAGCAAGCTACACTCAAAGATGATCAACGAGTTTGGAATCTACATGAGAATCTCATCGTTTTCAAAGATAGGTTTGTATTCCCCTTATCCCTTTCCAAATAATCACAACTCTGACTTCATTAGTCTGGAACGATTAAGTAAAAGATTACAAGAAATGAAATCTGTCTCAAATGCTGCCAACTCCGCAGAGCCAATAATCACATTTGATAAAGATGATGAGGATACTTTGGACTTTGTCACCGCAAGCGCCAATTTAAGATCCATCGTCTTTGGTATCGAAACAAAATCTCGATTTGATATCAAACAAATGGCCGGTAACATCATTCCTGCTATTGCAACTACCAACGCTATTGTAGCTGGTCTTTGTGTTTTACAATCATTCAAAGTACTTCGAGGTGATTACTCTAGTAGTAAAGAGGTATGTCATACTTTTATGGTTAGGGATGATTAGAACACATACTTACACGATTAGATTTTCCTGTCTCCATTTGCTCCAGAAAGATTACTCTCCTCTGATAAGTACCGAGAACCAAACCCAGACTGTCCTGTATGCAGTGTAGCACAGACTCGCTTATTGGTTGATATGTCAAGAGCTACACTCAATGATCTCGTTGAGGGTTTCTTGAAACTTCAACTTGGATATGGAGAAGAATTTGTGGTTAATAATGAAAGTGGATTACTTTATGATGTTGAGGAAACGGAGAATTTGGATAAAAAACTTAGTGAACTTGGTAAGTTCATTTTTTCTTCGAATACACATGTTTAAATGCGATCAACTAACAAAATGTATAGGCATTAAAGGAGATTCATTCTTGACAGTTATTGATGAAGATGATGAAAATCCAAAGGGTCCTAGAGTTAATCTAGTACTTAATGTACAAGAATCGTAAGTCTTCTAGGCATTTTATGCTGTTTTCTCTATATTTTTCATATCCTAACATTTATAACAGTGACACCGCAATGGAAGATTCTCCCATCAAAAGTCTCGATATTAACGTCAACTCCTCTATCCCTACCGTTCCTATCATCTCCGAAGAATCTACCGCCACATCTCCTGAATCACCAATTCCACGTCGTAAGAAACCTATCCCAGAACCTGAATCCAAAGAGCCAACAAATGGTCATGCAAAATCTTCCACTGCGGAAGTCCTTCAAAATGGTAATTCCAATGGTGTCAAAAAGAGAACTGCATCCGATGCATTGGAACATGATCCTTCCTCAAATTCGAAGCGTTCCAAGATGGAACCGCCCGGTTCAACCAACTTGTCCATGGATACTTTGAATGATGGTATTATTGTGTTGGATGATGCGAATGATGGAGCTATTTTAATTGATGATGATTAAATGCTTGTTTGCATTTCAATCCATTTATCTTTTATGCATTTACACTATCCACCATGTCCTATCTGATTTCTATCTCCCATACTCGAACGACATCCCTCTTCGAAAAAACCATCCCCCCAACCTCGACTCAACAAATGTTTTGCATCCCTTTCCTATGGAAAAATCATACGGCGCTCAATCCTCCATCAAGATTAAGCACACAATTGTTTGCGTACTTATTGGTTGCTAAAAAGACGGCGGCATCGGCTATTTCGGCTACATCTCCAAAACGTGATAGAGGAATGGAGTTTAATGCTTCTGAGCGGGCGGGATCTGACATTGCTTTGAATGAGATTGTTAGTTCGGTTTCTTTGATATTTTTTGATTGCGATTTTGAGTTTAAGAATGCGAAATGGAAAATGTAAGATGATCTTGTGTACATTAGGTTTGGAGAGGTAGGAAAGGGGATGCGATTTTATTTGGGATTTGAAGGTAAGAAGCGAGAAATGATTTGGTGAAATATGAGGTTTTGAAAAGATTAAGAAAAAAAACAAAGGTGGATATGATGAAGATAAAAATCATTTGGGGGTGGTAAATAGCAAATCTAGATGAATATGGACATGAAATGGAAGGGGAAGGGCAAGGAGTTCATGAATAGAATACCAGAATACAGAATAGCATAGCGGGGGGCATGAACAATATAACATAATTAATGGAATAAAAATAAAGGTGGTTTATTTTGATATGGGAATTTGTGAGGTGAGAGGTGAGAAGTAAGAGGTGATGTGGAATATGGAAGATAGTGAAAGGTAGGAAGAAGGGATGCGAATGGGAATATGTGAATTGAGAGAGGGATAGTGGGAGAGAGAGTGAGAATGAGAGGGAGGTTAGAAGGAGGAAGAAGATGGAGGTAAAAAGAAAAATAAATCAAAAATATACATACCCCTCGTCATATCCGTCTCGATATAGCCGGGTACAATGGCATTGACTCGAATTCCTGCAGAACCCATTTCGGCGGCTAGAGCGCGGGTGAGACCTTTTGGTGGGGGGTGGTTAGTTGGGGTTTTGGAGGAGGGGGTGGGGAGAGGGAGGGAGAAGGGGGATTGAGAGAAATGATAAGGGGGCGGGGGGACAACGGAAGGGAAAGGGGAAAAGGTACCAAGAACCCCGCTTTACTAGCTGCATACGCGGCACTACCTCTTCCGCCTTTGATACCGAGGAGTGAAGAGATGTTTATTATACAACCTGGTGTTTGGTTTGGTTTGGTTAGTTGATTTGATTTCTGGAATTCGTTTTGCGAGGGGAGATGGTTTGATGTTGTGTGCAGATTGACTCTTTATGGATTTGTGCAAGGAGAGGGGAAAGGGAAGGGGGTTTGGGAAGGAAGGAAAAGAGAAAAAAGCATACCCTCTCTCCGTCTCAACATCTCTTTTCCGATAATTTTACACCCCCAGATTGTGCCCATTAAATTTGTTTGGAGCACGTTTTCGATGAGGGAAGGGGAGGTGGTTATGAGGGGGGAGGCATGGGTTAGACCGGCGGCGTTGATGAGGATGTCGATTTTGGGTTTGGGGTTGGGATTGGGGTTCTGAGAGAGGGGAGGAGGTTAGTTGGGTGGTTGTTGGAGGATGGGGGTTAGGAGGAATAAGAAAGATGGGGAAATGCTGGTGAGGAGGAACGGAATGGGGTAGGGGTGGGAATAGCGATGCAGCGAGAAAATGGACAAGGTGAAATGAGGAGATGTCGAGATTGCTGGCTTGAGAAGGGTCTAACCCCAAAAGGCTTCAGAGGCACAGAGGAAAGAGTAGAAAGGAACTATCCTCACTAGTATCTCTCCACGCTTACCATAGATCATACCTTTCACATTTCCTCTCTCCACTTCCCCTCACCCTGCACCCCTAGAAAGCACAGCACCACAGCACCACAAATCCCCTACAATCAAAAGCCAAATTCAAAGCCCCAAAGAAGAAACTCAAACTCACCCCATTCCCCCCACTCACTCTCTTTCCCCTCCCAAATTCCCCCTCCCAAAATTCCCTCTCCCCCACGTCTCCACAAACAACCATCCAATCCCCCTCTCCTTCTCCCCTTCCCTTCCCCCCTCTTTCCTTCATCATCTCCCTCCCCACCCCCTCCAAGCCCTCCCGATTCCTTCCCACCAATATCAACCTTCCCCCCAACTCTCCAAACCTTTGCGCAATCGCTCTTCCAATCCCGCGGGTTGCACCGGTTACTAAAATCGTTTTATTCGTAAAAGGAAGCTTTGAATTTGTATTTGAGTTCTTTCCTGTTGCGTCTTCGGTTGAGGTTGATGAAGAAGCATATGAAGAAGAAGAAGAGCAGAATCCTCTCGATCCCCCAGAGAACCTAGCAGAAAGAGAAACCATCGATTCCAATCCCCACGACATCTTCATCCCACCCATCCTCTTTATTCTCCCAAACCCACACCCATACCCTCTCATTTTTCCCTTTCCCATTCCCACTCCCACAATCTTCCCGAGAGCATTCTTTGGTATCCCCATACCCATACCCATACCCAAACTCATATTCACACCCGCACCCAAACCTTCAAGTCCTCAATCTCCACTCGATCCTCACGTATCAAATCAAAAGTCTAATCTTCCCCCACCCAGAATATTCGTACGAAAACGTGTACAAAGATATCAGGAAAAACTAGCTAAACCGAATAAACAGTTTACAAAAATCCGGGCCTGCTGTTCAACAAATTGAATTGGACTTTGTGTTTCGGAGAAAGAAAAGACAGAAGCAAGAGGTATAGAATGATGCACGTCACGTGTCGGAGCTTGTTTCTAGCTCGTCGAATTCGACAACACTAATAAATTAAGTTTGAAAAGTCAACTTGGAGTTGTTGATGATTGAAGCGTACTTGTTTTGAAATTATATCAGGAATTGTATTCATCTATGATCACCTATGCATATAAGTTTCGTATCCGTAATTCGTTCGAGTAGGCCACAAACAATACTATTACATCACCACACCAATTATCAAACATCACAGTCACATCATTAAAACTAGAAAAATGGTCACAATTACGAGTATCTATTTGTTAATTTCTTAAGCAAGCTTTGTACGCCATTGTGCTACTTTTGCTTGGAGTAGCCAAACAAAAATGCCCTCGAAGAAGAATGTCAAAAATGTTCATATCTCATCTCTTCCCAAATTTAACCAGTGAATTCCTTAATCTTACTCTCTGCAAGACGTCCTGGAACCAAGGCCAAAGGAACAATACCACTAACATGCATATCTGGTCCATAAACGTGCATATCAAGCTTCAACTCTTGTCCAACTGCCTTGATGTTCTTTAATCCTTCTTGGTAGTTAGGTCCAGCACGTCTGACCCAGATTTGAACCTTGTGCTCGATCAATAAGTTGCTGACTTCTCTAAGAGCACGAATAACACCCTTGAATGTGGAAGCGACATTGGTGAAGTTGGCAATACCACCACCAATGAAAAGAACCTTGCCTTCTGGGGTAGGTGGTGAACGAAGCATCAGATCAAGGACAGTACGGGCGTAGTGGAAAGTTTGGGTTTCAGTTGGTGCACCAGAGTATTCACCATAATTGGCAAGCTCATCAGCGAATCCAGAACTGGCGATAGCATCGGCATAAACGACGGAAGCACCACCACCAGCAACCAAAGTCCAAACTCTACCGTTGGCATTCAAAACTGTAAGCTTGAGGGATGCACCAGTCTTGGCATCAAGTTCAGCAATGTATGCTTCCTCCTTGGTCAATTCACGACCGAATGGAGCTGGGAACTCCATTGGTGGACCAGCATCAATGTTGACCTTTCCATCAGCTGCCTTGACAGCGGCCATACCAAGAGCAGCAGGTGAACGTGCAATAGCCCATTTAACACCACACTCGAATTCGGCAGTTTGATCAATCTTAGCGGCCAAATCCAAGAAGTGTACTTCAGCAGAGGTACCTTCAGCGTTAGGAATGACAACCAATGGGTTAATCTCAAGGTATGTGAATTGACAGTCGACGTAAACAGCATATAATCTGGTGATGAAGTCGACGAGAACGTTGTGTACACCTTGTGGAACCTTCTTGAGAAGGCCTGCAGCGATTTCTTCATTTGAAGGGTATTCAGCAAGATCGACTGGAATCAACAATTTCTCGGCCTTTGCATCGACATCACCAACATCGACACCTCCCTCGTGTGTGAAAAGAATCCAATCACCCTAAAAAGGAATATTGTTAGCACATGGATTTATGTTGTGAGCATGTACATAATGCTATGAAACTCTGTGAAAATTGTGCGAGTGAAAGTAGCATAAATAACAATAGGCGGCGCGTCTTCCGAATAAATCCGCCGGAATTGAACTCGCTTGCTTTGAGAAATTGATAAGGAGAGTAATGGACCAGGGGGAGGTTGGAATCGGTTCCTTAGCTTCCTTTCGTCCGTTTGTGCTTCCGAACCATTGGGAAATGAGAAGCAATAAAGAATTGATGAATCCCACTGCAAATGTTGGAATGTTGAAATCTTGTAAACTCAAAATCTTTGCTTTTCGATATTTACTTAAATATCATTTTATTCATTGTTCCAACACAAGATTGGCTGCAAACTCGAGATACCCTATTACGAAATCTACCCTTCAAAAGTGGGAATATGAAAATAGTACATACCTCTCTTTGGGAGTTGATGTTGATATAATATTCGGTTCCTTCTGGATGTGGTACAAATGGCTCTACCAAAAATTGACGGAGAGTTCCAACGGTAGTCTCAACTGTGACTGGCTTTCCTGCTCTCTCAGCGATCCATGCCTTTGCTTCTGGCCAAGTCTTGTTCAATGCAAGAAGACCACTCTTGCCTCTTCTCTTAATCAATTGATCAGGCTTTGCGACGAATTTGGAACCTGGGACAAGGAGCCATGGGTATAAGGTTTCTGCTTGATCGAGGATTGATGAGACCTCAGCGTCGACTGGGAAATATAAAGAAGCAAGCTTCGAAGGAGGGTTGTGGGTGGCAGATTTTGGGAGAGGAGATGGCTTGATAACGGGAGCTCTGGTGAGATGATAGTTGAGGATAGCCTTTCCGTCGGCCTCGGTGATTGCTTTGGCAGACATTTTGAAGTATGAAAATTGATGAGTTTACTGTTGAAATTCCAAATTAGCATAAAAGGTCCTGGGAATTTCTAATGACATGAAATTGATAGGAAATTTCCTGATTTTCAAAAGCTGCAGATTGGTGCTTTACAAGCCTCGACAGCTGTAAGCCCCGAATCCTCAAATGGTCAAGCACAAACTCCCAAACGCAATTGGAGGGCTGGACGATCGAAAATCTCAACACCATGCAGATCATGCCAACTCACAACACTTGAACAACGGACTTTCAGGTTAATGAGTCGAGTCGGTGAGAGATAGTTCAATAGTCCAGTCTTTCAACTCGGACAGCGAGAGAGCGAGACCGAGAAGATGTTATACTGGTTGCGATATGAAGCCGCTCCAAAATGAAAAGTAAACACGGGAGGGGGGAAAGTAAGAATATACATACGTACCAAAAGGGTATTCTATCAATGGAACGTAAGAAAAATGGTCAAATAATTAAGACCACAACAATTTCAGTTCTTTTCGAAAAGAGGGAAATGAAATTAAAATGGAAAGATGGAATCTATATTCTCTCTTTCTAAGGTTTCCTTTTCTGTTTTGCGGGAGGGGAAGATATTGAAAATGAATCGGAGATTCTTAATTCTTTTTGGAGAATGAAATAGAAATTCTATGAGGAGGGGAGGGGTGGGTTGGAAAGGACAAGCTGAATGAATATTGGGATTGAGTAAGAGCAGCGAACACGGAGATCGGCCAGTTTTACATTTAATAAGTCCCTAGTAAGTGATTTTGATTATTATTATTATTATTTTTTTGGTTTTCTGGACTGTTGTACCGGTGCTGGCTGCTTTTTTCCTTCTTCCTAAGTGTGGTGTGGTGGCAGAGGGCGGTGGGTGGTGGGCGGTGGGCGGTGGTAGTGGCAGAGTGGGTGGTTCCAGATGAGGTCCCTTGAATGGAAGCGGGTCCCTTTCCTTTGGGCGAGATGGCTTCGAGATGGCGTGTGTTTTCGGGTGATTTATTGGGCTGGTTTTAGGGTTCTCGATGTTATTGGTATGTTGATGGAACTAAGGCCTTGACATTCCCCCTGCCATTTGGCCACTATGGAGAGACTGACTAAGGGAAGCTATGGAAACTATGGAAACTATGGAAACTAGCACTATGGCGAGCATGTTCAACTATCAAATTCAAAAATGTGGGGTTCTCATGATTTTGGTGCTCGTTGGGACGCTAACCAGACCAGGATTCCAATCTTTATTGGCTCTCAACCATCGGAATTTGCTCAACACCGACATACTTTATCAAGGGACATGGCTCAAAAGGGCTTAGTGGAGAGACCGTCGAATACGCTAGAAGGCCAAACCTGGATGCCCTGATATTCAAAAATCCATTGCCACTTTAACTTCACACAGTCTTACTCTTGACGCATATCACACACTCCGGTCCGAGCTCATTATTTTCCACTCCCCTCTATTCCTTTTAGGTATTCAGCTAAGAACTTCAACCAATCCTCACTCCAAATATCGGCCCTCAATTCAGTTGTCAACGAAAGATTTCTAAAGGGAATTGTTTGGAAGAAAAAAAAGGACTCACTTGTGTGTCTCTCTATCTCGATTATTCTATTACAGTCCAACCCCCCCCATCTCTTCTGGTAAGTTGTCACCCTTTCGTTCAATCTCAAAATACCCTCTTCTTCCTCTTCTTCCTCCTCTTCCTCCTCTTCATACATCCAAAAAGTACTTTGAAAAGTATTCAAGTTGTTTGTCTTGTTTCTAAAAAAAAACACTTCATTCTACTTCTTCCCATTACATTTAGAATAACGAAATTGCTAGATTTCTTTACGTTTTTGTTTACGTACGGATTTCCCTTTCTCTATTCTCTTGATTCTTTTTAGAACTCCACACCGTCGAAGATTAAAGTCGGTAGAAGAAAGGATTCCTTGAAACTCTCGAGTCTCTACCTAGGTAAGCTCATATTCTACCCTCTTTTCTTATCTTTTCGTCTCCTTCTTCCTCCGTATACGGACTTCCCCAAACTCGTTCATTCTCTCATCCGTTCAGCCCAAACACCACACCACCATAATCACTATTTCCTTTTTGGGCCGTATAGACGTTTTCTTCAATTGACTAACAATTCACTCTTCCGCACATTCAGATTTTTGTTGATTACTTCCTCTTTCACCATGCCTTCCGCTACAGCATCCGGTGCTCAAGGCAATGCCAACGACAATATCCGCAGATTTGCGGCTCCTTCCAGACCTTTGAGCCCAAGAGCTGACCATACCCTTTTCCACGACAAGACAAGATGTTTCGTTTACGGTCTGCAACCAAGAGCTGTTCAAGGCATGCTCGATTTCGACTTCATCTGCAAGAGAAAGACTCCTTCAGTTGCAGGTATCATTTATACATTCGGTGGTCAATTCGTTAGCAAGATGTACTGGGGTACCAGTGAAACTTTGCTTCCAGTTTACCAAGATGTTGAAAAGGCCATGGCTAAGCACGAGGATGTTGATACTGTTGTCAACTTTGCTTCATCGCGTAGTGTTTACCAATCTACCATGGAACTTTTGCAATACCCACAAATCAAGTCAATTGCCATCATTGCTGAGGGTGTACCTGAGAGAGTAAGTTTTCTAACTCCAATTTCGTTGATCCTGGGCTCATGAATTATTTAGCGTGCCCGTGAAATTCTTCACGCAGCTGCAAAGAAGGGTGTTACAATTATCGGTCCAGCTACTGTCGGTGGTATCAAGCCAGGATCCTTCAAGATTGGTAACACTGGTGGTATGATGGACAACATTGTTGCATCTAAGCTTTACAGAAAGGGTTCCGTTGGTTACGTTTCCAAATCTGGTGGTATGTCCAACGAGCTCAACAACATTATTGCCAACACAACCGATGGTGTTTACGAGGGTGTTGCTATTGGTGGTGACAGATACCCAAGCACAACCTTTATCGACCATCTCCTCAGATATCAAGCCGACCCAGAATGTAAGATTTTGGTTTTGTTAGGAGAAGTTGGTGGTGTTGAGGAATACAGAGTTATTGAGGCCGTTAAGAACGGAACTATCACAAAGCCAATTGTCGCATGGGCTATCGGTACTTGCGCAAGCATGTTCAAGACTGAGGTCCAATTCGGACATGCTGGTTCATTTGCCAACTCTCAACTCGAGACTGCTGCTACCAAGAACAAGTCCATGAAGGAGGCTGGTTTCCACGTTCCAGATACCTTTGAAGATATGCCAGCTGTTCTCGCTTCTGTTTACGAGAAGCTTGTTGCAGCTGGAACCATTGTTCCACAACCTGAGCCAATTGTACCAAAGATCCCAATTGATTACTCATGGGCTCAAGAACTTGGTCTGATCCGAAAACCTGCTGCATTCATCTCTACCATTTCTGATGATCGTGGACAAGAACTTTTGTATGCCGGTATGCCAATTTCTGATGTCTTCAAGGAGGATATCGGAATTGGTGGTGTCATGTCTCTTCTGTGGTTCCGTCGTCGTCTCCCAGATTACGCAAGCAAGTTCCTCGAAATGGTTCTTATGCTTACTGCCGATCACGGTCCAGCTGTTTCTGGTGCCATGAACACTATCATTACTACCAGAGCAGGAAAGGATCTTATCTCTGCTCTCGTCTCTGGTCTTTTGACTATCGGATCTAGATTCGGTGGTGCTCTTGATGGTGCCGCTGAGGAGTTCACCAAAGCCTTCGACAAGGGTCTTTCCCCACGTGATTTCGTCGACACCATGAGAAAGCAAAACAGACTTATCCCAGGTATTGGACACAAGGTCAAGTCAAGAAACAACCCAGATCTCCGTGTCGAGCTCGTTAAGGAGTTCGTCAAGAAGCGTTTCCCAAGTTGCAAGATGCTTGACTATGCTTTGGCTGTTGAGTCTGTCACCACCTCCAAGAAAGATAACTTGATCTTGAACGTTGATGGTGCTGTTGCCGTCTGCTTCGTTGATTTAATGCGCAACTGTGGTGCATTTAGCGCAGAGGAGGCTGAAGATTACATGAAGATGGGTGTCTTGAACGGTCTCTTCGTTCTTGGACGTTCTATTGGTTTGATTGCTCATTACCTTGATCAAAAGAGATTGCGCACTGGTCTTTACAGACATCCTTGGGATGATATTACATACCTTTTGCCATCTTTGTCATCGGGTGCACCTGGTTCTGAGGGTCGTGTTGAGGTTCAGATGTAAGGTTGAGGTTAACCAGGAGACAACTTTGCAAGCGCGGATGAATTCGAAGGGTGGAAGTTATAGAGCATGCTTCCTACTTCTTACAAGGAACACTTATTTTTTCTGATTCAAAACATGCTGGATGAATGGAGTTTTTAAGATCAATCATGTAGTAGATGAAGAATTGCTATAGAGCAAGAATTTTTTAATGGAAATGAAATTAAAATGATGAATCAATGAGGTGTTTTAAAGTTTTTGTACGTATTTTCTCTTTTGCTGTAGTGAAGTTAAACGACATTCTTATTTCTTGTGGTTACGCCCAAGCTAGAAAGGTAAGCACAATAAAGTTCAAGCTGTGATCACAATGAAGTAGGTATTTTATTTGATATCCTATCCATATTCAATATCCATAGCTCATATTTCATCCTCATATTGTCAATACATGTGAACTCAAATCCGCTTTAGTGTAAAATAAGAACAAGTAAGGGAATCCCTAACGCCTGACCATATCCCATGCGCATGTATCCCATTCCAATTCGTGTATGTCCTGTTTTAAAGATCCTCCCATATCGTAGCATATCGTGCTATATCGTACACTCCAGTTCTCGTAATTTCTTCTTTTCCATCTCCCAGATTAGAGATCTCTCTCTCTATCCATATTTCATAATTTCAATTACACCGCATCCCCTCCGATAATTCCCTTCGCTCCCATCAATTCATCCACATACGCTCTTTCTACCGCTTTATTTTTCTTTTCTTCTTCTTTGAGGAGAACGGCGAGGACTTCAAGGGGTGGATTTAAACCGAGTCTGGAGGCACGGTGCCAGCGTTTGGTGCGGGAGATGCCGATGGCGGGCTGGAAGGTTGTTAGTTATTGTAGATGTGTTTTTCGGGGGAGAAGGAGAAAGATACTTACACCAAATTGACTCATACAATCCCATTCCCTCAATATCTTCTCACTGATTTCCAAATCTTTCTGGTGGACTCGAGGCGCTAAGCGGAGATCCTCGCGCGCTTTCCAGTATTTGCGGATTTTAGCGTCGGAGATTTGGGATGCGAGGGTAGTTTGGAGGGTTTGATGGGCGGTTTGGGGTTTGGGTTTGGGTTGGGAGGTTGGTTTGGGAGGGGTGGTTGGGAGGGTGGAGGGTTTGAGGTCTGGGGATGCGGGGGAGGGCTTGGCAAGCTCGGTGAGGTTTGGGAGCTTGGTGATGGAAGATTTGGTTTTGAGTGTGCTGGGGGTGCTGGCTGCTTTGGAGATCTTGGAGGTGTTGGTGAAGGAGAGGGTTTTTTGAGTGCCTTTTTGGGCGGGGCCGCTGCTGCGACGGGTGGTGGGCATGATTGTTGTTTTGGTGGTTGTTTGGATGATGCTTTTAGGGTTTAGATGGCGAGGTAATAGTATGGATATGAGGTTTGGTATATGTGGAGATGGAGTGATGTTGATGGTATCGTATATTTTGAATCTATATTGATGCTAGATAATTTGGAGTATGACGATGGTGCTCGAACGGTTTGGCAGGGCAACATGTGGATTAGGTAAGCATAGAAATCACATCTTTCCTAGTGCAAATTTGGGGAATGGTCTGAGCGTCTTTGAAACTCTTGCGAGTTGTTTTTTGTTGGGAGAAGAGGGAGATTGATGCATGAATGCTTGAATGGGGCTAATTGTTTTATGGTTTTCTCATTGTTTGGTTTAATTGTATGTGGCTTTAGTATTTTCTGGATTTTGCAGGATAAAGATTTCTTTGCGTGTACTTGTTTTCTTTACAAAGTATGGAAGGTATGAACCAAGTGGATTCCTTGCGATATCGCTGGTGAAGATTGTCAGTCTGTAACCCGTAGTTGTCGGAGAGCTCTAGACTTACTACTAGGTAGCTAGAACGTACCAAGGTCCGAGACTGACTGACAGGAACATGTGATATTTGCAGTGCTTCTGTTGCGAATAGCTTCGATATTACTTCAATAAGCTAGCAGGTCCGACTTGTTCTCACAGACACAGTCGTTTCCCTTGTTATTATAAATGCGGCATTCCATAACATGCTAGGGTCCAACTTGCTTGATAAAAGCAGCAGGACTTCTTGGGTGTGGAGGGGTAGCAAAAAGAATTGAATGATCCTTCATGATTGTTTGTCAAAAAGGACTGATCATAATACAATTCCAAATACCTTTGATGATGATGGAAATTTCGATGTTGTATTGCATAATCTGGATTCTGCGAGAATATGCACATGCAGGCAGAATAAAGCACAACCGGGGCCTCTATCAATTTCAGATAAAGAACATTGCTGCTACCTTATCTTTTCCACGCGGCTCTTTTCCTACCTGATTTGAAGGAATTGAGAGAACGAGGAAGGAGTGGAATGTGTAGGATGGATCGTTGGCACATGGAAACTAGCATTCTGCGGACGGGAACCCGAGTTAGGATTGGGTGCTTGGAATCGGTAATCGGTCGTCATACATGCTATGGCCATGATCACATGCTACTCAATCATCAAGCCGAAGGATTCGATGTAGCTGTGTCGATTGTGGGGAAAGTGTTAGCTCGGATGAAGGTACAGTATGCAGTTTCATTGAAGATATTGCTTGACATGGGGATGATGCTATGCCGGTCGATCTCTTACTCTTATCCCCTGTGATGAAAACAACATCACTTTCTTCTCGATGACTCAAACCGTCTATTTACTCCTTCCCTTTTCTAACTCTCTTATCATAATATCATGAACTTGTTATATTACTGCCGGTACAACACTTGTGTATGGCAGGATACCAGTTCCTCTTCGTGTTCTACCTTCTCTTTTCATTAGTTGGAAGATATGCTAAGATCATTAGTATCATGAACATCGTCATTCCTTACTGATTGAACGGGTTTGCGTTAATGAAATGACCGTGCTTCTTTGCATGAGCTTCCTAATCTTCTTGCAATGCCCTACTCACCTGTGTTCTTCAACATAAAAGAGCATAGCAAGGCGCGTATAGATTTTGGTGACAGGTCCACTTTGGGAAAGAAACTACGTTGATAAGGTCAAGATATGTGAGACGCAACAGTAAGCGTGTTGGAACCGATGCTTGTATATGGGTATCTTAATTTGTCAACCCTAAAGGTGAGTTGAATTGATGGAGAAGATTATGTGAGTGTCGGTGGCACATTAAGACCGAGGAGGATCTGGAGGAGGGGCTTGATTGCTCGAGGCTTAGATGAAGATTGTAATACATGAATTAAACTACGAATAACTCTTTCAAAGTTTCACCGGTATTGAAAGATGATAGTCATATGTGCTTGTACTAATTTTGGTGATGGTCTAGAATACAATTTGACCTCCGTTAAACCTCCCGGTGAGCTTTGGTAGCATTTCTGAACGGCCTAGGCTTAAGTATAATTTTTTGCAACGACTCAATTCAGATGTGCAACAAAACGAGGATTGTACAATCTGGCACGTGAGCGGTGGGAATTGAGCCATTCACGATTATCAAATTCTGCCGATCACGTCTTCCTTATTAGTATTAGCGGGAATGTCGTGATCAATTTACGGAGTTGTGATTTCGATTCGATTTTGAAAGGTTGAACTGTCAGTAAATACTTATCTATGATCGTCACAGTATAGTTGCTGTGATGTTCTGCTTATTTGCTCAAGGAAGAATAACGTTCAAGAGTTTGAATATGATATATGAGCTGGCCGGGCTTCAGGAAAGGATGTACGAGCAACCTGATGGGGTAGTTGAGTTCCACTGCTGATGAGGGGCAGCTTCAATACACTCACTCATTTGCTACCGGGTAAATGATATGAAAATTCTGATACAAAGTTGAGTATGTTAAGGATGACACATGCCAGTGCATCTGTAATATTATACTGGTGTTCTTAGCAACACAATTTCCTTGATCTTTCTCTTTCATAGCAGTCGTCTTTCGAAAAATATTGCTCCTACGAATTGCGTTGATCATAGTAACCTTGGGTTTCACCAGAGCAGCTCCTTCAAGTGAATGTGTAAGTTAGAATCCATCAACTACTTCGGCTGCAGAATTGACTGGATGATCTCAGTGTTCTATATTGAAATCCAATATCACCATTTGCTGGAGCGACATCAATCAATGATGGAGTCACCATTGATTTGGCTAAGCTTAATGATATATCGGTGGATAAAAATGTTAGAATCGCACATGTTGGCGCAGGATTGAAGTGGGGACAGATTTATGAGTATCTGAGACTAAGGGTATGATGGTCTCTGGTGGTAGAGCATCTCTGGTTGGAATCGGCGGGTCAGTTGTTGGAGGTAAGTTGCCTTCAGAGCAAAGTATAAACCGTAGAGATAACTTACATGGATTTGATTGTAGGTGGTTACTCATGGTTTACGCCCCAGAAAGGTTTTGTGGCGGATACTGTTAATAGCTTCGAGCTTGTGGTTGGTAATGGTTCGGTTATCAACGTGAATGCCACTTCGAATTCAGATCTTTTTGTCGGATTGAAAGGAGGAGGTAACAATTTCGGTATCGTAACTCGCTATGACCTGGAGTCATTCCCTTTCGAAAAGTTATGGAGAGGAATCATGATCTATCCAATCAGCACAGCGAATGCCCAAACCAAATTTTTTTACCAATTTCACCAATCATATATTGGATGATCAAAAGTTCACCGATGCAGCTTATGCTACGGTTGATGAGATCAATGCGGTGGCGGGGAATCTTGGAGTTACAAATCCTTTCATCTATCTAAATTATGCAGGACAAAGGCAAAATCCATTGGCGGGATATGGTGAGGGGAATATTGAGAAGATGAGAGCCCTGAGTAGGAAGTATGATCGTCAAGGGACTTTCCAAAAATTGGTTAAAGGGGGATTTAAGATTTCGGGTATGGAAATTGTTATGGACTAGGAAGTTGGTGCTTTAGAAAATGCATGGACGGAAGAGTCGATTTTGCTGTACTAACTTCTGACCTTTGATTCTCATCTCCATAAAACCTTTTTCCCGCCGTTTTCTGCCGTTGAGTGAGTCATGATCATCTGCTCCTATCGGCGACACTGCATCCGTTTACTCCGCAGCCGGTGTAATTAACAAAGCCAAGGTACTTTGATATGGTCGGCGACATTGCATAATGTATACTCAACGGCTAGTACAATAAGCGTTGTGGTTGCATGGAATCTTTATAATATGCACCCCAGTCTTTGGATCCTCATATCACTACAAAACAACAATAACGATTTTAGCCGCCATGATGAATGAGAATTATATGTAACTAAAAAGGAACGGAGCCAAATAATCCGACGACTTTGACGAATTTTTCTTCGAAAATCACCTTAACCGGAATCAAACCGATTGATTTAGGGGACCTTTCTAACATTTCTCATGAGTTCACGTGGTTATCTTTTGGTATATCGTTGTCTTTGTATGTATCTATACCTTATTTTCCGACTCATTACTTACTTCAAAGCTCTATTGAACGCCATGTCGGCGAAGTATCTTTGGAAGTCAATGGTATGGTAGTAGCTTACTACGCTTATCTACTACCTCTAGTTCTTCTCGGGGACCTCGCTAAGCCTTAGCAAGTTGAAGATTCGAACCAGTAAGGCGGCTTGGTATAAATGCACGATCGTTAATTTGCCCCACCTTTACCATTTCTTCAATCCCCAATTCCCAGGAAAGTATTCAGTGGCTCGAGTGGTACTCGATTACCCCACCAAATGCTTCGCGCCTACACTGTTCCCACAGGAATCGGGGACCTGCAGATCAATGTTGGAATAGAACTGTTGCCTGACTTCATATATAGTTCTTAATGTTATAAGGTTCGTATTCTCCGATCGGCGAATTCTCCATAGTAAGTTTTATACTAAGGTCGCTTCGTATTTCGGACGTTTCCTAGTGTTGCGATATCGTACAGTATCACCGTGTCAGAGCTGGAATACTTTGGCTTATGTTGTCAGACAGGCTGAATAATACCTAGCTAAGTTTGGAATTTTAAGTTTTGTATTACACACAATTGACTGTGCAATCATTAGTATCGGAAGGGTAAATATGGAATATAAAAGCTGTGCACCCTACGTTGGAGAAAGATCCCAATGTGCTTCAAACACAGGGTCAAATCAAACTCATTGGCAAAAATCGAAGTCTCACAACATTGTTTCAAACATTCCTCTGAGTCAGTTTAATAATCAATTCCGAGATACGAACCCTTTTACTTCTCCATTAGATTCTCCTCGACTTCCAAATTTTCAAGATCGACAAGATTTCGAAGAACTAAGTTCCATCAAGACTCCGAACAATCATTCAACTAAGATTCGGGGACTTCAGAATTCAACACTTGAGAATCGTGAGTCACTCGGAATCAGCATACCTCTCCAAAGGCACTTGGAAAAATTCGAGCTTCAGTCGAATCACACTATGACAGACACGACCAGCAGCACACTTTCACAAGCTTCAGGAAAGGCTGAACAAGATTACGATATGGAACATCGTACTCAATTCATGACCGATGTTGAACTCTCGGCTGTTGATGATACTCATCTAAACAATACTACCGTTCGGAATTTTATATGGAAGGATGTGACGGTTACTGTGAAGGACAATAAAACGAAAAAATCAAAAGCAATTCTAGATGGTGTTAGTGGTATTGTTGAAGCTGGTCAGTAATTATATTTGGAATGGTTAGGTCAGAGGAATGGTAGATTACTAATGTATTTGTAGGAGAGATATGTGCTTTGATGGGACCAAGTGGCTGTGGAAAAACTACTCTCTTGAATGTTTTGGCTCATAGAAATGCAGCTGCGAAAGCGGTTGTAACTGGAAAGACACTGGTAAATGGATCAAGTCCGTCTAAAAGTGTTTTTCGAAATATGAGTTCATATGTTGAGCAAGAGGATGCTCTCATAGGCTCTCTGACAGTGCAAGAAACATTGAATTTTGCCGCCCGTCTTGCTCATAAAAAGTATAGTTGCTAAGTTTTGGTTTATGTTTTTACGGACTAACTCTCCTCTAGTTCATTGACGAAAAGTGAGCGAATGAGAAGGATCAGAGGCTTGATAAATTCATTCGGTCTTCGTAATCAGGCACATACCATTATTGGAACACCAATTCAGAAAGGTATTAGTGGTGGTCAAAAACGACGAGTAAGTGTTGCCAGTCAACTCATCACTGGTCCCAAGATTCTTTTCTTGGATGAACCTACGTCTGGGTTGGATTCTGCTGCAAGTTGGGAAGTGATGTCTTTTGTTAAAGAGGTCGCAAAACAAAACAATGTTAGTTATTGCCACTATTATTAAGGATTTACATTGATTTGATTATTTAGTTGATTGTTATAGCAAGTATTCACCAACCTTCCACCTCTACTTTCCAATTATTCGATAAGTTGCTATTATTATCCGGAGGAAAGTCGCATTACTTTGGTCCTGTCTCAAAAGTCAATCAACATTTCGAATCCATAGGATATCCAATTCCACTTCACATGAATGCTTCGGAATACCTTCTTGATCTCATGAATACAGACTTTGCAGTCGATCAATCACAATCACAAGCAAGACTACTACAGATTTATCAATCTTGGCTGGTTTCGTCGATCTTTCGACAAATGCATGATAAAATTCAACTTATACTGCAACATGTCAAGCCTTTACCCGTGGCCAATTCCTCGCGTGGTGGATTTTTCAATATATTGATGACATTGGTACACAGGGCATTCATCAAGAGTTACCGAGATGTGGTCGCATATGGTATTCGTATTGCGATGTATATGGGGCTTGCTATTATGATGGGTACGGTCTGGTTACGTCTTAAAACAGATCAAAGTGAAATTCAACCTTTCATTAATGCTATCGTGAGTACTATGTTTCTTCAGGGGATACATTTTATGACTAACGAATTCCAGTTCTTTGGCTCAGCTTTCATGTCTTTTATGGCTGTTGCTTATGTTCCATCGTTTCTCGAAGATCGTTCTACATTTATCAAAGAACGAGCAAATGGTCTTTATGGTCCTACAGCATTCATGCTCTCGAACTTTATTATTGGCTTACCTTATCTATGTATGTTCATAATTGTATTTTCTGAAGCTCAACTAACATTATATTCAGTTTTGATATCATTTCTTTTTTCGGTAACAACATATTTCCTCAACAATTTCCGACCTACGGCTCCTGCCTTCTTCACATGGATAATGTGGCTGTTTCTTGATCTTCTCGCTGCCGAATCACTTGTCGTTCTTATATCCTCTTTATTCCCTTCATTTGTGATATCTCTTGCTCTTACTGCTTTTGCAAATGGACTGTGGATGAGTGTCGGTGGTTTCTTGGTACCTCCACAAATTCTCAACGTGTTTTGGAGATATGTATTTCATTACATTGATTATCAGGTATGTTCTCTATTCTATAATCTCTAATCTCTAATCTCTTATCGAGATACTTTGTACCACTCGTGGTCATGATACAACAGTAATGCTAATGCATACCAATAGACGTACGTTTTCCAAGGAATGATGGTCAATGAGTTTTCAGAAAGAGACTATACTTGCGGATCTTCCTGCCAATGCATGTATATCACCGATCTCGCACCTCAATGTAAAATTAGTGGTAAAGGAGTTTTAGATCAATAGTAAGTCCCTCTCCTTCCTTCATAATCTAGATTTCCATTAGAATTTTACTAACGAAGCACAGTGGATACAAGACTGGCAAGACTGGTGAATGGGTAGGTATTTTACTTGCAATTATTTTTGTATATAGGATTTTAGGCCTGGGTGCTATGTATTTTAGACGATAAAATCATTATTTAGTGAGTGGATGGACAAGAATGGAAAGACTTTGGGATTTGGAGATGTAAAAGTAGCTTGGATGTTACTTGATTGGGAACGAGGTACCAGAACGCGGCACGGGTGGTGGCAGCTTTGGGAAGTGTGGTGATCAGATGTCATGCGGACACAGTGTTGTACATTGATAAGTGTGAGGGATTGTTTATATGTTTTATCCTTGAGGTTTCGAGTATTGTTTTGTTTGGTACCATTTTGCTGTGTATATATTTCTGGACTCTGGATGGTATATGAAGCAAGACTGTATATATTTCTCCTCTCTTATAAAAAATTCTTTCAATTCATTAAATCAAATAGTGATATTGTAGCATTGCAAAGTAGGCTACCTAAATTCAAAGGCATGACCTGAGACGCTTGACCAGTGATCATTGAACATGATCTCGCTTTCACCAATCTTGTAACTTACTACATACCTACATATTGTAGTATAATCGTCATGCATCTCTTCATATACACATTCATCATCACTCACCCATCTATCCACGAACATTCAGCCAGACGTTACAGTACGCTCGAGCCTTCAGCACATCATCTTATCTCTTCACCCGTCTCTCACCAAGCAAGCCATCTCCTCATCACCTCACCCCACGGTATCACCACATCCATTCATTCATTCATATATACCGGGTATATGTCCCCAAAATATTAGTCTATACATAATATATATCTAAACACAGCATATAGGAACTTTATCCGGATTCAGCCGGCTCGAGTATATGTTACACAAGTCATACGAGTGATACAGGTCGAGTACGGAGTGACAGAGTATTTCGTTCTGACTCTCGTTTTTGACTGCGCCTATAGGGTTGTACTGTTGATTTGTTTTCTTCCGGAGGTGTACGGAAGGGATGGGAAAGGTTTTTGTGTTATGAACGGGGTAGATATCGTAGCAGGTATGAGAAAGATTTGATGGTTTGTGATGAATGAAGATACTGTAGGTTCAATGTGAATGATGAGACGATGAGACGATGGACGATAAAGATGCTGGTGACGTTTCTGATAGCTGTTGAGGATTTTGATCACACAACTCTTTGTAAATCTGCACGTACTCACTCACCTTTTGGTAAGAGGATGGTTGAAAAGATGTCTGAATTTAGACACCTCAAGGGTGAAAAATCACATGCGTATCTAAGTACATGCTTCATGCCGTACAACGCCAAATCATACGACTCTCAACCGCCCGACTTAATCCCAGTCTGTGATTTGTACGATTCCAGTCCAGGTACGTATTTACTCTCGAGGCACTCATGTTGTGTTTACTACGCACATTACATATACATGAGATTGTGTTAAGATGGATTTACATATAATCTATGTTGTGTCAATTCGTGCACTTCATGGCTTGATGGCGAGTTGAATTCTGGATCTACACTACATGCATACGTGAATGTATTTACGTAGATCAATACCACTCATGGATTTGTGTTCATGATGTGCCGTGATTACATAAATATGTGCATACTTAACGATCTTCGATATTCACGGTAGGTAAGCACGGGATGAATGTGATATCACTTTCGCTTACATTTTACCGTCAACGTTGCGAGTACCTTGCCAATGTCTGAAGTTGGAACTTGGAGTCCAATATCCTAGTTAGTCGAAACGTTGTATAACATATTGGCACTGCTGACATACATATATTCTGGTAGTATTATAGAGTCGTAGTATTTATGAAATAGACGTGATACATTTGGAAGTCTGGGCATGGCGGCTATGACGGTAATTTTTGATTAATCTTGTGATCAGGAAATCTAATCTTGGGATTGGCAGTGCTTAAGATCGTCGGGTTGCAGGCATATTTACCCAATATATGTAAGTATGGACATGGAATTTACAGCCGGTGGCATTCTCTAAAAGTGTTCTTGTGAGCACAACATGTGCTGTTTCGAAATGTTTCAGGATTCAACCGGAAAGTGAGATTATGGGACATTTGGTTCAGTTTGAACTTTCATACGTACTCATACTTTAAGGTACATACTTGTTCTAGACTTTGACATCGCCTAGCTTCTTGACTACATTTTCGAAAAATCTCATTCCGAGTTTTGAGGCAACTCTTTCATCACCCATCTCATCTTCTCCATCGTCTATCCCCAGCTCTTTACCACCAACTATACATCTCTCTACGACCTCTTCCACTATTTCACCCATTTCACCTCCTATTTTCGATAGCATTTCCTCACCCATGAGAATTTCTTGTACATTCTTTGCTCTCTTTGAAGATCGTCCACTGATCTCAGTCATGATCTCGGTTATTGATTTCCAGAAACACAATTCAACTAATACCACACCAAAACTATATATATCGAAGCTTTTTCGGTAGCCTGTAAATAATATCAGTATAATTGACCATTAGATTTCTGGAAAGACAACTCACTTTCTCTTGGACCAAATCCAATATTTTGAGTACTTGGATGTCTATACATATTGTGCTCTTCGCCATCTCCTGGTATCTCTGTCGTTTCATCCTTTCTAGCTGGTCGAGCAAAATCAAAGCCACTCAAATATACTTGATCCCAGTTCACAATTTGACGTTTACCATCATTTGATGTAACTGGGAAAAATACTATGTTATGCGATCGAAACCCTTTGTGAAGCCAATTCACGGAATGTAGATATAATAAACAATTAGATAGGGCATGAGCTAATTTTATACGATCAGTGATTCGAGGTTTGGGGTAGTTTGAGAATAATTGGATGAGAGAGGTAGGGGAGGTCTTAATTGATTGTGGCTTCCGAAAGACAATTCCAATACGTGCCTCGGGAAGTTCATCTTCTTCGGAGTCGGAAGAGAGAGAAGTAGGCTCGGAGGTAAGGTTATCGAAATATCCAAGACAATGAGGAACTCGGAAAGCTTCTGGTTTCGGCTCGTGATGAAGGAGTGCAGCAAGTTTCTGAACGCGGTCTACTATGAGGGGGGATGGAGAGGTAGCACCAGGACTGCAATCATACTCTTTCCATTCAATCCATACTGGTTCTTCAATACCATCGTGGGAATATGTAGCCTCGCATCTAATGGCATCTCCATCTATCGAGTCCTCTTCAGGAGCAAGTTGGATGCTAGACTTAGCAATTTCGAGACTCGTCCTTTCATCGTTTGGTCTTCCCAGCGAAAGAGCATTTCCAGTCGCCTCATCCCATGTTAAACTTCCGGTCGTGGGATTAATTGATTCATTGAATGCCTTGAATTTGGCAAGCTGGGACAAGAGCTTTAAGCCCGAATTGTTGTCGTCCGCATAATCATGAGGAATCGATGGCGTGTGATATGTTCGAGCATCCAGCTTGATATTCAGGGCCATTACCAATTGGCATAGAGAAGAAAGATCTTTGTGGAGTTGTAATACACCTCGGTTTGTATCTTGAGTCGTCCGATGAATCTCGGTTTGCAAACGGGTATCAAGGATATCCGTCATGTTGTCGTTGAGAGTGGAGAAACGTTGAAGAAGAATCTCAAATGCTTCCTTGTCGAAGGCTGTCCACCAGAGACGCCGTGCACCCTCAGTGATTTGTTCCGTGGTATTAGTCTTGAGGGATTTCATAGCTTTCATTATGAATTTCCTTCTCGATTCGGACAATGGTACATGAGCACTTGAGGCATCTTTAGCTGGATCATCGATAGAATTCTCATCTGATACGAAGTCAGGGATAACCTTGAGGTGCTTATTCTTTCTCTGGGCATTCTCGAATTCCTTGAACAAGCATTGGATCTGAACAAGAAGGTCTAGGATGGTGGTTCGATGGATGACAAATGTATTGGATTCGCGAATTTTTTGATCATTTTGATTATCAAGGTCTAGCAGACCGGAAGTTTCACTCCATGCAAATAATCTTTGCTGTTCCATCCGCAGTCTCAAATTGTAGTATTTTGACTCTTCAGGGACATTCTTTGCTGTGATAATGAATTGAATCCCTGACAATAATGATATCAATATCCAATAAATTGATTCTAAAGATCAAGGGAATCATATACCTTGAATGCATCCTGTAAACACTTGACCAGCCAAGGATGCTACACTGAGAGCTATACCTACAGCACTGATTGGATCCATATTTCAAAAGAAGTGAAATGGTGTGTCGGGAAATTTGATTGTACTACCGAGGCATGCGAGTCAAAACAAATCACGGCACGGCTGGCCTAGAATATGGAACCGATTGAACCAAAAGGGCCGGTCGTCTAATAACGGCAAGTATGAACGAGTTGCGGTGGAAGCTCTTCCATCAAGACACGATGCTGCTGAATTGTTTCCTGCACAGATATTTGCTGGGCAAAGAAAACCTGGCAAAAGAAAAACTGGGGTAGGTCCGCGGATCCGCAGATGGCGCTCGAATAATTATTATTGCTTACAATCTTTCTTCGATGTTGTATGTGAAACTGAAGCTTTTCAGAAACTATATTGAAGGAAACACACAGCCTCAATGAAGAAAAAAACCCCAATGACAAAACGATCGACTAGTGACTGCAACGCCGTTGAGTGTAATTCAGATAGACATTATCCCATCGTATCATAAAATGATCAAGATTCATCTACCGGCGAGCCAGCCTCATTGTGGCCATGCTCATAATATACCTTACCCAATCGCTTTTGATATTATTCTCCACAACTATGCAGGTGTCAAAAGGCAGATTTTGCATCACAGATTCACAGCCCTCTCCTATCTCTGATGGTGTGCTGAAAAAAATGGCAGATGGCGGGAAGTTTCCCATGTGAGATAATCTTAACCTTTTGTATGCAGATTGAATGCAAGGAAAATGCAGAGCTGAGGAAATTTTCTAGCAATCGCGGATAATGAAGGGGAAATCCGAATCAATCGATGTAAAAAGAAACAAGGTCACGTGCATGGTGAATTAAACCACTCTCGGGACTCAGCTCCAATAGGATCTCTTTGCTTCTTGTGCTCCAAAGTAAATGAAAGGAGATACGCATCAACTACGCATCAAATACGCATCAACTACGCATACCTACGCATTCAACAACTGTATGTCAGATAGATAATCGATTGAACGGATGGACCACTCCGCATGCATTTAATAACAACTTGTTCGCACCAGAAGTGGTAGTCCCCATCGTTATATTGAGGCTGTCCGTCCGTTTTCTCAACATCTTCCAACATAAGTTCACAACATTTTTTCATTCTCGTGGCTTCCTCCATCCTTTATAAAGATTTGACCTGGACCCAGTTGAACACAAACGACATCGCTGTCAGCATATCATTGACGTGTTTGTACTAAACTTATCAAACCTTCTTGTACTCAATCTATTCGGGCTCATCGGGGACCTCGCTAGGTACCACAATTACTACGGTAGTCAGCATATTCTATCCAATATCGTAGTACAAGGATAGAATATCCATCAATCATTCGACGTTTTGTACCAGGGTTGCAGTATTGACTTTCCAATGCAGCAGACCTCTACTTCTGTGCCTCATATGTTTTGGTCGGCGAGCAATTCATCCACATCCACATCAAATCTGACCACTAGAGCTATGGATTCCATATCTCCCATCCAAACGCCTTCGACGAGTAATGCTTCATCACTATCACCAACTTCCGATCATGTGCCTGAGAAACAAGGCGAAAGACAGTTAGCAGTCGTTCCGGACCATCAAAAGGACCGGATTACAGTCCCGTCAGCATGCGTCGCTTGTCGCTCCAAGCACCTCAAATGCGATGGCTTTAGTCCATGTTCTAGATGCTCTACTAATGAATATGAATGTGTCTACGTGAGAAGTCGTCGAGGCTTTAAGGGTCCAAGACGTAATGGGGCTCAAAACAAGACGGCGGCATCGACGTCAACTCAACCAAACAATTCCAGAGCTTGTCCATTAGTTCGACCAGGGACATCATCTACAACCATCAATACCACCGGTAATTCGGCCAACATTCCTAGTGGATTAGCTACACCTCCCGACAATAGACTACAGACGCTACCGTTCGGTCCGGCAAATCCTCCGTCTTATGTCATTAATAGAGATCAAACGGTTTTAGACGTCAATAAACCTCAATATAACGGATTAGACCTTCGACAGAAATGTATAGAAGCATTTTATTATCATTTTTGGCCCGCACATCCATTTCTTCTCCCAAGAGATAATCTTCTTAGATTGCTCAAGGAGAAAAAACAACTGGAGCATTTAGAAGCTGCTATGAGATATGTGGGTTCATTCTTCATAGATCAAGCACCCACTACGGCACTATGTCTAGAAGCTGAACGAGCAATTTATCGTCCAGATTGTCCCAAGGATGCATTCAAGGTTCAGGCAATGCTTATTCTTTGCATTGGACTTGATGGTTATACATATCAAGAGAAGGCCTTGGAAGTCCTTACCGATGCTCAAGAGTTGGCATTACAATTGGGAATGAACAAAAGAGATTTTGCTTCTATGCATGGAAATGGCTGGTCTAGTTTGGAAGAGAGTTGGCGTCGTACTTGGTGGGAAATGTTTGTGGTTGATGGAATGATTGCTGGCGTTCACCAAAAAAGTTTCTTTCCTATGAAGGACATACCCGCAGAAGTTGGACTTCCATGTGAAGAGAGCGAATATATTAATGGAGTAAGTCTTCCCTAATTGATACCCGAGAATTTCCCGTCATGCCTACCTTTCACAATCACCATACTAACAAAAACCAGAATATTCCATCCCCTCATTTCCTTACAGATTTTGACGATGAGGATTTTGAGCATCGTGATTACAGCTACTCATCTTTCACATATCGTATCTCCGCGATCCGAAACTTAGGTCGACTATTGACGGGAAAGATGATTAATCCACATCCTGACAGTTCCGCCGTCGATCGTCTTGATGCGTATCTTGTCAACTTTCGTTTACATCTACCAGATAACAAGAGACAACTCGTCAGTGGTGATGGCAAGCTTGATGAGATGCTATTCCAAGCAAACATGATTACAGAAGCGTATGTTTTCCACTTATCTATCTTCCGTCAAACCCTCTTACTCTTTAACCTTTTACCGCTTTCATTTCCACAACAACACCTCGATTTTATCCACATAAACTAACCCTCATTCTCCTAGCGCGACTATTGTCCTCCACCGTGAGCTCTCGGAATTAGATAGTAGCATCACTACTCCCATAACTTCCTGTGCTCCTCACCACCCTATTATGCCCGGTTCAAACTACAACATTCACGCCTCCAAAACTATTACTGCCGCCCAATCAATCTCCAAACTCATTACTCTCCCCGTTCCCTTAATCCGTCACACGCATTTCTTCACCTGCGTTGTAACTCTTGCCTCTGTAGTCCATCTCTCTTGTTGGTCTGTTCTCTACCCTACTCTCAATGATGACGATTTGAAACAACAATTGAAATTGAACACTGGGGCTTTGAAAACTTTGTGGCAAGTCTGGCCTAGTGCTGGACGAGCATTTGGCCAGGTTAAAGGAGTAGCGAGTGAGATTTGGCAGAGGAAAAAGGAGGTTGTTGAGAGAGGATGGTGGGGTGAGGCTGGTGAGGAGGGCTTTATTAGGAATATGCAAGAGGAACAGGGATATTTGGAGGAATTGCAATTACTTGATGCTCCTGTACATCCGGGATTTTAGATGTTGTCTGTAAGGTTCTTTGGCTTCCTTGCATTTTCTGCTCTATCCCCTTTTTCCTTTTCCGAGGCTTTTCTTCGGAGGGTTTATTTGGCGAACTTTTCATTTTATGGATGGATCTTCCTATTACTTTATATCCTCCTCGATTTGGGTTTGGTTGACTGTTAGTTCCTACTATCCAGTGTGACTTGACCAGATACTTTTTCTTCTCTTACTTTGCATTTGATGTTTCGACGCATGGACAGAAGGAAAGAAAAGCTCAACCCAATGGAGGGTAAAAGACGAGATATTGACAGGGGGATTTATTGACAGGACGAGATGAGATGAGACGAGAAGATTGAGTAGAGATGAAAATAACGGCCTATTTATTTGAATTTAAATTTCGACATTATTGAATGCGGGAGGAAGGAAAGCTGGAGTTATATATTTTTTCCTTCTGTCATTTCTTTGGCTTGGATATGGAATTGACAATGGGAATGGATTTGAATGATGGATCGACCGGATTTGATAATGTGGTTGATAATATGAATGGATACTGGACATCATGTTTACTTCTACCCTTGATCTTCTTTTGATCTTGGAATGAATTATCGCTAGGGAGATTTGAGTAATAATTTTACAAGGGAAATAGTTTGCTTGAGAATAGGAATTATATTTTATCTAGTATTTATTGATTGCTTGCTTGTTTGCGTACCCCAGGGATATGGCCATGTGATATGTGACATCGCAATAGAAATCAATATCGACGACTTCATGCCACCCACCTTTAACCTCTTCGCTCTACCCACCTTAGATTAAATCTTGGAGAGAGATATCTATTATCATGAGATATATTGTAAACATGCATAAAGTAATAGACCAGGAAGGATTTCTGAACAACCCTTCTGTATTGATCCATGCTAAGATCACCGGAAAAATGCCTCTAAGCATATAAAAATCCAACCAGAACTCCTATCCGAACTCCAGCCAGACTCCAAATGAGGTATACAAAACCCAATCTCCATGACTTCACCACCTAACTCTTCAAAGCTTGTAACCTTCCTCTCATCTGATTCAACATAGCCTCGGCATCCTCGTCTTCCTCTTCCGCAGCAACTTCCTCTTGTACAGGCGCTGCCGGCAAATTTGGCGTCGCTCCCACCTTAGACATTCTATCCTGTAATATCTCTCCAAGTACCTTATCAACTTCTTCCTCCGCCTCTTCATCCTCCTCTTCCAACTGATCAGGCATCATATCCCCAACCATCTCCTCAATAATTCCCGCCTTTACCAATTCCTGACTCAGTTCCCTCATCGTCCCCATCAACTCCGGTAATCGCACCAAACTGTTAACATCCTTCATGATGCCCACACTCGCCTTAATACTGCCCTCGATTTTCCTCACCGCAAACGCTTCATTAACTTGCATATTCACACTCTGCAATTGGGCTTTCGAGGTGACGAGTCTGCGGGAGGTATTTCGAGTGCGGATTAATTCGCGCGCGAAAATGCGGGTTTCTTGGGCGGCTTGTTTGGCTTGAGAGGGATTGCGTTGGGCGCGTTTGTTGGCGGCGATGATTAGGTTGCGGGTTTTGTTTTCGACGGCTTTGAGGGCCGCGATGTCTCGGTCGAGTTTGCGAGTGTTTTGGCGGATAAGATTGTTACATTTGCGGACCTGAGGGATGATTAGATGAGGGGAGATGGATGGATTAGAGGAAAATGGGAATGGGTATGTATGGTATTGATATGGCACGGTATGGTATGGGGAATACACGCACTTGAACTTGAGGATCAGGTTTGAAGAATACGGCTCTTATGGATTCCATGATGGGTGTTTTGAATACGATTTACTCCCAGAATAGATTGGAGGTCTGTAGCCGTGTTACTGAGGAGAGAAATTGAAGGTCAAAGACGGCCTTTTTGATAATTTGATCGTATTCGATTGAATCGTTCTAATCTGAGTCGAAGGTTCAAATTATTGTAGGTCCCTAGTAATAAGTGTGATAAGTGGAAGTGTGCCGATAAGTGATGGTGATTGATACGATGTAGTTTGATACATGTCTATGGTATAGTACAGTATTAGTTTGGGGTTTAGGTCCAAGCTCAATCAGATGTCTGCGGTTAGTGACGTTGCCTTTTCACGCTTTTCTACTTTTCTACAGGAGCCGCAACTACAACGTGGGGTTAAGTTCTCATTAATAATTAACAAGAAGGGAGAAGAGAAAAACTTCATTTATCTTATTTGATTAATTATTTACACACTTAATTAAGAAATTTCACAAGTCAGCAAAATAAGACATATATCTTTAGAAGAGCTGTAATAGGAAATTAATTACATCATGTATTGTAAATGTACCGTAAATCAAAGAACGCTTTCACTCTACCTACCACTCACTTACCATTCCAATTGTACTTTCCCCAATGTTCTCGCAGGTTCCATACATCTAGCTGGCTCCAGCCTCGTTTGTCTGCACACAGCAAGAAGTAACAAATAGAAAGTTCGCCAATCCTTTCTTTACACTCCTCTCAATAATTTCTCTCTTCTACAACAACAACAATACCAACTCTGTACAAACCTTTTGCTTGATACCCCAATTCAATTTTCGCATCAACAACATCTTCTAGTTCATTTTTCATACAAAAAGACTTTCAATCACAATGGCTGAATCAACACCTGAAGGTAAGCTTTGTTAGCTCTTTTCTTCCTTACCAGTGTTGCGATAGAGAAGTCACAGAGCTTCTCTACTGTCACAACCCAGTACTCAGTTCTTTCTTGTTACTTTAGCTTTTGCTTGGAGTTTGTGCCATTTCAAATGAATACCAGTCTTTGGTGGTTTATGTGGCTAGCTATGTTTTGAGGTCAATCAGTTGCATCCCACATTTACCTTTTCAATGAGGGGTACTGCAGGCTGAAGCCTCAAAATTCATAAGCAAGAGCCAGTAACTGCTCAGAGCTATAATTCTTTCATACCACCCATACACAGAGATATACATACATATGTATACTCGATATCTGAACATATCACTAATCAATGAAAAATAGTTCTCTGGGCTCAAAGATCCAGCAAGACCGAAGCCGAAAAGAATTTCATCTACTTAACCATCAGCGTTCCCGATGTCAAGGAACCAAAGATCGATCTCAAGTCCCAATCTCTTACATACTCCGGCTACTCCGAGTCTCTCAAGCGTGCATATGCAGTTACCTTGGAATTCTACGAAGAGATCGATGAGAGTGCTTCTAAGTATAACCATACCCAGAAGAACACTCAATTTGTCTTGAGAAAGAAGGAGTTGAAGGAGGAGTTCTGGCCTAGATTATTGAAGGATTCCAAGAAGGTTCATTACTTGAAGACCGATTTCGATAAGTGGGTTGATGAGGATGAGCAAGATGAGGCTCCTGAAGAGGATTTGAGCCAGATGGGTGGCATGGGTAAGTCTTTTTTTGCATTCGGTTGAATATAAGGCTGGACAATAAACTAATAGATGATTCTTTAGGTGGAATGCCAGGAATGGGAGACATGATGGGAGGAGCCGGTGGAGATTTCGGCGGTATTGATTTCTCGAAACTCGGAGGAGCTGGCATGCCAGGAATGGGTGGAATGGGCGATGATGATGAGGGTGAAGATGATGAGGATGACGACGAAATGCCAGCACTTGAAGGAGAGGAGGAAGCTTCTGAAGCGCCAGCTGCTAAGATCACCGAGGTCGCTTAGATGATTCCCTTTATGACAAATGACTCCCCACATTCATTTCATTCAACTTCATTTCAAGAAAGCAGAGATACTATATTAGGAGTTCTCAGATGATACGAAAGGACTTATATGGATATCTTTTGCTCAATTCATCAGAGTTATTTGGTGAGAGTTAGGGTACACACATATTTGATTCTTTGGTTCTTTTTTGGGATGGCATTTTATCGAATTGCGGAATGGATGCAAACTGAAGGAAAGAATGGATGAATATGAAATAAAAGTAACGACTTATCTTTTCTTGATTGAAATCGTGTGTGAAGTGAAGTGAAGGGAAGTGAAGTGAAGAGATGATTGTGGATTTGTAACCTTACTCGGAGTGACTACCCAATACTATAGGTTCCTATGAAGACCTGTCCTATAAATTGTTGTCTATGTTAATTACATTTGCATCTATATTTTTACTACATGATTGCCTAGGTATATGATGTACTTTGATTATTGATAAATGGGAGCTGCACGTCTAGTTCTTTGTTATAAGAGGGGGAAGATAGAGGGATAGTGATTAGAGAAACAAGGAGGTAAGGTGGAGGGGAAGGTGGAGGGGAAGGAGCTTATAAGCCTTTGAGGATAGATTGTGCGGAATTGACAATTGGGAATCGGAGGTGGAGGTGTAGGTGTGAGGGGAGATGGGTTGAGATGAGATAATGGTTTAAGGATGTGGTATGGAGAGTAGATGCCATGCTCGAGATACCATGCTTCAGATGAATCAACGAGATGAGAGATGAGAAATGAGAATAAATCATTTAGAGATAGATACTTTTATTTACATTTTGTGTGTATATGGAATGAATGGACAAATGATAGAGTATGGATATACGCACTTGGATATGTATAGAGTGGGTAATAGCTAGATATGTATGTATACATGTGTGTATACTCGAGTAATGCATATTCAATGAGGTGAGATGATACACTCATTCATGCTTCTTTGTAGGATGGTGTTGGGTTTTCGGTTGTCGGTTGTCTATGGGGTGGTTTGGGTTATGTGGATGTTTTACCTACCAGGTAGGTAGGTAGGTAGGTAGATAAGTAGATATCTGAGGTACGGGGAGGGGGATGTAAGAATACAAGTGTAAATAGATTCAGGAATGGCCATTTGTAATATTTATTATCCAGTTTATTCCTATGTACCCTCTTTATGTATTTATATACTCCTATTGGTACTCTCGTATATTCGTCTGATACTGATACTCGTTTTAAATACTCCTTATCCGTATCATTAATATGCAGAACCGTTAGGTATCTAGGTATTAAATCCCAATCCCAGTTTCCAACGCCCTGCATGCATATTTCAAATGCTGAATCTTCATTTGTTGTACTTCTACAACTCTTCTTTCCATACAATGCACAACACGGAAATATTATCTCTTGCAGATGACACCCTACCTCGACCTCCTCTCCGTATCTCTCACCGTCCAAGTAACCCCCTCATCCCTCACCCACGCACCCTCCAAATCTTCTCGAGATGATCCCGGACTGTCGATTTCTCTATCCTCTCCCCTTGCTTCCTTATTGTATTCCTGTTCTTCCAAGAGCACCTCATAACCCTGCTGCGCGGGTCTTCTATCAAACCAATACTGCAACCTCGTTCCCTCCCAAAGTCTTTGCCAACCATTTCCCCCACTAACTCCCGTCGCATACGCCCTGTCGATTTTCTGCAAGCTGCGGTAGAAAAGCGAAAAAGCAAATGCACTATAAGCGAGCCCACCTAAAAGATCGATCCGCCAATGGTGACGCAAATACATTGTCGAAAACCATTGCCATAATACGTAGAAACCGAGTATGAAAGTTCCTTTTCTGGAATAACGCCCTACGAAGAAGAAACAGCAGCAGCTGAATGCCCCGTGTAAGGAAGGAAATGCGCCGAAAACTAAGGGAGAGGCTTTGAATGCATTGGCGTAGATGTGGGTTCCAAGGACTTTGTCGACGCGCACGAGGCCAGCGGCAGAACCGGGCATGCTGTAGTTTCCAGGTGGGAGAGGATAACCGTATTGATCGCCATACCAAGGAGCGGCTGAGGGAAAGGATAGATGGGTCATTATTCCTAGACAGTTTTGAATACCGAAAGACCAGGCGAACATAGACACGACTCCAGGGGGTGCAAATAGCCAAAGCCAAAATGCGGCGAGGAAGGGAGATACGAAGTGAATAACACCATACGATAGCCAAGCGAAAACATCAAGGGGCTCGGAGAGGTCATGGGAGAGTGCGTAGAGGATATTGAGGAGAAGAGGAGGTAGCCCAGCGATTATCGATATCTTCTTTCGTGTGAGTGTATACATCCAAAGTATTCCAATTACCGAACAGGTAAATTGGGATGCAAGACCGAACATTGAAAATCCAAAAACTCTTCTATCCAATGTTTCGAGGTAATTAACATCAATTAATGGCCGGATTGAGGAATCGATTCGCCATGCTTTGGAAATCGAATTAGTATGGAAAGGTATCGATTGAGGGTAAATCTGGATTTACCATTTTTGAAAGTAGTTATCCATATAAGAATAAAAGTCATGTTGATTAAAATATGTCTAAGTAAACCAAAAAATGAATGTCTACACACATGTTAGTATTTTTCCAACAAGATCATACTGAAAAGTAGAGGTTTTCCCGGAATTTCATTCACCTACCTATTGAGTAGAGTTCTGTATATGTGAAGGAAAAAACGCCCAACGGCGTCCAAGACACCCGCCATGATTAATAGCAAGCAGGTATCAAAAATGAAGATGTATAGAGAATGAAAAAGGAAGATAGGGATTGAAATGAAGATGAAAAAGAAATGCAATTAAGGAAGTACTTTAGACCGCGGCCATAGAGCCCTAAGGAAAGTTAGCAAAGACTAGGATATAGTAGCGTTTATGACGTCCACAATTATGTCAAAATATAGATTAGGCTGATTCTAAAATAATGCTTAAACCAAATCAACGAAATGCATGGCATTGATGGCAATGCTGCCCATTGGATCAATTTCCATAAGATATCAACCCCCTTCAAACCATTCAATGTACCTACCTACATGTTCGTTTTCCAAGATTCCCTGTTGTGACTTATTTGGGCTGTGCTTGTGTACATCCGATGAAGTGAGTGGGCACAGGGTTTGAATGGTCATGCTACTAAAGTAAGTACATACATACTTTATAGGAACTATACCTAGTCCATGGCGTTTTCCCAACGCTCTTACATATGATAAGTGATTACTCGTGTGCCTTTCAACTTGAAAGGGGGAGGGAAATGGTACCGAGTACATACATTATGATAACATAACATAACATAGTGGGCAAAGTGTAAGGAGTATGGAATACCGGTATATCAGGTACAACGCATGTTCCACGACCCCGATGGAAAAGTTAAATAAAGGAATTAAAGGTACAAGTAATAAGCGTCCCATTTTGAGGGGTCCAAATTAGCCCGTGTTGATAGTATCGGTGTGTACGTCGTATAGGGAAATAATATGAGTGGGAACCCAAGGAGATTGCCAGTTATGCTTCCTCGGGAATCCGGAGCACTGAACATTGTCCGCCCCATCATTGGTTCGAGATTGGGTGGTTGGGATAGAGTTGGTTAGGTAATCAAATGGTAAAATGGGGGAACTTCTTGTCCGAGAGTTTGTCTGATTGACTCGTGAGTCGTGAGTCGTGAATCAAAGGAGGAAGAGATTATGGAAGAGGAGTGAGTGAACATGTAGCTGGATTGAACCGGATACGCGTATGTATACAGGACTTGGATCGGGCAATTGATTCGCCTTCAATTCCCGATTCGTCTATGAATACTACCTTATCCCATTGCTATGATTGACCATTTCCATATTGACCATTCCAGTCCTGGCCATTAGGTATGGTATCCCAAGAATCTATAGTTTCATCTCGCAGTGCATGCATAAACTGCTGCGGAATTGAAGCAGCTCGTAGGTTTTGTCAGTACCTAGGTAGGCATGTCGAATTGAAGCAGTACAAGGATCAGATGGATGGCCTGCTCGTTATACATCATGAATTGATATCGGATTCGGACTCGCGTTCTCGTACCGAGTTCTCTCCCGTTTTTGAAGTATGTATCTAGTAGCTAGCAACCTGGAAGTGGCACTGTCTGGACTCTATAGGACTGTCTGTACCTAGTAGGTAGCGACTGGGTAGGCTGTGGGATGTAGCAGATCTTGACCTTGATATAAAGTTTTAAGTACAAAGTAACCTTAGTGTAGCCGAGCCCATATTTAGAAGGTTGTCGCGTGCTTGAGATCTTCTTGCCTTACCTCGAGCTCACCTAGGTAGGTGATCATCATGAAAAGGCGAGTGAGGTTCGAAACGGAAAAAAGTCAACACAATAGCAATCAGAGTAACAACAATAGCAGTGACAATCATTTAACAACCATTTAACAACAATAACAATAACAATAACAATCATGATAAGCCGTTCAAGATCTGGTGACATTTTGGTTGCAGATTCACAGCCTTGTCGTGGCTGACGCCTTCCCGCTTAATAGCCTATAGAGTAAAATCTTCACGTTCACTCACATACGGTAACCTCAAAGACCCTGGGAATATATCACGTCGCCACTCCAAAGAAATCCACCAATTGCTATACAACATTCATCACCCTCAATCTCTCTAATCATGGCAACAGCACAACCAGGTCAGAGCAAATATGTAACACTCGTATCTTGCGATGGATTTGAGTATGTCGTTTTAAGAGAAGCTGCCTGTACCAGTGTTGCGATTAAGAAGATGTTGGATCCATCCAGTTCGTTGGCCCTTCCTTGAACAAATCTAACTTTGCCCATCGTTAGTTATTATTGCACTTGAACCAATACTTATTTCATTCATGTACAGGTGGTTGGGAAGAGTCTCAGACAGGAGTTTGCCGTTTCTCAGAGATCAGGTATGCCTAACTTTTTTCTTCTATTATCCAAGTCCACATACAATACGAATCCCCAACTTCTCGATAAACACAAACACAAACACAAACACGAC